TTACCTGCGTAGTAGCTGGTCAGTAGCGTAAGCACAAAGTTAAATTATGACACATAGGAAGACATGATTTCCCATAGAAATTGTTTACGAGGAAAACATTTTAGTTAATTAACAATCAATTTCTATTACAGTTTCGTTTGATTTTCTGGGCTTCACACTTTCCTAAGAAATGTGCTGACAAGTGCATGTCATTAGTAATAAATACTACGAATACCAATGTTCATGTATGTATGTTTTCCTATCTGATAAAAATTTGACATGTTCCTTTGCGACAGTAAAATTTTGATTTATGATGAGTCGATAGCATTACACCTTGACCACAATCGATGTAATGGGCATTTGTTTTATAACAATTTCATATACTGTGTGATTCAATTTATTTTTACTTGTAATCAATCAACCAACATCTCAAGTAGTCTGTACAAATGCATTTTTCAAAAAGGCCATTTAAGAACTAAACGAAAATAAGGAAAATCGATTTTTAAGCTTCTAATTACGTCCAGTTAGGTTCTGACCAAATGCCAGAAATATTTTATCAGGAGTGTGATCTCATTCTAGGAAACTATTTTTGTTGTATGTAGATAAAAGTAAAGGTCACTTAAGCAGTGCGCTTTAATTTATTGGACGACTATATATCACAATAATTTCCTACTTAAATAGAGATTTTAAATTTATTGGTGTTTATTTTTATTTAAGGTGAGCTTAGGCGCGTCCTTAGTACCTCTCAGATAAACTTAAAAGTCGGCATGCATAATGTTTTTTTGTTTTTTTTTTAATTATAAACTTGCATTAAAATTATAGTTTTCTCTATTTAAAATCTTAACCTTTCTCGGAATATTTATCTTTTATAAACGTATAAATATAAATAAATTGTTTTCTTCCGTCGTTGTTACAATCAAGCCGACATATAAAACCAAAAGGCTGCATTCAATTATTCCGATTCTCACCAAAACTGGGATCCCAATGAGGTTTTTCCAAAACGTTATCTTCCATTTTATTGTCGTCTCTTGGCTTACCCTATCAATATATGTATATGACGTTTGTATTTCAAGAATATTAACGAAACCCTGAACTGACAATTTTAATGCTCTTTGATGGAAGTTTTGTTTTCGGGTTTAAAACATCACACCCACTTGTCAGTAAGGTACCGTCTGCGATTCAGGCAGAAATTCGTCGCAACCGCAAAACGATTTTGTCTTATTTTGTGGTTTTTCCTTCTTTTTCTTTGATATTTTTTCTTTTGCAACTCTTTTATGCAAATGAACATTTAATATTTTTTGGCTATGTGACCAAAAAAGGTCTGCACATGACGGAAAACATCCCACAATGTTCTTGAAGTTGATGATGAGGTTTATGAAAAAGGGGTTGTTTAGAATTCCGGGTGTAATGTTCCTTGAGCTGATCCAAATTGACTTTTGTAATTGAACACGTCAAGTTAAATTAGGCTTAGGATGCGGAATGTACATTTGTAAACAAATTTGAGACAGTAAATTTAGTTGGCAGAAGTTGTACATCGATTTTAAACATTTTCTTTTGCTAACTTAAATTTAAAACTGACTTCAAATATCTCATAAAAAAAAGTGTATTTTTTAATAAATGTTCGGATCATTTTGAAAGTCTTTAACATTATAACTTATAAAATAGTATAAATTATTTTTTTATTCATCTTAAAAATTACACTTAATTTGCGCTTAAATTTATATGTTTGCACTTAATTATATAAAGTGCATTCTCGATTGCAAATTTATTTTCTGTGAGACAGGTGAAGAAAACAAAGTCGTGCCAGCAAATAAACAATATTTACCTGGCGCTTGACTGCATAATGCCAATAAATATTAAAACCTATCGTTGAATAAAACACATGCAAATATTTTCTCTATCTTTTCAACCTGCTAAACTGATCACAATCATTAAATATCATTAACAGCTTGTGGGACACCTGCTGGCATCTACTTTTGTATTTTAACTAGCACGACCTAATAAAATCGAAAATTGGAAACACTATTTTGTTTCGGAACATTGTTCACGGGCCGTATAAACATTTAACGGAAGTCTATCCAATCCGCACAGGCCATATTTTTTAGTGCTCGTAAACAGTCTTTATCTACATAAACTCGTGCATATGGGATAATAGGCGTTTAACAATTTGGCTGCCAGATGCACAGATTCAGTTTTCGGCCAAGTTAGCCCGAGTCGCCAAGTTTGCATTCTGGATAATCGCCTTCAACCGGTTCGAGGTACTTTTGACCAGTTCTTTTTTTTTCTGCCGTTGCACTCGCTTTTGCATTCTTCATTAATCAATTGACTTTGATTTGTTTATAAACAATTTCGAACTGCAACTGCGATGGCATTTTCCATATTCCCTTGTGGCGCACGTTATCGATTAGCCGTCGCCCAAAAGCGTAACCTCAAATAAGCATGGGGCAAAGTTCAGGAACCTGCACAAACAAAACGGAGTTGACATTAATTGGTGCCAGTGACAGCTGTGAAAAATATTTTCCCAACGAACCCCAACTAGAAAGAAAATAAGCGTAGAGAAATCGATTTAAGTTTCTAATACTTTTGTTAGTCAATTAATTTTTCAATTATAAGCGGTATATTTTTATTTATTTCATTCATTCCAGGTACAGACCCAATGCATCATTGGTTTTCCATTTTCATATATTTTTCTTGCCATATTTTGCTAAAAAGTCGTTCGCAGAGAAACATTTTCTTGGTGGCTGGCCAAAATACACATCTGCCATATGCATATTATATGCATATGTATTCCCAATTGGTTATTGCCATCAATATAGTATAGTATAGTTCTTTTTTGAAAATCGTTTGACCTTTGAAAAATAAATTTATTTCCGTTGGATAAACTTGAACTCTGGCCATGAAAAAGCGAAAATGACCGCCTCAAATATTTACATTTGTATCGGGAATTAGTCGCCCTCACTGGCCAAAATAAACAGAACTTTATGGTGGGTAGATGGCGTCGGTCTCAATCCAATTCACGTCTATACACTAAAGTGTAAAAGCTCTGCGAACCTGAAGCATAAAGTAAACTCAAATTAAATATTAACACATTTCGGGGGTGTTCGGTGGCTGGCGATGTGCGAAGAAATCAATTAAATCGTGGCGCAATTCGTTCCGATAGTTGTTAGATAAATTATAGATATATATTCGCCACAGTGGCAAAAGTGCAATGAAACTTTTCTAGCCATGTTGCAAAAGTTGCATTTCTCATTTTATTTTCTCAACTTCAAGGAAGTTGCAGTCGGAATCTTTATATTGTTTGCGAAAGGATACTTTCGTTTCCTCTCAGAATTATAAAGTTTTGAGTTGTCTAGATAAAGTAGATGACATGCTTTAATAAAAGGACTCAAAATAAAGATAATAAATACCATGATTTCAATTCACGTATTTAAATAACTAATTAAATATTCATGCCACTGTCATTTTTTAAGCAATCAATTAAATCAAATGGTTTTCTATTAATTCCACTTAGATGTGATACAGCCAAAAGTAGCGGGAAATTGGGTAAACCTTTTTGATTAAAGCCGGTTAGTTGCTCAACTGTTAACGGTCAGTTATCAAAGTCACTGAACTTGAAACTCTGTGGGCGCTAATCTAATCACCACTTTGCACCAAATTGGGTTTGTGGGTAAGCCTGGAAAATTCACGACCAATGCTAAGAGCAATTGAATATGAGATGAAGGAAGACGCATTGAGGGATAAACCTAAATTGGCCATCAATTTTAAATAATGAGCTATATAGGCGACAGAACAGCAAACGAATTGGAAGTGCAAACAGATACAATTGCTTCAGGCGAATAATTACAGAGATCGACTCGTACATTGCCCTCCAATTTATCAGCCTTAAATATGACACTCGAACATCCCAATTGTTTAATTGAGCGTCTTTATCTCGTGCACTCGATAGATAAGCTTTCGCCACTGTTGCTAATAAAATTTCACCAATAACACAAATCGGATCTTATCGCAGACCAACTGGCAGTCCTACTTAATTTTGTTTTCTCTGCTTTATTGCCATATTTACAATTGGTATTAACTCGCTAATTTCGCATGGCGCTAAGAGCACTGGATCTATCCAGTTCGAAAAATCAATATTGTCTGCATCAATGTTGTATTAAATCTTTAAATAAACGTGACTGCAAAGAGCTTTGCCAAGTGGGCAAACAAGAGCACTTGAATTCGATTTTTTTTTTTGCAAATAATTTGGTAGCTGACGTCGGAAATAAACAGTAGGTTTTTTTTAAATCGGATCGAATGACCGAAGGCTGTGCTGATTGAATAAATTAAATCATTCAGATAAGAATATTAATTTTTAATCAGAATTACGAAACAAATTTAAATTCACTACCGCCCACGAAATTAAATATATTCGTATCTACTTAAGTGATTTCATTATTCCAACTTATAGTGGCTTAACTACAATTTATTGATTATTTTTCTTTACGAATTTAAGCTTTATTTTAATGCATCAAATGACAGTTTAAGGAACAGACCTTTTTTTTTAGCCCAAAGAGAATGATTTAAAAAAAATAGTTGGTAATAAAGTAAGTCCACACCCAGTTAGGCTTGGATTTATAGAAGATCACGGGTGGCAGACAAATGAATATGCGAATTGATTTTAGCACATTTTTATTTGCAATGGTTTTAAAGAGAGTGCGTCTGAAATTCAAAGAGAGTTAATCAGAAGCCGATTGGTGTTAACAGAATCAATATAAATGTGCGATTTTTTGCAATATATCTGGATTTTATCCCGAAGTCTTCATGGTTAGTGAAATTTGTGGGCTTTAACCAGTTTCAATTGGTTATTGCGGCAGGTCGGTCGATTTTGGCAGTGATAATAAAAAAGGAAGGCAAGCCAAATATACTAATATTTATTTACCATCTCATTGCAGTTAACTAATCACAGCAATTAACGTTAGAAACTGGCATAGTAGAAGGACATTATAGCATGCAAGAACTAAAAAAGTGAATACCGCAACACAATGAGCAATCGCACGGAGCAGGATTACGACAGTGCCACTCCGGCGCTGCAACAGCAAATGAATCTGGCCCGAAGAGCCTGCTGGAGGCGGAACCCATCCTCCAGCACTCAGTTACCCCCCCAAAATACAATTACAATTACCAGAGAGGCAGCCAGTCGCCTGGAGTTAGTTAATACCGAGATTGCGAAACAAATCGATGCAGAAGCTCAACCACCGAGAGATGAAACCAAAACAAGATTAGAACCACAAACTGCAACCGCAACACGCAGCACAAAATGGACATCCGACTGGCGGGGGATTCTCGGCAAAAGGATGCTGCTTATCTGCGCCTTAGTCCTGATCCTTGGACTCGTCCAGGGGCGGCCCAACACGAGCGCTGTGGGCGTGACGTCGGGCAAGGATGCAGTCACCCAACTAAATGTGAGTATGTCAAATTGCGCAATCCACAATCCAATTGAATGGCCAATTGCAATTACGACCACAGTAAAATTACTGTGACAAATAACTTAAAAATACATCAAAGATTAAAGTTCTAACTTATAGAGTATATTCTATATTTGTTTCAGTATGTTTAAAAAAATCATTAGTTTTTGACAAAGTTAATCTTTGTAAACCCTTTTTATCTGAAAAGCTGCTCTATAGTGTCATAAAGTATAGTCTTAATTGTAGCTATTAGCACTCATATATCAGATGAAATATCGACATGTTTATGTGGGAACCTTAAAGCTGCAACTGAAGACAAAAATACGTTGCTTTTTGTTTCGACAATTTATAACGTAATAGAAATGATATAATAGCACTCAAACCCCATGGTTATTTCCCCTTCACTATTTGTAATGTGATTTTTTTATTTTTTGAGCTGCTACAATTTATTGTAGTCAAAAGTGACAACTTGCTGACGGAATTACAGTTCTCAGACAACCCACGACAAAATGATCTCTGCCGCAACCACATTGATTTCTTATCATGATTCTAATAAAGTATTGATTTACTAATTGAGTATCTTGCCATCACTCATTCCATTTTTTTCTGGAAAACTACTTTATTCATAAAAATAGATATAATTGAAAGAGAGCGAAGCCCCAATTAATTAGCAATGACTTTGACGTCACTATTAAAGCTCTGTGCGCACAAAAGTCTAAACTATTAAACATCTGATTAACAACAATACGCAATTTAATATTCATTGAATGGCTGACACATATCCAACATTCTAGCACTTAGCTCACTGACCTACATCAACATTTCAAGCAGAATTTATGTGTAGGAATTGAAAAAGCTGACGATTCATTCGCAGAAAAAAATAGTCGAGTTTTCCGACTATTAGATACCCGTTACTCAGTCAATAAACTTCAAACTAAGTATTCCTCCTACAAAACAATCGAGGGTTAGGTGGCGCCATCTGTCGTGCAGCATAGACATAGATTAGAAGTGGTCGAGCAGCGGCAGAGCAGCAGAGGGGCGCTAGAGAACTTCAAAACCACATAGCATCTAAAATATAAGCTCGATTTTGAAAATTTTTGTGTCTACCGATAGATATGACCGAAACACACACACAGAGTCCAATACCTACGGTCATGCCTCAGAGCGATTTGACAGACGTGTAAAGTGTTTTGCGATTTGTGGGCGTTAGAGTAGGCGTGGCTCCGTTTTGAAATAAACTTGCGCAGATTCTACATGCCGAATCCAAAATCTCTAGCTTTTGTAGTTTTCGGGATCTCGACGTTTATACAGACGGATTCGGCTATAGATCCTGATCCTTCTACTTGTTACATACTTTTCAACGAACACAATATAACCTTTTGCCCTACGAGTAACGGGTATAAAAAACAAAAACCTTACTCTTTTGTGTACGAGTTCGTCATTAATAGAAGTGATTGTAATTTTCGATGGCGTGTTTCCGAACGCTTAATTCCCAAGCCACCAGGTCTGGATTTTATTATCCGCAGTTTATACACCATGTAAATATTTGATGTTTGCTATTGCGGGTATTGGAAATATTCGTGCACAGTGCATTTATCAATTTGCCCCCAGTGTTTTCCAATTATAAACTGCTAATGCCTGAGTTATATCGCTCTTCCTTCCTGCCCCAAAACAGCTGCCCATGGACGTGGATGTGGGTGTGGAGCCAACACAATCGGCGAAATTGCCTCGTTCGGAGGCACTGAAATCCAGCGACCAGGATGCGGAGGGCGGCGAAGCGCACAAGATGGAAAGGTATCCACTCTCCAGCGTGGATTTTGCTCGGGTAAAGACGCCTTTCATAATTGGAATCTGGATATTATCTGCCAGTATAGCCAAAATCGGTGAGTAAAGTAATCATATTAAAAAGGTTCTTACAGCACAACAGTGTCCTTTTAAACAAATAGTTTAATTATAATCAAAACATAGGTATTGAACTGATAGAATGTTTGATTTTTAAAACTATTTCAAGCCAAATTAAAGTCTTATATTTTTTTTAAGATCAACGAAACTTTAACTTGTATTTTATTTTTGGCATAAAGTTTTTAATTTGAGGGTTTAACAAAATATATTTTTTTTGTATTGCTTTGCAAATAAATTCTTTTTAAAATCAGGCATTCAGCGGTAGAAAAATGTATTTTAAATTCTACTTTGTCTAGTTTAACCCAACAAAAATCCTTTTTTTTAACTAACCAGCCAATTAGCAAAAATCAACAAGCTTTACCTTGTGCATAATACGCGGAAAATGTGGTTTTTATGGAGCAGTAACGAATCCTTTTCCTGTGGAAGCAAAGCCACAGTGTCTGCTCCTGGGCGTGGGTGTCTGGTTTATTTTGCTTCTGCTGTTGCCAGGCAAAATCAATATGGTTTATGTAATTCGTACGACTACAACGACGCCGTCAAGCAGATTTGCGTCAAGTCGGCGACGTAACCGTTGTGTGTGGGCGTATGGGTGCGAGTCCTGGCCGAAGGACATTGCATAAGTCCACGTTGCATCTGTGCAACAAGCCCCAGGATATGGGGCCGTGACCCTGCCCCCAAGCAACAATTGGGCCGCAAAGGCGGTACATTAATCATTTACTTTGATTCTCAACCACTTTAAAGTCTCTCGAGAGTTTATTAGTTTGCGCATATTTATTTTTGCCCCTCAATGTCGGAAATTTACCACTGCCAGACAGGTTTATCTATGGCCCTGCCCCTAACCTTGACTTCAGGCAAGGGAAAATCCATTTTCCACCCATCAAGGACTCTGGAACTTTTTTTTTTCGGCCCCGTGTGTTCCATTTCAATTTCTATTTTCGAGTGGGCGGACGCCAGGAATTTCGTTTTACAATTGGATAAGGGCCTGAAAATAGGCGAAAACTTATTGCCAATGCCATGTTGGCCAAAAACAAACTACTGGGAAGGTCGATTGTAAAGTGAGAGGCTTGGCGGCTTGGCACTTAACAAGGAAATAAACCAGAGTGCTTACTGCCAGATAAGAAGTGAAACATTTTGGAAAATTTTCCCAAAACTGGGTAGGCTTGCAAAAAACTTAAAGCCTTAAAACCAATAATTCTTTTTTTTTTTGTTTATGAGTGTCAATGTTACATTGATTAATAATCTATTAATTTCTTAAAGTTGTTAAAGTTTCACCTAAAAGTCGAATTTTATATCTAAACTAGAGGAAGCTCCTATCAGTTTCTTAATTAAATTCCAAGCACCAAAAATGCAAATTGAGTCCTTACATTTTTAACGAATATTTTTTCCCACCATTTTGGCTTTGTTTACGAAGCATAATTATCCATCCTTTTTGTGCTCTTGAACCCAAAATATTTTGTAAAAGGACTGGGTCAATAAGGCAGAAACAAAAGAGGGGGAACGAACTGGGGATGAAGGGCAAATCGGGTATAAACTAGAGAGGGGGGACCACTATGTAGAACAAAAGCCCCTAGAAATTGCATGCAAATTTGCCATCATCTGGGAATATTTTCGCTTTTATGGCAGGCGTTTTGTAATTAAGGAAAATATTTTGGTGCCACCACACACAAAATTCTGGCAATTGCGTTGCTGAATTTCGTTGTGTTTATCTAGTAATATGGTATGTAGTTTATATATTATATTTACATATTGTTTTTCAGGTTTCCATATGACGCCCAAACTGCATCTAATATTTCCGGAGTCGTGCCTGCTGATTGTCGTGGGCGTGGTCATTGGGGTGGTGCTCTATTTTTGCACCGACGTCGCCGTCTCCCCGCTGACCCCCAACACCTTCTTCTTTTATATGCTGCCACCGATTATCCTGGACGCCGGATACTTTATGCCCAATCGATTGTTCTTCGACAACCTGGGCACCATCCTCCTAATGGCAGTGGTCGGAACCATCTTCAACATAGCCACCATCGGTGAGTAGGGTAATCCGAGATGTTGATTCGGTTCGGTTCCAGTCCTGTCGTCTACTTGATGGCCAGGTAAACAAAGGTGGTCGACTAGTTGCCTTGGGTAATCCTATCCATCTCTGTCCATCAACTGAAGAATGGACAATAAAAGTTGTCGTTTAGATTCATCGATTGTGGGAGGTCAATATTCATTTGTTTGTTTGCACAGGGGTTAATACATGAGTAAAGTCAACTTAATTTATTAATGTCACACAATGTTTTAATGTAGTATCTATTGATTTGTAATCAATATTATTGTTTACAAAGTAATTTTGGTTTAGAACGTAAAAGTTTATAAAGTTTTTTCTTACCATTAAGTTAAAAAAAAAGCTAAAATTATAGAATTATTGTTCTTTCCATTTTAAAGTGTGTTTTCCATTAGTAAAGTGTTTCTTAGGTTTTATTCGTTATTCCTGTCTTATAAAATACGCAATACTTAGTCTCACTTGATTTGCTTCAAAATGGTTGACAATTACACAAGGTGTCAGTAGCTCTAGCAATTAGACACCTGATGCAAACAGAAGCTTAATCATACATTCATTTAAAAAATGCCGCCTTGTTGTAACCTTAAATAAACAGAGACAATATTCGGAGGGGCGTATATCTTTTTTTCACTGCCAATAAATTAAGCGGCACGCGAGGGGCGTGGCGACGCCTTTTACTAGATGACCGCTTAGTCGTGATTTACACAGAGTGTAACAAAAAACATGCGATTGATGTGGATGCTGCCACCGCAGATGTTGAAGTGCTCCAATAACAAAGGAAAAAGGGACAGGAAAACGGGGTGGCAGACGTCGGTTAGATGAATGACCGAAAACGCAAGCGGAATCGGCGGGATATACGCTCGAGTTGCCACAGTTACCCCGCCAACAAAAAACATCCAGACTTGCCAATTACTTATGCTTAACAAATTGGATTACATATCACAATGAGCGGACAACGCTGTTAACTTATCCCTCGCGATTCATTTGGAAAAGTGAAAATTGCGTTTCCATTATTCATTCGAGGCTTGTTATATAAGCCCTAGCTAACAAAGCTGAATAATATTTGTTTTGCACTGGATACTACTTCAAAAGATATTTATTTAATCGTTGAATTGCTTGTAGAAAAACAATTTCTTTAATAACAACATTAAGTTTTAAGTTGTTTCTGACTGTTGTAAATGTAATATTTATAGCAAGAATAATATGACTAATGCACATTTACACTTTTCAAACAATTCAAAAACAAATAATTAACGACACACATGGTCATCAGCAATTGGAATCGTTAGAAAGCTTTTGCAGCTTACATTATCTACTGATGCCACTAATTGTGCTTATTGAAGAGCCCAGCAAGCAATATTATTGCAAACATTCAATTTGCGTCGTTGCAAATTCAATTATTTCCAGGAAGAGAGAAGACTTATCAATTGACTTAAGTGACTTGGATATGCATTTGGAGAGCAACAAACTGCAACAGCAGTGTCAATGCCAAACGAACGGCCATCGATTGGCCAGTATCTAATTGAGTACAAGAAGCACTCTGGGAAATTGTTGGCTTGCAAATAGATCACATGCCCGTTGCATCCTCTGATTTTCCTTCTTCTTTTTTTCTTCTCCTCCCCTTCGAAAGGTGGCTCGTTGTACGCCTGCGGAAGGATGGGCATTTACGGGGAGGGCGAGACGCCGAATCTGATGGACGTATTTCTGTTTGCCTCCCTCATATCCGCCGTGGATCCGGTGGCTGTTTTGGCCGTATTCGAGGAGATACACGTCAACGAGATCCTGTACATTGTCGTCTTTGGCGAGTCCTTGCTGAATGATGCCGTTACGGTGAGATGGGTTTATTGATTGGATTGGATATATGGGTAGCAATTAAGTCAACAAGTGCCCGGCATGGTTAACTGAACTTATGGCTATATATTTATTCTACTGCCCCCCAGGTTGTGATGTACCACATGATGGAATCCTACAATGAAATTGGTTTGGATAAAATCATCGCCCAGGACATTGCCAGCGGTGTGGGTTCCTTCTTCGTTGTTGCACTGGGTGGCACTGCCATAGGTGAGCACATCTATCTATTTTGCTAATTTAATTAGATTTTGATAAATCAACCTTTTCTGAGCTATTTCACAGATAGTTAGAAATATTCTATCACATGTTATTTAAAATTTAATGAGCATGCTTTGCCTTACGATTTAAAATTGGATTTTATATTTAGAAAGATTTTTTAATTTAAGTCTTACATTTTTTTAAATATTTATTTTTATGTTAATAATAATGTTTTTTATACAAATTATTCTTTGCAGGCATCATCTGGGGCTTTCTAACTGGTCTGGTGACCCGATTCACAGATCATGTGCGTGTCATAGAACCCATTTTCATATTTGTAATGGCTTACTTGGCCTATCTTAATGCGGAAATCTTTCACATGAGCGGCATTTTAGCGTGAGTTTTTATTAAAGAAAAACCCTTTTTTCTTATAATGTAATTTATAATTTAATTTACCGAACAGCATCACTTTCTGTGGTATAACGATGAAGAACTATGTGGAATCGAATATCTCACAAAAGTCGCATACGACTGTTAAATATGCCTTGAAGATGTTGTCCAGTTCGGCGGAGACCATTATCTTTATGTTCCTGGGCGTGGCCACTGTGAACAATATGCACGTATGGAATACGTGGTTTGTGGTGCTGACCATTGCCTTTTGCTCTGTGTTTCGTGTTCTTGGTAAATATATATTTATAATATTATTAAACCAATGAATGTATTTGAATACCACAATATCACTATCGTTTTAGGTGTCATTTTGCTTTCGGCCCTAGCAAATCGCTTCCGCCTGCACAAATTATCCAGGGTGGATCAGTTTGTGATGTCCTACGGCGGATTGCGTGGTGCTGTGGCCTTTGCCCTGGTGCTGCTGGTCGACGAGAATGTGGTCAAGCAGAAGAACATGTTTGTTACCACCACGATAGCTGTGATTTACTTTACTGTCTTCCTGCAAGGCATCACCATCAAGCCGCTGGTCAAGATCCTCAATGTGAAGCGGGCCAACAAACGCAAGCCAACCATGAACGAGCGCATTCATGAGAGGGTCGGTCATCTATCTATTGCTAAGAAATATATATCCATATACTTACTCCCTTTGATTTGCCCTTAGTTTATGGATCACTTGATGGCGGGCATTGAGGATATTGTGGGCAAGACAGGAAACTATAATGTGCGTGATAAGTTCAAGCGTTTCGACAATCGCTTCATTCGCCCGCTGTTGATCAGAGATCTCAAGGTATTGTATGAAATTATTTGGGGTGATTGGGTTAGATATATATCTACAAGTGGGAAACTCTAAACCAAAACCTAAACTGCCACTTAGGAAATTAATGAAATGCATTTATTGGACCATATTCCCATGCAAAGTTATGAGCGAGCGTTAAACAAGAATGCAGATGAAAAGCGACGAAGGCAGCGCCGTAATTCAAGCATAAACATAACAAAGCAGAGCGAATACATTATTTAGTAATAAGAGAATTAATAAAGCTCAAGTCAAACTTAGTCGATTTATTATTTTTTTTCGATTCCAATTTAGGGCGCTGAACCGAAGATCATTGAGACGTACTCCAAACTGACAATGCGCGATGCCATGGAGGTGATGAGGCGGAATCCATCCACCATTGGCCAGATGACGGGCACCGAATCGATGAGCGCCCTGTTCCGGAATTATACCAATAACTATATTGGGGGCAGGTGGGCACCGCCAACCATATACACCACCTGGTAAACGAATTTTGGATCGAACGATATCTTGCCTGTACTCACACCGAAATTATCTCGTATATTGCATGAGTACGAATAAATTCGAAATTGATGTAGTTAATAATTTACCCCAAATTTAGCATGCATTTGCACAAAAACTTTAGTTAAACCAAATTGGCCACTAACAAACTGAACACAAGCACGGGGGGATCACAGAGATTTGTAAATCAAAATTTTGTGGAACCTCTCATAGACCTATCTTTCTATTTCTTCATATATCTAAAATTCGTTTAACCACTTCTTTGGTTTTCGCTTTAAGTAAAAACCTTTATGACCCATAAGATACTGATGCCCGTTTGATACGTTCTTTAGTCCCAGTCTGACAAATCTAGACAATACCTGTTCGCGTAATCTGGACATGGCTGAGCTGGATTATAATCCATCCAAGAAGGATCTGACTGATGCCAGGATCCATCATCTGTTGGCCGAAGAACTGAAGCCTTATAGAAGGGTATGTATCGACTTTCCGTATTTGCCTTTCCGTTTCCAACTCACGTTTTGTATTAATCAACTCTTGGTTGGAATTTCTATAGCAAACAGTTTTAACTTTAAATAGCCCCAAGAATATCACCTGCCCAAAAGTTATTTATTTAATTATATAATTTATATTATATCTGTCAATCTATATTATCACCTTTTCGCTCTATAATAATACCCACTTAAGAGTCTCTTTGTCAAGTTATTATGTAACTTCACATTTGACTTCTCTGTTCCGTTCTGTACTTTGGGCATTTAGTTTTCTTACACTCTACGCTTTTGGCTCTGAATATAAATATTTATGGCTGACTATATAGATATATTTGTGATTAATCGTTTATTTAATTTCTTTCCCGTTGTTTCGATACTCAACATGATCTTCTCAACAACGTGTTAAAATAAATCAAAACCGCTTCAAACTTTCGTGTGCCTAACAAATTAAAAATACAAAATTTTATTATCGTGATACAGGCCTCAATACAAATGGTACGAATAAATTGGTTCTTTGGGTTTTGTTCTAATTAATTTGGTTAATTTTGATAAACTCCTTTCGAATTAACTAATGAAAACTACTTTGTTAAATGTTATTAAACGTTGTGTGTCTGTACTTTTTGTCTGCAAAATTTCTAAATGTGTCTTCTAATTGGTGTTTTAATATATTAAAATAACCCATAAATTATGCTAAACTAATTTACCATAAATGGCTTGCAGAGCTGCAAAGCTCTTTGTGTAAAAGAAACTATAAAATACACCATTTTTATTTGACGAATTAGTCATTTCTAGGATGCAAATATTTAACAAACGATACACTTTTTAACTTTGTAGAATTTGATAGCATATGATCCAAACAGCAAAATATATGTATACACTTTTTTTTTTAAGTGTAAATTAATTCTGAAATCACAATTAACTAATTCCAAAGTAAAAATTAAATGATATTTTAAACAATTTGAGGTTTTATAGAGATATACATTTTGTATGTTATTCATCATTAAAAAAGACTTAATTAAAACTTTAAAAAATTGTACAAAATAACAATAGTGGTTTTTATAGCTTTATTTTGAGAAACTCAGTAACATTTTAAATAAACTACTCTATACATTCCAAAATATATCTACTACTTTTTCTTGCCAATGCCTAGTGTAAATGTTTAACACTTACAATTAACTCAATTAAATTATTTAATTCACTTATTTCACCTTAAATAAAATTCAATGAAATGTGTAAAATTTAAACCTGAATGTATTTTATTTTAATTATAAACTAAATCACACAAATAATATCTATGATATTCCAAAGTTCTTTTAATTTTTTTTTTTTATTTTTTTCCAAAAGCCTTATATTTCCTTTATTCCCATTGTCCAACCCAAAACCTATAACACATCTGAAACACAAATTTTGTTTGCCAATATTTGTTGTGTTCACAATTATGTATCGTAAATCGAAAATATTTGGGAAGAATCTCGAATCTAGGCTCAGCACTTGATAAATGTTAATCTATACTCATAAGATGTAAAAATGTTTGTGGAAAGTCGTTTACACTAAATCAGTTCATGGTTATGTTAGTTAAAAGCAATTAATCGTACTTTTTATATTACTTATTTAACTGTAACTGTCTTGTCCTGCAATTGTTGTAATTGCAAGGCTACATCTCTCTACTTACATCATTGTGCTGGCATTTTATGATTTCGAAACTTATTTTGCTCCATCAATGTTTTTACAGCACCGTCGTCTTAGTTATAGCCGACACGCAGTAGATGACAGAGATTTGTCAACCCAGGTGAGTACCTGTCCACCCAAAACACCAGCAACTTTCCTCTGTCAATTTTCAATAACTAAAGTCATTTTAAATAAATCTTTACTCTCTTGCAGGTCAATTACAAAATGCAAATGAACTTTAGACGCATGTTCAATGATCGCAAACATCACAAACGCAGCAAACGTGGGGCCAGCAATAAGGTGAGGGATCTCGAAAACTTCTTCCACAAGAATCCTATTTTAATGGATATACCCATTATCCACAGGAGGCCAAGGAGAACGTTAAGCAGAATCATGTCTCGTTCCACGATTTCCAACAGAACGGCACCACCAAGCAGCTCACCAATGGTACGGAATCGAGTTCAAACCATTCACGAAAAAAATCTTACAGAAAAAGACATACTCACAATTCACTTAATAAATATCGTAGATTAGAAATAGGTAAATGACGCTAAAATCAGCAACAAATTTTTAAACAATCAAACAGTAATTTGTTCGAGTCGAAACAATGTCCATAGAGTTTATCTTAAATCAATTCGTAGAATTATTTTAATGTTATTTTCTTTAAGTTTTCCTTGTACAATGATCTGATCAGACAGCGTAAGAAATTTTATTTAAATGTTTTTTAAAAAATCATCCGCTGTCTACTTTTATACGATTCTTTGTTTGTAGTGAAAAGTGTAGTGAATTTTAAGTTTAAAACACAGTTTCATGCGTCATACGTACCTAACTCACTAAACCTTTTATTTTAATTATCTCTCATTTAGAGCACTCTACTAAAACCCAATTTTTAATTTAATTTTCCAAATTGAATACTAATTTTATAAAGTAGTTTGCAAGGTACAGCTATCAAGTTAGTCATATGTATTTCATTTAGAGCTAAATACCTTACAAACTTCTACAAAAACCATAACCAAAATCTTAAAAATTGGTATTTAATTGGTAACTTAATTGATTTCAACTGAATCCTTCTCTTTCTTCCCTGCATCGCTCTTCCTAACTACTGATGCCAAAAAAATAAAAAAAACACACACTCAATTGGCCAAAAAAAAAAACCGAAACCAAAATTGTGCACTAATCGAAAACTATAACCCAACCTGCAACACACATACATAATTGTACTGCCTGTGCCCATTTATTTGTTAATCCAACTCGAACCATTTAAAGACTATATTAACAATGTGCTTAATGAAACAGCCGAGGAGTGCCAACAGAATCCCAACGAGATCAATGTTGTTGGCCCCAGCGACGATTGGGATGATGGCCTGACCTTCACCGCCAAGTCATCACGTAAGTGTTCTCATTACTTTACCGCCAACCATTCGTATTTCTTAACCAATTTTTATTTTCCGTAACTAACATTTGAGTTAAGAGGAGGTTGTCTACACTGAGCATAGGCAGCCCCTAGGATGGTTAACTGTCCTCCTCTCCACATATATCTTTGTTTCTCTGCGGCTCTGTTGGCCAGTTTTCTATACATAATCAGCAGTCATATGGCAATACCTGATAATTTCCATATCCTGGTTGTTGCCCACCTTGTGTTTGTTTTGTTCACACAAAAATGCCATCAATTAAATAATCGTATCTGTTTTTTTTTTTGCCTGAAATGAAAGGAATCTTCAAAACGTTTTAAAAGTATTTGTACATGAATCGATTAGTTGAGTAGCTGAACAAAGTTTCTGTAGTAGGTACCTATAATTAATGATACTTAAATAACACAATTGTTTTTAAACAAACGATTATATTACGTTTTCAAAGAAAGCTTTGCTAGTCCTGTTCATTTTCCGTTTTTCTCGTTTTAATTTCTTGTTGTACTTTTGCATTTGTTTTTATCCTACCTCCTAAGGAGAACCTAATAAAAGCTATAACAACGAACTTTCTACATATTTTTTCTTGTTTTATGCCTTCCCAATTATTTCGAAAAACAAATCACTTCAAAAAAAAAAAAACCAAAACACAAACCAATAAAATGTTGCTGGGCGCAAATAAATGAAATGAAATGAAATGAACTGAACTGAAAAAAAAAAAAACAAATTACGATTAGCTGACTCGGATCGCGCCAATAACAATTCCCTGATAGCCCACATCCAAAACCTGCCGGGTTTCGATGCCTCCAAGGCGCGTATCGTCGTCCAGCATTATGCGCCCAGGGTTGACGACAGTCCGGAAACAGATCTAGATTCGCCGGACCAGACTGTTGGGCCCACGGCCGCCGAATTGATATTGCCGTGGCGACGGGATCGTTCATACCAGAGCATTGGTAAAAGACATCATTTCCAGACCAATCATTCCACCCACAAACAAACAGCGAAACAGCAACGACATCTACAAAAATCCGTTTGAATGCTAACATAGCTCACTTCTCACTCATTTACATGCTTCGCATCATGTTGATGTTCAGAACGTATATTTCAATTTTAAGATACTTCAATCTTATATAGTTTCCCATTAAAGTCTTACCTATAAAAATACCAAATAAAATTATTTTACAAAGTCTAGTACTATTTTTGCAGTTTCAAATGCAAGTCAATTTAAAAATACAATTTTGTAGAAATCAAATAAAAAAAATGTTTCTGTAATGATCTATACATTTGCCACTTGGCAAAAGGTATCTGTAAAATAGGTAGTGATAACTTATGACAGCTTTTCCCTGAAATCAAGTTAAATTTTAAGCCATACAATTTGCTGTACATTTTAGGGAACACCAAACCATTAATTTTCACACATTTACAATACTACATTACGCAGCATTCCGTGTATTTAGAACTCATATAAAAGCAGTCATTAACTCGTCAATAGAGCGCCATACGCTTAGTTAAATCAATCGTATTTTGTGCTCAGCACTTTGCGCGATTTGGTCGATTTTCCGTTGAGTTGAACAATTTAAGTTAATCATTTAGTGCCTAATACTATTATTTTCTTAACTCGATTTCCACCCCCGCCCCAAAACTATTAGCCATGCTAAGTGTTGCCTAGATGTAGCTGCCCATCTAATTAGTTATCATTACATTGTGTTCGTGCGTCGTTAACGTAAAATTGCTCGTAGACGGCAAATGCCATTGATTGGTAGATAATTCTAGTCCTCGAATGCAGTTAAAATTTTCTATTGCCAAAGCTCGAAATTACCTGCATTTTACTTATTCATTAACTTACTTAAAGCCAATTTGAAAAGACACTTCAAATTAAAGATTTATTCGTGAAAAATCTATCGAAACAAAAAATGATGAAACATCGAAACAAAGCATGGCATTTTTGTGCATGACCAAATTTTGTGCTTTATTTTTTTAAAAATGGTTTTCTTAATTTTAGTTTTAAGACCCTTTAAAATGCATAAAATAATGGAAAATCTAAATGTCTCGATTTAAAGTTAAACTATTTATACGAATGTATTTACGACAATTTCAATTCTGTTTATACGAATGTATTTACGACAATTTCAATTCTGTGGTTCTATCAAACGTTTTCCTAATTATGGAATTAGGAAATATACCATACTATTTAATTGAATAAGAAAAAACCTTACAATTAATCAGAAGCTTAAAAAAGTTTAAATATGAGACGGCCCTTTTGTGATGAGAAGACTATAGGTTTTCCTTATTTTTTTTTTAAGTGATTTCTGATTTTATCTTGAGTTGAGCGCACTTTGTTTGTCTTTTGCCCTCTTGACTGTGTTCCTCTTCCATCAACTGCGCTTATGTTTCGAACTTGTTGACGATATATCCCGAATCGGCTTTTCACAAAAGCAATCGAGCTGCTAAAGAGCGAACACTGCAGTTGAAAACTGTATGCTGCATGCCCAAGCGAAGCCAATAGAATGATTATTCCATCAAAGATGATAATTTCAAAGTGTATTTATATTTTTTCATATTTTTATTTGCAATATAGTGGCCGAGCATCCCATTCCCGAAGAGGATCGCAATTTGTCCCGCGAATCCGACGGAGAGAGGCGTGTGGCCACGCCCACCGCCACGGAATCCCAGCTGCCGTGGAAACGCCAGGGTGACGAATGCACGGATGCAGTGCAGCAGAATGAGTTCCCGGCTTGGGCCTCGAACAAGGAGTACTTGGCCTACAATTCCCCCAGTGCAACATTCCTAGGTAATGTATGCAGATACAGAACTCGGTGAAAGCGTTTCAGGATAATAGCTGGCGGGAATGGGAAATGAGTTTTCCGACAATCACACAACAATTTCCGAATGGTTATTGGGGGGCTCTCCTGTGGCTGTTCTTTCTATATTGAATATTCATGTCCTTGGTTGATTACTGTTTTGTGAATTGGCAAAAAACAGCTCCGGTTGCACAGAGAAAAATCAGATAAACATTTTTGTAGTTAATTGTAAATAATTTTAACTTGTCAACAAATAAAAATTTTTAAAAATCAAAGTACACAACCAAATTTGAAAATATTTATATACTGTAATGAACTTATTTTCCAAAAGTTGCATACGTTTAAAAAATTTAAAAATAACATTTTTTCTCTGTGTATACCCCAAGCAAATTTGTGTATATATCGATCTGACTGTATATTCCTATAAATGTATATATTTTACTCGATTGTATTTAAAAGCACAAAAGAAAAAAATAATGGTAAAAGATTTTCGATGGCAAAATTTGCACTCTACTTTTTGTGTGTTTACTGATTTGTTGTTGATTTCGTTGGGATTTTCCTTAACTTTTCTGTTTGTTCTTTCTCTCTTTTCCCCCGCATTGTTTTCCCTCGGTAACTGTTGCCCACTCCACTCCACAACACCTGCCATCCACGCTCCACACCAAACACCACACACCACACACCATACGAACACCCTGTAAAAAAAAAACCCTCTGATAACGCGCCCAACGAACCCGCATAAAAGGTGGTATAAACAAGCCTAAACAGCCCAAGTCCGTCATAGGTCTCTTCCGGCGTGAGAGTTCCAGTTCGAAGGCCGGAAGCGTTGGCATCGGCAGCACAGGGGCCGTGGACACCGCCGCCAGTGGCTCCGTGGATCCGATGGTTGTGCCCATTTCCACCCAAGCGCCCAACGCTCCGTCGACATCGATGCACAATCCGCGGCTGGACAAGCGCTCCCAGTCGATATCGTCCGGTTCGCTGGGTGCCGGAGCCCATCAGCTCGGTTCGGATGGTCACTCCGGCCCGTTTCCGGTCACGGCCAGTCACCGGCGTAATGTGCGCAGGGGCTCCATGCTGGAGCTGAGCGGGTAAGTTCCGTGTCCACTTGGTCAGACACCCAAAAAACTACACACCTTACTGTTTTGTCTATGTTCATTGATACTCATCTAGTGTTTTTGTGTTTTTTTTTCTGACTGAAATGGGTCTTTTAGAAATGTTATAGTCAAATTTAAAAACCTTAACTTTAACTATTAAGCAGGGGGATATTGTTTCTAATAATCAAAGCACTGAATATAAATAAACCTTAAACAATTCTTCTAGAAATATTTATTGATATGACTTTATTTTTTTTTTGGCAAATGGGTCCTTAAAAAATATTTTTAGATATATTAACCATATCTTAAATAATATAAATATTTATAGGGAAACTTTAAGGAATGTTAAATGATACAACCAGTATTATTTTGGTATGATTTTCTTCATTAATTTTGTTTTATCCAAAGACCTGCTAAAAGACCTGTAAAGTACTACAAATTTTAACTTAATTCCGAAACTAAAGTCCTAGCTTAAAACCCATTTCAGTTAAAAGTTTCTTCATTTAACGCTTGTTTTTGAAATAGCTTACTAATATTGTAAACATTTTGTTTCGTTATCTTGTGTCTTTAACATTTTGTACATTATTTAGAAGCTAAGTTACGTATTTTCATTTTTTAATAATTTTTTTTAGCCTAATCATTATAATCTAAAGAAATAAAATCATTTTAATATTATTTTTTACACAATTTTTCTGCATGCGAGTTTGTTCCATGTATCTAAAGACATTTGTTAACATTTTGATCTGGCTTTTCAATTGATTTTGAAATATCAACATTTCAAAAAGGATTCCTTGTGAACAATTTTTAAATTTAACCAAATTTAGTTTGTTAGCCTTACAAAAACGCCTTCTTCTTCAATCGAGTTGCAGAATACTTTTATTTTTTTATCCTTAAAGTTTCTTAAAAGAATTTCATACCGCATTACTGCGACCTTTTTCCCGCCATAATATAGATATATCCCCTTAAATTGCCCTTAGTTGCACCTTTTTCCGCAAAGTAAAAAAAAACGCTGCTTAAAAATAAATGTTTTACTGCCAAAAATCATTATTTTGTTTGTGGATATCTTGTGGTTGAGCCTCGTCTGTGTCTTTTATTGTGATGATTATTTTACAGACTCATTGCAACTGGACGCAGACCCAGTAGAATTTTGCAATTTAGTTCGGGAACAACTAATTTACTAGTGTCAGCCACGTTCACAACTCCTTCTCCTCCACCTCCTTCTACTTCTACTTGTACTTCAACAACAACAACAACAACTACAATAAATACAACAACCACATCAACCAACAACAACAACACCAACAATTCAACAGAAACAACATCTGCAAGTGCGACTAACTCGACGCCAACCTCCCCGAGATCGGAGGATAGCGCCACATATACGTACTGCCCAAAGTAATAAGCTTAACCGAAACCGAATCAAAATGTCTTGAAAAATCTAAACCGGCCATTAACGAATTTCGAACTCTGTGAACCAAGAGACAATGCTAAACTACCACATATAATAGGATACATATTTTAGCTCTTAATACTAACCACACCAAATTTATATACGAAATATCTTTACTGTATACTGTAGAGCCACAGATCAGAGCATATCATTGTAGAGTAACAGTCAGTCAGTCCTTGTAGGTTCAACTTTGCCAGCGATCTCTCCTTTCATCTCAGCTGGAATTATTTTAATGCAATTAAATCAAATTCGGTGACTAATAGTCTTGCAATTGGTTTTGACTTCATTCTTCTTCGCACAACTCACTCAACACAGATTTCTAAACTGGACCCACAAATTTCGACCTATTCTCCACTGTATATAACAATGAAATTAGGATGTTGTTAATTGGTGATCGGTTGATTCAGTGCCAGGCATTCATTTTCTGCATTCAAAAAATTATGCTGGGCTGCTGAAATTGTTATAACTTTGTTTGCAGTTTTATTGATTTGCGTTTTGCTTTTGTTGTATAACAGTTTATTAAAAGTTGTAGACAACCCTAAAACGGTAGTGTAATGTTTATATAACACCCCACTTTTTTAATTTCACATCAAATTTGTTGTCTTTGCATATTGCTTTTACGTCTTATATGTGTGTGTTTGTTTTATGTAACAATTTTTATGTAACATGATTGAGCATATCCTTTTGTCCAATTATATAACCCAACCCTCGCCAATGCAATGCAATTTCTTAAAAAATAACGATGCCTGAAGTGCACCAAAAAAGCCCGAAACCAAATCCGAACTTAAAACTTTACAAAACTAACAACAAACAATATTGGAAAACAATTTGATGAATAATTATATTTTTTAGCGGCGTGTCCATTGAATCTGATTAACAAAAATCCAAAGCAGCATAGAGGCAGAGCAATTAAGTAGCTAAACTGTCCACTAAATGCACAAACACACACCGTATCTCTACGCACACAAAAACACACACAGACACAAAACTGCTATAAAGCTATTTTTTATACACTTGAGAGCACCTGTGATATCCTTAACTACACACAATTTCAAAACCTTAATCCAAGTGTAACAATACTGTGTGTAAGTATTAGACAACGTATATTTTCCATATGCTACATGTATAACACTGTTCCTGGGCTCGACACAACTAACAATCGAACCCATTTAATACCCACACTCTTCTCTGTGCTAATTTCGATACTGGTTTTCTTAACTATATTTTTAAATGACGTACAAAATCCAAACAACGAACTTAAAGAAATTGTATTGTATTAAGGGAAAACGTAGTGTAAATGTAATATAGAACTGTTATACTGTGCCTTAAACAAGTCTTCCCTGTTAGCTTATCTTCCATATTCCTGTTCTATTTTAATTTGCTCTATGTAGTGCTCAAAATAAATATATAATTTTTCAAATTTCATCCTTATTAAGTGTAAGTTTTTTACAAATGATCTTTTAAATCTACATTTGTAAGCCGTAGCCTCATATTTACATTAACCCAAGACGAATACCCAAAGCATTAGCCAAAATTGATCACAACTTTAACATTAACTTTCTACGCCTTCTCTTCACATCATCCCACCATCGATTACCAACCACCTCCAACCACCGCACAACACCACCACACACAACACCACCAACAGAGACACAATACCCGAGGAGTCGTCGTACCAGCATGGACACTCCAAGTCCTTGTGCGAGCCGGCGGATTCGGATGACTGGGAGGGAGCACCACTTTCCAACGCCGCCGTCGGCGGGGCCAACAGCGAGCGAATGATGCGACTGAGCGGCAGGGAGCCGCTCCTGCCACGCCCCTCCAACACACCACGCGCCCAGATCCGTCGCATGAATGCGGGAGCGGTGGGCGGAGCAGCTGTTAGCCAGGCGGGCCGCAAAAACCAAGTGACAAAGGCTCTGTTGGACTACGAGGATTCGGAAACGGACTCCGAGGAGAACGATGACGATGATGATGACGATGATGAGGACGAGGACTTTGATTCGTACGACGATGAGAACATTGTGGTCACCACCTTTACGACACCGGCCACGGGCAGGAGATCGGGTTCCAGTCCGGGCTCAGGATCGGAAGCCAACGCCACCACCACCACGACGACGACGACGACAAGCATTCGACTGACCCGCAACAACGATGAGAGCATCATTTGAGTGTCGAGCACAGACGGTGATGCGGAGGAGGAACTGGAGGATGACGGGGATCATCTGCCAACGGAATCAGTACCACCACTCCACAATCTGAAACGTTCACGGCGAAGCCTGTTCCCGTACGAAATGTTCTACTAACTCCGGAACACACACCCCACACACACACACACACAGACACACATTTATATGACCTAGTTTGTAAGCCCAAAGTTGACAGAGTTGCAAATTAGTTTGCCCCAAAAAAGAAATGGTTTAAAACAAAAAGCTTTATAATTATAATTCTAACCACACAAAAATCGGACAAGGCTTAGATATACGAGAGTAGCGAAAAAAATTGTATATAAAACCAGATTTGAACTACAAATTAATTTCCTCTTGATCATTTAAGTCGCTTCTTAAGATTTTTAACTTCCAGTTTATGTTTAGTGTTTAGTCCCGATCAATTGTTATTATGTACCACAAACGTGTATATCCAAAAAAAAAACCGATTTATTAATTACAGCTAATGTGTTCCAAAATAGCAAGCAAGCAAGTTAATTGTGTAATAACTAACAAAGCGTAGCCAAAGTTCTTATTAAGCCCATTACTAAAACTGATTTCATTGTTTATAGTTTAGTTAAAATGTACGAAATTGAGATCACATTGTGTGTTGCTAACAGTACTTAAGCGCTTACTTAGTTCGATAACATAGTTAAAACGCAGAGTTTAGTTCAATTTTAGCCTTAGTTAATAAAGAGTTTAAAGTAATTCATTTCTGTATAGCCGCAGAGTCAGAACTAATAAGAAATCAGCAAAGTTTTTCTCAGCTGAAACTGTAATTGAAGTAACTCAAACATTCATGTAATGCATTTTTTAAATATCAGAATTGCTAATTTGAAATCACTTAAATGTGTGATTTTTTTTGAGAAATTTTAAATTTTGATAAAGTTCCCAATAAACATTTTAATTTTTCAATTAATAAAGCCATAGAGACAGTTGAGTAAAACTTTGGCTGGCCTTAACTATAAATATACACAAATCAAGTAACTAATTGTGGACAGATAAATAGACAGAGTTATGTAATTTATAAATTATTTTTGTAAACATTTACGAGCGATAAAGATAAAAATAACAAATAACAAATGGTGGAAATGTTAGAACGAAAGAGAATTTTGCGAACGATTTTGTGTGGATTTTGAGTGTATGACTAGGATTGAGCTAAATCGAAGCACTAAAAGAAAAAATAGACATGCTCAAAACCAAGTAAAATAAACTAGAAATAGTTGAATACAAGTAATTTCACTATGCTGACGTAGATTTGAAAATGCATTAGACGATTAGACGAATAATAATTTCCAGACCAGACCCAAGGGGACACACGATACGGAGCCAACTGAGAACACAGTAGCCAATATCCAGAATGGGATAAAATAAAAATATTTTTCTGGGACAGCAAACGGTATATCGTGGAAATGGAACGCATACCTACCTACTACGAGTAATACAATATATACATATTTATATATTTTCTAACTCATGTGCAACGCGCCTAGTACCAAACTTTAATTTAACCATCTACCTATTACTTAAGTAGTTTGTATTCGCATTATGTTCTATCCAAGAAATTGCCTTCTGAATATGCACACCAGATCAGATAGAATTGGTTAACTTAGTTTGTTTCTTATTTTATTTTAATCAGAAAGACAATAAACAGCTTCGAGGTTTACGTGATCTTGGAAATTGTCATTTCAATAAATCTTTAATGGAAAAAACATAAAAAAAATCAGAGCTGTGTTATATTATGAGCAGGTTTTCTATATAAACTTGAATTATTCCACTGAACTTTCTAAATTGAGTAAGGATTGTGGCATAGACATTTTATATATGGAATGGTGGCTCATAAATTTCTTGCTTAAGAAAACTATAATTGAATTCAATTGATGACTAAATCGAAAAAGTGTTTGCAATTTTCATACCGTAGGCCTTAAGTTGTGCATACTTCAAAATTAATAAAACTATTGATAGCGCAAAATAAACAAAAAAAAAAAACTTAAAGAACACACACGAAGCAAAACAGAAAGAAAGAATTGTAAATTGTTAAACTGATTTTAAATATTATATAAGAAAAAATTTTACTAAAAATAAAATAATGAAAAAAGTGAAATAATCTAGAACGAAAAACTGGGATTTTTTTGGTAACTGATTCACCAGCATCGCCATGGGCCAAATCGTTTCTTGGGCAACTGCCAGTCAACCACGACGGACTTGCCCACCAACTGGTTGCCATTTTCCTGTAGCATGGACTTTGCCATCATCTCGGTGCACTCAAACCGCACGTAAGCACTTCCCATAAGTTGGCCATCTTGTCGCTTTGATATGTACACCGATTGGATAGTTCCTCGCAGCTTGTTCTTGAATGCGGCATTGAGCTTATCACCCGATTCAGCTTCGGATCCACGCCATTGGTGCCATAAACGCTGAATGCCATGGGATCGTCTGTCACTGGCAACTTGATCCGACTGAATCTCTGTGGGTGGGAATTTCAGGATATAGTCGGAAATGATAATAGATTCTGTGGTCGAGTGTACCGACCTCCGTCGGTATATATGATTACTTCCTAATCAACATAACTGATCGATACAATATTAAAGATTTTTGTGGAAATTATGAAAACATTGTTTTTTTAGAAATCGCCTTTAAAAAGTTGAGTTATACTATATGTCAATTACAGAACCCCGTTTAGCCTAAAATAAAACCGTTTTTAAAATCAAAAATCATTTTGTTTGAAGTTCCTTTTATACATTTATTGCACCAAATATGTGTAATTTGTTATTTTCATAATTTTATTTAATATTTTTGGTTTTCTTTTTTTACTTGTCTTCTAATTATGTTTGAAACTGATATATTTCAATATGTTTTATGGTATCTTTTAGTTTTGCATTTCTCGAAGAATTAACTTCTATGTTTACTCGTATGCAGTATGCATTGTGTGTGTCTGCAGACGATTCCTATAAGTTTTCCTCGGTCCGGATTGTATATAGGTAAATATATATCGATGGTCACCATTTCGCGTTTAAAGTGAGTCTCAGTGTAGGTGAAGTGTGCTAATGCGTTCAGAATTTGTTGGGGTTCTCTATCCTCGTCGATAATTATTCTTAAGCATTGTTTACATTAATTAACTTTCGTAACGATTAAACAAGTACGCGTATATGAGCATTATATGTATGCAGGGGTGTATATGTGTGGGATTTGGAATGTACGAATATCTCAATTAACGTTTTTTGCATTTTGCTTTTTTTTCTAAAGAAAATTTTTAGTACTTTCTCTATATAGTATGTATATGCTTAGTTTTGTGGTTCATTTTAATTTATTAGTACATATATGTGGAATCAATAATCAAACCCAACATTAGCTACATAAATATGTGTTTTATGCTTTTAGAATTTTCCCGCCCAGCGGCCAATCAGTCGGTATTGTTTCGCCAACTGATCGGCGCTTTGCGGGTCTTATAACGATTTTTTTTTACTTTGGTTTCGTTTAATAGAGCTATAGACGCATAAATAGTCGTGGTATGCAATAACAAGTTACGATTAGGTTAATTCATGTAAGGTGACATTTTTGGTTATCAATTTTTTGAAAGGCATTCGACAGTGTTTCTTCATATGTACGAGATAGCGTAGATACAAATATGTGAGTGAGTTTGTTAAGTAAGACTAACTGCAACTAGCATAAACAGATTCGAACAGCAAAACGTAATATCTGACTATCATTCCAATCGAGTTGAATGAACTTCTATACGTGGAATTTGTACATACTCATTTTTTACATCTCTTTACATCCATTCCTATGCTTCAAACTAACGGCAAACAATTTCAACATTCAGACGATAAGATAATAGACATTAAATAAATACAATTATGGCAGTTGAGACAAGCGCTTAAATTAGTTATAAAATCAAGAATATTACTCAAAAAACAGAATTTTAGCCATTACATATATCTTTAATATTATCAATACTGTTGCCCGTATGTGTAAGCTTATATAACTCCCATTTTTTTTTTCTTTTTTCCATTATCCTTGATGTCTTTAAAGTTTTCTTTAAGATATAAGAGAATGGTCATTATGCTTAATATTTAGTTAACAATAATTCATACTTTCCTCCCAACTTGTTGGTTGGTCGGTTTACTTGAAATATATACAATTATATTCGGATATTATTGGAAAACACAGAAAACCATCGTTATATATACTATATGCGTATGTGTAGTAGCATTTTGGGGGAAAAACTGTTAAATATTCTCGGTTTTCTATCGATAAACACATCTAATACAACGAAATTGAAATTGTCACTTGATATCCTTATGTATTTTGTAGTTTCCATATGCAGATTACTATATAAATCCTCTAAAATGTGTCTTACTTGATTTCGGTTGTATCTTTCGTTTGATTGGTTACGAACATGAGAGCAATGTTTGATTCTATGACTGATTTCCGATGAGATCTGGTTACTAATTCTATCAACAAGTTAAGGGAATTTCACACCGAAGGGAATAAGGATAAACATTGTGAAAAAACGTCGTCAGGATGAACAATGTAAATATGTAAGTAGCCCGCTTTTAGGCTTTTCTAGAATATCGAAATCCGGAGGACATTGATGATGCTGCTGCTGCTGATCTTAATATACCCCAATTCTCAAGGGATCGTGTAGATTTGTCGGTTTGTCGGTTTTTGTGTAAGCGAGTGCATGATGCCGCTTAAAGGCCAAAGCCGAAGCCTCGTTATACGTTTCCTGTTGGCATTTGAAATCGAAATTGCATTTAATTGTTTTACTTTTCATACAAAATACAAATAATGCATTACAAAATATAAATATGCAGACTAAATAAATACACAAATGAATTAACACTAGCAATTAGATTGGCTAAATGGAAAAGAGAGGGCGCCAGCAAAAAAACTTAAGTGTAAATTTAAAAACTAAATAATCACAATTAACAAGTAGATACATCGTGGAAATATTGCAACAAAATCAACACTAAACATAAGAGGGCTTGGGTTTCTAGGGTTCAACTAGGCACGGCTTATTCGAAATAATCGTTAAAAATAATAGCATATGCAATATGTATATGGAATGCGAAAATTATAGAGAGCTAAGCTTAGCAGCGGGCTGGAACTGAATAACTGCAGTTGTGAGATTCACTGCTTGTTGGTGGTGCCATTAGCTTTCGCTGGCTTACCGGACGTCACGAAGGGGCCCACATAGTTGCTGGGGAAGAGACCGGAAAGCCCGTTCAGCTCGCCACGCCACCACTCCGGCTCATCCCGACCCAGCACGCTGATGATGTCGTCCTTTTCGAACGAGAGCTCGTCGTCATTTTGTGCCTTGTACGGATAGAGAGCTATGACTTTGTCTGTAAAGGGTAATGAAAAGATTATTAGTCAAGTATATCGACATTAGTAGCTAACTGTGGCAAACTGAAGTCTTAATACCCCTGCAGTCAAGGGATAATGATATAATACCTTTATAATAGGCAACAAAAACAAGATATGCGCTTAATTCTTCGAAAAACGCCACTTAAGTCAGTTTCATCCAATTGTTCATAAAGTAACTATAAGATAAACTCGTACGATCGACCATATATTATACATATAATAAAATCCGAATTGAAAAGTTTCAAGAATCTATTTGTTACACTGCTCAAAAAAACGGCATAGAACGTATGGTTATGGTTATATGAAAGTATAAAAGATTTATGGCAAGTACAGGATATGGTTAGCCGATTTTAGTAAAATCTCATTGAATAGGTTATAAACACTATAAAAACATCGTTAAGCGAACACATAAAAAAAGACTGAAAGACTGGAACATTTCTAGTCTCTGCGTTTAAACTGAACCCGCAAACGGTATAGAAACAGACGGACATGGCTATATCAACTCGTCTAGTCATGCTAATGAAGAATATATATAAATTATCCTTCTGATTTTATCATACCCACTACAAGGGTAAAAATAAAGTCCACTTTTGAAAAAACTTCATTCAAATATCTTTAAAACTGAAAGCCTAGTTTGCGTAGGAACGGAAAGACGGACATGCGGACACGGCTAAATCGATGCTGATCAAGAATATATACTTTATAGGGTCGAGCATTACTCTTTTCCTGCTTTATAAGCGTTTAAACAATTTTATAGTACCCTCTGCAGGGGTATAAAAAACGTAATTGCCCATTCGAGACATCATTGCCTTCTATGCACGTTTGATACTCACCCAAGATCTGCTCGGTCATCTCGATGCGGCTGCCGGAGACGGGAGTGTTGCGTCCGCTGTTGCGGCCGCCTTGGAGAACCTTCACGTAGGTGGCGGGGAACCAGCCAATCTGGCGGCGCCGTCCCTTGGCCTGCAGCTCACCCTCCCACCAGCCGGAGTCCGTCTTCTTGCGGATCATGATCAGCTGGCCACGCGTCAGCGAGAGTTGCTCGGTGCTGGTTGCCTCATAGGGAGCGATTACTTGCGCGATCTCCGATCGCTTGGCCCGCATACCCTGGAAGATGAACCGCAAAGGAAAGGAAGCACATTAGTGAGATGAAACTGTGGGCAGCGTAGTAACTGGCGGTGTCAACTATTTACGGGTGTCATGGAAGAGGTGCGTGACATGGGTCGGCTGTAGCTCTCGGCCGGCTCGCTGCTTTGTGTCTTGGACTGTGTATTGATCTGGGAGACTTCAGTGTCGAGGTCTTCGTGCGCCTCCTCGGCCCCAATGCCGGGGCTTGTGATCGGCTGCTCGCCCACCTCCTGGACAGGCAGTGGCTGGAACACTTGCTCCTGCGCCTCCACCACCGATGGGGCAGCAGCGTAGGCAGCGTTGCCGTTCAGCGTCGTCTCCTGGGTCAGTGCAAGTGTTAACGACAACGGTGGCAAAAAGCACAGCACATGAAAAGCATTGGATTAGTAGATGGACATGAGGGCAACGGTTAGACACGACTCTGGGCTTTGGGATAGTGAACTCGCTACAAAACTATAGTGTGGGTCAAGCTAAGTCTCGTTTCGTTTTGCCAACTCTATATTTACAAGTCTCAAGATTATATTATTTTGATAAACATGTTGTGTTTTAAAATTAAAAGAGGAGTAATTAAATCTTAGTACGATTAACTGGTGCAAAATCTCTCTTTTTCCTCAGATGTTTTTTAAACTTCATTGGTCCCTATCTCAATATGACTTAATAGTTCATAAAGTTATTGTTCATTGCTGCAGTTATATGCTATACATACAATATATAAATTATTTATAAATAAGTTTCAAGCAAACATCTCAAAGAAAAAGGGATCTAATGAACTCATGTTCAATTGTTTTAAAGTCAGAAAAGTATTTATTGTATTTTATTAGGATTAACTCGTACAAAAACGATCTATCTCTCATATTTTTCTATAAAATTATTTCTTACTAAAAGTAAGTAAGTAAAAGTAATATAAAACCTATATCAGCATGAGTTATTGGTTATTGGCTGTAGTTATATGATATATATACAATATATAAATTAATTATAAGTAAGTCTCTAACAAATGTTATCTTTAAACTCATGTTGAATTGTTTTAAAGTCAGAAAAGAATATTTATATATATAATTTATAAATATTCCTAGGACTAACTCGTACAGCAACGATCTATCTCTCATATTTTTCTATAAAATTGTTTCTTACTAAATAATTAGTGTTATTTAAAACCTATTTCAGCATGAGTTATTGGTTATTGGCTGGAATTATATGCTGGTTCTAAAGCTCTTGCAACGCTTAAACAGAAAAGAATTATAGAATTGTCCAATGAAAGGACCCACACCAAACTACTTAATGTGCCACATATATGAACTTACCTGATCCAGGGCTTCAACCGACTCGACAGGCGCCGCGTTCGCCGTTCCCACGTCCGCCTTCTGGACGTAGTTCGAGGGGAACATGCCGGTGCGATTGCCAATGGTGCCCGTCCACCACTCGCCCTCCTTTTTGATGACCATCACCATCTCGCCGGCACTGAAGCTAAGATCACCATCCTCGGCGGAATCATAAGGATATGCGGCTATGTAGTACTCCACATCGCCGGCGGCACTCAGATCGCCGGCGGCAGATGGCGGTACCGCCGCACTACTGATATCGATATTGTCATTATAGGTGTCCGCCACGGCTGTCACTTCGGCAACCACTTGCGGTTCGACGGCAGCAACTGCACCATCGTCCAGTTTCTCCACATAGGATTCGGGGAACCAGCCGGTGTGTCCGTTTATTTCACCAGCCAACCATCCCGGTTCGGCGTTCTGTTCCAACGGCACCAAGATAATGTCACCCGGCACGAATGTAATCTCCTCGGCATTGCGAGCATTGAACTCGTACACGGCCTGGTATTTTACGAAACCCTCGGGAGCCGGTCCACTCAAATCCATAGCTGGAGCTGCCACGGCGGTGACATCGTTGCTCATGCCAGCATAGGGATCGGTGGCAGTCGTATTCGTTTCGCCCCAAGCACTAGAGCTGCCCGTGTCCCAGGCCGAGGTCACGGTGGTCTCGTTCTTGCGATTGTACTTCAATTCCAGCACCGAAGTGCGCTGCACATCGTACTCCTTGTACAGATCCTCGCACTTGTTGAGCAGAGCGGAGAGCTCCGCCTTGAGCTCGGACATCTGGTTGTCGTTAGAGTTGATGTCCTCCTTCTTCGACTCAATCTCCTTGCCAATGTTCTCGACCTTGTCTTTGATTTGTTTAATTAACAGCTGTTTAAGTGATAAAGGTAGTTAGTGATTTATTCTAGAAATATTATATAAATATTTAAATCATTACCTGCTTGTGGGCAAAGGCTGCATTCAGTTGCTCCTGCTGCGCATTGTCGCCACCTATGGCTGCGCCGCTGGCCTTGCTCTTGGCATCCCACTTGGCTCGCTCTTGGGTGAGCTGCAGCAGCTTGGCGTTCTGCTCCTTGATGCGCGACTTCAGCTGCGACATTTCACTCATGGAAGTGTCGCGCTGAGTGCGCATGCCATCGATTACGGTCTTTACATTGGTCACGCCCGCCCGAGTGTCGCAAATCCTCTGCGACAGATCCTTGATCTGTAATTATGTACTTTAGATAAGCAAGAGCAAATAACACTAACAATTTTAATCGGGGCCCAACCTTTTCATTCAATGTGCTCAGCTCCACATTAAGCTGGGTGTTGTGTGCCTTTTGCTTGAGCACACGCTCCTGTTCCCTCTCCTTCTGTGCGTTCATTTCAGCAATTCTGGCCTGCTCCCATTCCTGCTGACGCTGCTTCTCCAGCTCCCTAAGGATTTACGAAGTACATTGATTTATTGTGGCTTCACACAAAAGCGTATTTCTCACTTTCTGGCCGCCTCCTTGGCTTCCAGTTCCCGCTTGCGTTGCTCCTCCTTCTCCATCTCGATCTCACGCTGAAGCTGAAGCTGCCGCTCCAGTTCCTCCTGCTGCTTACGCTCGGCCTCCAAGCGAGCCTTCTCCCGCTTATCCGCCTCGTCCCGCTCCTTGCGCTCCCGCTCCTCACGCTCCTTGCGCTGCTGATCCTCTATGATCTTGCGCCTGCGATCTAGCTCTGCCTGACCCTTGTCAAAGTTCTCCTTGCGCTTGTCCTCGAAGGATGCTGAAAGGGAAAAAAAATGAATGTCTATATTAAGAACCATTCTAATTATACAAACAAAAACTTTAAAAGGTCAGGCACATACTTTGTCCGGGCAGTCCGGCTGTTGGGTCAGCATACACGGCTCCCTGCGACGACACGGATGCGTGCCGGGAGGTGGGCTGCGATCCTGGACGCGACACCACCCCAGAGACCGAGCCAGGTCGTGACTTGATCTTGCGCAAGTTGGGCGGCACCCAGTCCGGGGGCAGGGTCACCGGAATCTTCTCACCGGCCATGGCCTTCTCGCACAGGAACATGGCCAGAATGAACTCGTCGCAATTGAGACGTCCGTCGCCATCGATGTCGGACAGCGTCCAAATCTGGGCCAGCGTCACCTGGGGCAGCTTGCTCTGCACCAGAACGCCGCGTGCCTGAGCCCCAGTCAAGTAGCCAGATCGTGTGCGATCATTGGCATTGAACACCTGCGTGTATTTGCGCTTTTGGGCAGCCTGAACGGCCCATTCTCCTTGGTTGCTAAAAGAAAGAGTAAGACATCAGTACTTAATACTTGAATAGATTTAAAAGTTTACTATGTAAAACATTATTTTGCAGATTATTTTTCTTTTTATAAACTTTTTTAAGGACTCTTTTAATACAAGTTGGCATTCAAAAAAATTGTATTTCTGTCCATTAAACAAATTTTAATTAGTTAATTTGATAAGAATCAAAAGATTCATAAGCTATGAAAAATTGGAGTAAGCCAGTTTATAACTACTTGTTTTAAGCCTACAAACATTTTCCCAATAGGAACTACTCTTGAGAAAATAATGATATATCCGCCCAAGTTTTAAAACCTTTTTTTTTTGTGGATATATGCTTTCTTAAAATTTCGTTTAGGGAACTACTTTTGTTAAAAGAATGTTAGATCTGCCTGAGTTTTTTAAACCTTTTTTCGGTGGAGTTATGCACAAAATTTCTTACACAAAACTCTTGTTAACTACCAGTTTTAAGCCTACACACTTCTCTTAACATTTTCTGATAAAACAATCAGTTTTTACACCATTTTGCTGTAAATCCAAGCCATTAATATGCTTACACAGACTCGATGGATGGCGCTCGCTCCGAAATGGACATGTGGCGACTGGGTGGGTTGCTGGAGGGCGGCGTGGGGCCAGCTGGCACCTTGGCCAGATCCACGACGCCGGGTGGCGAGATGACTGGAACCGGTGCAATCACCGGAGGAGGAGCCACCATGGGCGGGGGAACCACTGCGGGGGCTGCTGCAGGAACCATTCCCTTCAGCGGATCCATGGGGCTCATGGAGCTGGTGGAGCCACGTGGCGTCATCGATGGCGTCTTCTGGCCATCCGCAGTGAGGGAAGCCAGCAGGCTGGGTGGCAGCACCTTGGGCACATCCATACCGCGAAGCTTGAGGTTGATAAGCTTGCAGGCTATGCTGAACTCGTTAATGTTCATCTTGCCATCGGAATCGGTGTCCGCCAGAGCCCTGCAGATAAGCGGATGGATGAGTAAGTATTGAGAGGCTCTTATCGCCGCATGAGTCACGGGGGCGTCCCATATACATATGTAGATACTTACCAGATTTGTCCCAGGATCAGGGGCGGCAGTTGGGATTGCAGGAAGAATCCTTTGGCCTGGGCTCCGGTCACAAATCCTGCCTGTGGCTGGAGTGCTTTGAACTGCTCCTGGTACTTCATACGCTCCCTCGGGGTCACCGCCCACGCATCCACGGCCGGATTCATATTGGCCAAAACAGCACTTTATCTTTATCCTAGTTTGGCCCAGAAAGCTCTTACTTTTCCTCGTCCTTTTTGCCTGTTCGCGTGTGTGTTTGTGTATATTGCGCGAAAGTGGCCGAGTGTTTGTGGGTGTTTAGTGCGCTCTCTTCGCCCGCTTTTGAGTACACATCAAATACATGCTCTCTTTGCTCTCGTCGGTCTCTCTTGCGCTCTCTCTTTGCCGCTCTCTTTACTACGACTATCGCCTATTGAGTATCGTATCCGTTTTGGCACCCACCACCCCACAAATTTTCACAATGGATTTTTATGGTTTACCTGCAATGGAATTGCAAAAAATTATTCACCGATCACATATCTGATAAAAAATAACATCAAATAGGTAGCCCATTCGATGGGGAACGCTTTTTGTTATTTGCCTTTAGTAGGCGTTTTCACTCGACAACCGGATAGTGTCCCCAATTGCTGATAAACGATGCTCTGATAACCGCACAGAATGAGCATTGGCTTTTCCCTTATCTAACACTTTGCACAACTATTTTGGGGCTTACTTTGCATTGGAAAAGAAAAATTTTGTATTTGCGTAAATTTTATTTCAATCAATAGTCGGAACTAGTATGACCGTTCTTTGTTCTCGTGGAATTCACAAGCAAGTGTTGAATAACGTAGGATTTAAAGTGTCACTGCGGTTTTTATATTTTGGTCGAACAGGCGTTAACTGTTATTTGAATTTAATTACAGAATGTGATTCCTAAATATCGCGGTAATAAAGAAAATCAGATATCATAGCCTCAAGGATTTGGATTTATTTGGCTGAAAAAGGAAGGAAGTTAACTTCGCCAAGCGAAACGATTTCCACATCTTTGGATGTATGTATAGAAACATGTAATTTAACACAAACGCAAATAATAATAAATGCAATGTTTTCTTTACATAATTTGCACTTTAAATTTAGTTACATGAAAGAATTAAATGTTGTATTTTGTACATTACTTTGAATACATTAGTTTGAATAAAGTATTTTGACCTGCAAAAAATTTACAGTTTTGCCTATCGATCATAACAATCGTAAGGATGAATGTTTTGGCGCCCATGTTTTGGTCACACTGTTTCGTGGAGTATTAAAAAACAAAAATAAAATGTAGCTGTGCTGAAGAACCATGAGCTCTAAGCGTAAATTAACCGTGGAGACCGACGATCAGCAGGAGAATAACCCTGGATGTGCTGCTCCAAGGATTAAGCAGCACATAATAGCAAAAGATTTTGGCTCAAAAAGGAGTATTTTGGTGGAGTCTGCATCCCCTCTTCGCAGGAATACTTCGTCCAGATTCGAGACAAACTGGCAGGCGCTGAAAAAGTCCTTAATCAGCAGCAGTCAACCGGATTCTCCTGGGGAAACCAGTTTCTCCACCTGCTCGCAGCTTCTGAACACCAGTTGGCCGGGAACGAAACGAAGAGTCAAAGCTTTGCCCATCGTGCTCCAAAACTCTCCAAGGACTCCTCCTCTGGTTTCGATTAATGCGTCCAAGCCATCCTCCTCGTTCCAGACTACATGGAAAGCGTTAATGAACGAATCAAGCTGCACAGATTTGTCCCAAGATAGCTCCTCATCATCGCCAGTTACCCAACTTGTTCCGGATCAAAAAGCCAAGCAATACCTGCCAAATGGCCAAAAGAAGGCCAGTTCAAAGCCAAACTTGCGATTTGCTAGAGGAGGATATGTGGATGACTTCCAGAGATTTATGAAAAATGAGCGCATGGATCAGCGACACCTGAATAACAGAAAAGCCACACATACGGCTGAAGTTCTGGCTATTTCAATGGAGTGTGGTCTTTCCATGGCTTTGGTAGCACCTGCAGGCGGGACCAACTTTAATATACTACTTCAAAAGAAGCAGTCAGGACTGCTTAAAGTTGGCTGCAGAATACAATTTTATCTGGAGCCAAACGCTAAGCCCTTGCAGTTAAAAGACAAACAATTGGTCTATATTCGTCCTCACAATATAATTGTATTATAAATATAAGAACTCAAAGCTTAAACTACAAATATAGAACTCATACGGGAATTGCAGGATATATATAAAAATATAATTAAAAAGGACGTTATTGTATAAGTCCTTAAAGCCAGCGCAGGCTAATGTTGTTATGGAATATACCATATACTTATATTATAATATTTGAGTTATTTAAGAAACACATTAGGCGAATAAAACGCCCTTGCCAAATTGAATTACACTTAAGTATACTTTTTCACACAAAAATTAAAGTTCTTTCTTATGCCAAGTAAAAATGGAATAAAATATCAGTCTTTTAGAATTCAGATAGTGAAATCGCCTTACCAGCACACCGATTTCTCCTGGAGTATATTGTCATGGATGCGTTGAGCTAAGAATCTGTAAATAATAAAACACTTTCAACTGAGTTTCCACAAAGTCTATGATTACGAATCAAACCTCATTGCGTGCGAGGGCACAGCTGCCACAAAGAGCAGGAACATAACATTCCCCAGCTCATCCGTGTGGGCATAGCACTTGTGGTAATCCGAGCAGCTATACTGATCCATCAATATAGTTTTATTGTTGGAAGACACCGCCTCAAAATGATGCACTGCATCCATGGTCTGATCAAAGAACTTCTTGAGAATGTCCAGGCGCTGCAAGTCGCCCACAATGATGCGCTTTACACTCGCCGACTGGTTGAGATTCCTGGTGAAGAGGCTCTTCCGCGAGTGCCGGTTGATTAGAATGATGGCCAGCACATTGCCATCGATGTCCAGGTGTTCGGGCAAGCTGCGCGGCACACACCGTTCGGCGGCCGCCAGGAGATTGCCCTCATTCCGGTAGGCACTCATGGCATGGGCATGCAGCTCGCGGAAGGAGGCGTTCTCGGCTCCGCAGAGGACACAAAGGGCACTGTTCGAGGCCACCGGAATGCTGACGAAACGATAGGCTATGTGGGGACTCTTCACGGGCAGATAGACGGGCACATCGTGCTGCAGCGTGCTGGATGAGTTGAGCAGGAAGAGCAGGAGTTCCCGATCCCGAGTGTCCAGATCCCACCATCCCTCGGTGGCCACTGCAATGCGATGTCCCACCACCAGGCAGCAGAAGAGTGAGCCGCAATGGCCACTGAACTCATTGAGGCACTGCAGCAATTGTGCATTCTCCGAGGCCAACAGACAATCCGTGTAGCCCAGGAGCTGTGTGCCCGCACAGGCTGCCTCCAGAATGGCATCCACAATGGGCACATACTTCTTGGCATCCTTTTTCAGTCGCTCCAGGAGCGTGGCATGTGCCATTTCCGAGGACCGCGTGATGAACATGCCAATGGCTCCAAAGACCAAGTCCGCCAGCGTCTGGAGAAGCTGCTCTGATCCCACTCCGCAGCCGCACACAATCAATGTGATGGCATTGCTGTCCCGCCAAATGTACGTCCATTCCTCCGCATCCGCTGGAGCCTGGCTCTGGCTGGGCTGCTGTTTCGAGGTCGTTGTGGACTCCAGTTGAATGCCCAGCGATTTGAAGAACATGTGAAAGCCATTAAGACTGGCCACAGTGGAAAAGGGCAGCTGGAAGATGGGAAGGTTAATCATTTGCCGGCTGGTCGGGTTCTCCACTTACATTCTCGCATTCTCCCTTCTTGCGGGTGAACACGGGCAGTCCCCCATTTGTTGTCAAACATAACAAATAAATAGACATCGCGCCTTCCCAATTGCAAGTTGCAACGTATGCAGAGTGACCATTGTTCGATCTTTCAAATATATAGTATTTTTAATATACCAACCGGGTTATGGGAATATACTGAAATATATTTATAATTAAAATTTTAAATTATTTTTTTAACAATGTTTAATTTTACAGATTTTTACAGATAATCAAATAAAAAATCTTTATGGTTTTATTTCTTGCTAAGCAATTAGGAAATAAATGAGTTTAACAATTTTAATTTAATGTTTATCAAATCACTATATCAGAAAATCAAATTTTGAATTTATATATAAGTCGCACAAGAAACCCTTTCAACAAAGTAAGAATCTGTTGACGATCACAACTAGTTATACCACTTTAGTTTTAAATATTTTTTAAAAAGCTCATATGTTGCCGACAAAAATTAACGGTTTTTCCCAATGAATCGGACTTGTCACCAACTTTGACCAAACTATTCATATTTAAGGCCCCAATATACATTTGTCCTGAAAATTTTAAAAATTATCGCAGGTCGGTGGACTTTGAAAGCTTATCTCAGTATTCAAAACTTTTATTTTCCCCTAAACTAGTGGACCTTTAAAAGTAGTTTTAAAATTAAAAAAAAAACTTTCCATTAATTAATATCTTACGTACAATCGTGTCAGATCTTCAATTCGGTGTTGTTAATAAACTATTTCGCAATTTGGCTTAATTACATTTTTGTTTTCGTAAGCCTATCGAATCAACCTATCGATTAACCTCCGTACAAGTCTGCGTGCCAGGGCTGGAGACATATGTTTTCACCAATCCATCGACACCTCAATACGGCCACACTGTTCACACAAATTGCATTTCGCATTGTCCGTCGTCGTCGTTTTCACACGCTGCTCTTTTCTGGAATCGGAAAAAGGTAAGCTGGATATGTGGATAGCATAGATATGTTTGCCAAGTACGTGAAGCGACATCATTGGGGCGTGCAAAAAGTCCAAAAAGTTGAGAAATGCCGCCGCAGTGGCTCGCTCGCATTTGCGGCGGCGATGCGTTCGCCAGTGTGTCTGTGTGCGTGCGTGTGGTGTGCCGAGCACCTTTGCATGTGTGAGTGTGCGAAAAAGTGTAAGCGCGCGCAGGCAGTAAGCGTGCGCTTGTAGTTGTGTGTTCCAAAAAATAAGAAATAAGAAAATAAAAAAGAAATATGGTTGCCTGTCGTCAGTACGCAATATAACCAACGTTTATTTTCGCAGCTCCAGGTCCAGTCCAGTCCGGCACCAGATCCAGATCCCGAGATCGAGATCCAGATCGAGAGTCGTCGCCTTCTCCTTCTCCACTCACCGTCATCACAGCGAAAAAGAAGAAGAGGCAGCCGCACATTTCCCACTCACTTCAAAAATTATAGAAGAGAAAAGAAATCTCGTGAAATCTCAGCTCATCCGGCGGAGGAGGAAGCGAAGAAGCTATCAAAATTAACGCGGACACAGCTGCCGAGCGACGCAGACGCGAACGCCGCTTCTACTACAAAGCGATGGCGGCAATGTTGACATCGGATGAGGCGAGCAAGTTGCTCGACTTCTCCCAAAAGCTGGACATCAATCTGCTGGACAAGATCGTCGAGGTGGTGTACACAGCGCAGGGTGAACAGTTGCGACTCGCCCAGAGCATACTGACTACGCTAAAGGAACATCCGGAGGCATGGACGCGAGTGGACAGCATTTTGGAGTACTCACAGAACCAGCGGACCAAGTTCTATGCCCTGCAGATCCTCGAGGAGGTGATCAAGACACGCTGGAAGGTCCTGCCGCGCAACCAGTGCGAGGGCATCAAGAAGTACGTGGTCAGTCTGATCATTAAGACCTCGTCCGATCCCAATATCATGGAGCAGAATAAGGTGTATCTGAATAAGTTGAATATGATTCTGGTGCATATCCTGAAGCGCGAATGGCCGCGCAACTGGGAGACCTTCATCAGTGACATTGTCGGTGCGTCCAAGACGAACGAGAGCCTGTGCATGAACAACATGGTCATTCTGAAGAACCTCAGCGAGGAGGTGTTCGACTTCTCACAGGGCCAAATCACGCAGACGAAGGCCAAGCATCTGAAGGACACCATGTGCTCGGAGTTCTCGCAGATCTTCACGCTCTGCTCCTTTGTGCTGGAGAACTCGATGAATGCCGCCCTGATCCACGTCACCCTGGAGACTCTGCTGCGGTTCCTCAACTGGATACCGCTGGGCTACATCTTCGAAACGCCGCAGATCGAGACGCTGATATTCAAGTTCCTCAGCGTGCCCATGTTCCGGAATGTGACCCTGAAGTGCCTGTCCGAGATCGCCGGTCTGTCGGCGACCAACTACGATGAGAATTTCGCGACGCTCTTCAAGGACACGATGGTGCAGCTGGATCAGATTGTTGGCCAGAACATGAACATGAACCATGTGTTCAAGCACGGCACCGATACGGAGCAGGAGCTGGTCCTCAACCTGGCCATGTTCCTGTGCACCTTTCTCAAGGAGCACGGCAAACTGGTCGAGGATGCCAAGTATGTGGACTACCTGAACCAGGCGCTCATGTATCTGGTGATGATCAGCGAGGTGGAGGACGTGGAGGTGTTCAAGATCTGCTTGGAATACTGGAACAGCCTGGTGGAGGACCTGTACAACTCGGAGTTCTTCCACCCCACCCTGGAGTCCTCGAAGAGGCAGCAGGTCTATCCCCGGCGACGCTTCTACGCACCCATCTTGTCCAAAGTGAGATTCATCATGATCTCGCGGATGGCCAAGCCGGAGGAGGTGCTGGTGGTGGAGAACGAGAACGGGGAGGTGGTGCGCGAGTTCATGAAGGACACCAACTCGATCAACCTGTACAAGAACATGCGCGAAACGCTGGTCTTTCTCACCCATTTGGACTCTGTGGACACGGACCGCATCATGACGCTAAAGCTGCTTAATCAGGTGAACGGATCCGAATTCTCGTGGAAGAATCTGAACACGCTGTGCTGGGCCATTGGTTCCATTTCTGGTGAGCCATTTTTTGGGTTTTCTTAACCCAAAACATTACTTGGTTTTAACGTAATTTAAAAAGTCAGTTGTTATTTTTGTTTTCTCAACCGAAGTCTATCCCTTAAATTGCTAATATATCAATTGAACTATTTGTTTAGGTGCTTTTTGTGAGGAGGACGAGAAACGGTTCCTGGTCACCGTTATCAAGGATCTACTAGGCCTGTGCGAACAGAAAAAGGGGAAGGACAACAAGGCCATCATTGCCTCGAACATCATGTATGTTGTGGGTCAGTATCCGCGCTTCCTGCGCGCCCACTGGAAATTCCTCAAGACGGTGGTAAACAAACTCTTCGAATTTATGCACGAGACGCACGATGGCGTACAGGATATGGCATGCGACACGTTCATCAAGATTGCCATCAAGTGCCGCCGCTACTTTGTCTTCATCCAGCCGAATGAGGCCTGCACCTTTATTGACGAGATTCTCACCACAATGAGCGGCATAATTTGTGATCTGCAGCCACAGCAGGTATTGTATATTGAACTAAAAGTTATATTTTGTAATTTTAAAAAACAACGAATTTCGTTTATAATTTGAATAGGTTCACACTTTTTATGAAGCTGTTGGCTACATGATCTCCGCCCAGGTGGATCAGGTGCAGCAGGACGTGCTCATCGAGCGGTACATGCATCTGCCCAACCAGGTGTGGGATGACATCATATCGCGCGCCTCGAAGAACGTCGACTTCCTGCAGAACATGACCGCTGTTAAGCAACTGGGCAGCATCCTGAAGACGAACGTGGCCGCCTGCAAAGCCCTCGGACACGCGTACGTCATTCAACTGGGTCGCATATATCTGGACATGTTGAATGTGTACAAGATCACCTCGGAGAACATCATCCAGGCCATTGAGGTGAACGGCGTCAATGTGAACAATCAGCCCCTGATCAAGACCATGCATGTGGTGAAGAAGGAGACGCTCAACTTGATATCCGAGTGGGTATCTCGCTCCAACGACAATCAGTTGGTGATGGACAACTTCATACCGCCTTTGCTGGACGCTATTTTATTAGATTATCAGGTAAGGTCTCTAAAGTAACTATCGAAATCCATAAAGGACTTATCCTTGTTTTTAATTCGATTGTTACTTGCAAACTGGAATTGAATTGATAACTGAGATAAATCTTTTTCATTTTCGTTTTAGCGCTGCAAAGTTCCGTCGGCACGCGAGCCAAAGGTTTTAAGTGCGATGGCTATCATTGTGCATAAATTGCGCCAGCATATCACAAATGAAGTACCAAAAATATTCGACGCCGTCTTCGAGTGCACGCTGGACATGATCAACAAGAACTTCGAGGACTTCCCCCAACACCGGCTTAGCTTCTACGAGCTGCTGCAGGCGGTCAATGCGCACTGTTTCAAAGCGTTCCTCAATATACCGCCGGCTCAGTTTAAGCTTGTCTTTGACTCGGTGGTGTGGGCCTTCAAGCACACAATGCGCAATGTGGCCGACATGGGATTGAATATCCTATTTAAGGTAAATAACAACAAATTTCAAGTTTAACTTTTCAAAGCAAACAATCGCATTAACTAATGATATTCATGTGATCTCACGTCTCCATTGCAGATGCTACAAAATCTTGACCAGCATCCGGGTGCGGCGCAGAGCTTCTACCAGACCTACTTCACGGATATTCTGATGCAGATCTTCTCGGTGGTCACCGACACATCCCACACGGCCGGGCTGCCCAATCATGCCATCATTCTGGCATACATGTTCTCACTGGTGGAGAACAGAAAGATCACGGTGGACCTGGGGCCGATACCAGATAATATGATATTCATACAGGAGTATGTTGCGTCCCTGCTGAAATCGGCATTCAATCATCTGTCCGATAACCAGATCAAAGTCTTTGTCACTGGCCTGTTCAATTTAGACGAGAATGTGCCGGCATTTAAGGAGCATTTGAGAGATTTTCTTATACAGATTCGGGTGAGTACATGGAGAATTTATAAAGAGGCAATACTGATGATCGATTTATACAACAATTTTTATTCACAGGAGGCCACTGGCGAGGACGATTCTGATCTGTATTTGGAGGAGCGTGAAGCGGCTTTGGCCGAAGAGCAGTCCAACAAACATCAGATGCAGCGTAATATTCCAGGCATGTTGAATCCGCACGAGTTGCCCGAGGATATGCAGGACGAATAGATGTCGACGTCGATGTCCCAGAGCTAGAATGTTTTAGTTGATGCTTGAGAATGATGATATGATGATGATGATGAGGATGATGATGAGGATGAGGATGTTGATGTATGAGTGTTTCTCGAGCGAGAAAGAGTATAAATGTTTGTTTGATTGAATGCATAAAAGTACGTTATATATATAAATACACACCCACACACGACCCTACACAAACACACACACACATATGCATACACATAAACCTTACAGATATAGTTGCGTTAAATGGTGAATGAGTAAATGGTTATTCGTGCGCAATTACATACATTAATATGATTAACATATTTTTGCGCATTGTCCTCGACATACCAGCATAAATAAGAACACCAGCCAGTTCCAGCCCTTTATCCACATTATGTAGTTGTAAAACGTCATACTAAAGGAAGCCGATACGAAAGATGCAAACTTTATCGTACTAATATTAAAAAAAAAAAAGTGTTTGTTTGGAATTTTTTAAATGAGTAACTGTAGAAATATCGAGTATGAATGAATATTTGAGCACACACACACACACACCTCTCAGAGAACCCCCACACACAAACATGAGCAAAGTAAACAACAATAAGATGAAAGGAAACCTAAAATAAAAATTAAATTGTAGTGACTTAAACAGATCAGGAGCAGCAGAAGTAACAAAATTATATGCAATCGTTTTGCATAAATCTAGCATTAACACGATGATGGAGACGAGGAAACACAATAAGGAGATGATCAAGAAAACACGGCATCATAACGAGAATAGAGTTCATGCAATGTGTGAAAAAAAAATAGAACTAAAACGCAAATACCCAAAACACAAATACATCAAGAAAAAACAAAAATAACCATAGTAATGCGTATTAATGATCATGTTTAAATTTTTACATAATTAGTTTGTACATTAATTTAAATAAAAATCAATTAAAACTACATTGATGTATGATGAAAAGCCCATATTCAAGTTTCAATTATCTGCGCTTATTGGGTTTACTAATTCATTAGGAAAATGTTTTCTGTTATTCAAAATTCACTTAATTTCACCACTTAATGAAACGCCACTTTTTTGTAGTAGTAAATTATAATCAATGAAAATCCAAATCAATCTCAAGAGGAATTAAGAAAATTTATTGAAGTTTTGGTCAGATTAAACTAGAAGATATATTTATTTTGGTTATTTAAAGTCGAGCTTACAGATTTTTAAATGAAATATCTGATTTTGCAGTCACACGGGTGATTAAAATAAATATACTAATTATTTAGGTCCCAATTTCAGTGGCACTGACAGTCGATTATTGTGTAGAAATTGCGAGTCCTTTGAGTAGCCTTTCCAGGTCTCGAAAATGTTTTGTGAAATGAACCAGGTATTGCCAACTGGCTCCAAAGGATAAATGTCGGTGTTGTTGCCAAAAGGCAGCTCAATTCGATGCGAGACTTTCAGCTTGAAGGCGGTGCCATTGAAGGGTCGCTGGGAGCGCAAAGCCACATTCACATCCTCCAGGAAGAGACTCCAGCGCGGCATGTAGTAGTTCCTCACCAATCCCGACCACTGTTTGCAGGCGTAATCAAGAATCTGACCCTCAGGTCCCCAGGCGGTGATTTGATTCCGGGCATTGAATTCAAAGTTGTCCTGATCCTCGGCATTGGGTGCCGCCCGTTTGGCCTGCTCCAGCCAGTTGCCCAGCAAAAAGTTCCGGCCGCTGGCCAAGATCTGCTCCATGTCTTCAAACAGCTGCAGCAGCTTGGCACTGAGGTATTCGAATCGCGGCACCTGTCGCTTTCTGTAGGCCGACCTTAGGTTGACATACAACTGATCGGCGCTGATCTGCAGGAATTGCCTGGTTATGTCCACCAAATCGTGCTCATACAACTCGTATCTATCGTCCTCCAGCGGAATGATGGCTTTGGAGGAGAGCAGCAGTTGCCAGGCGTCCAGCACTTCGCTGGCGTTGTACCAAGTGAAGGGTTCCTGGGTGAACGATGGTCTTCGCGTCACCACATACTGACCACGCATTTTCTGCTGGCCACCAAAGGAGTAGACACTATTCTTGAGCAGCAGCCAAGCCTGCTCCAGTCGCTCATCTTTTACGCCATAACGTGTGAGTGAGAAATTCCTGAACCAGCTATCCAAATCCATGGGTGAATCACTCCAACCGCGCTCCAAGGTCAACGAATACATCACATAGTTCTGGCCAATACCCTCGGGAGTGATGCCCGTGCCAACCACACTGCTGTTGGCCATTCGACGCGCTGCCCCAATTCCGGCATTTATCAGCTGGGCGGATCCGAACATCCCAAGGGTGCCACCGAAATTGTGGAGCATGCACCAAACAAATGGCTGACCAAAGTACGACCTGGTCAATTCGTATTGGGGGAACTGTTCGCTCTGGAGGTCGAGCACCAGTATCCGACCGCGTGGTACGGCCGTAAGAAAAGCCTCCGCCATGTCTGTGGTCCAAAAGGGATTCTTAACGAACATCCATCCCTGCAGCAGCCAAATGGCTTGCTTGTCAACAGCTCTCATGGACTCGAATATCGCCGCCGCCGTGGATCGCATGTAATCCGGTTTTGCCACCGGTGGCTCTAGCTCATTGAAGGGATCACAGAAGAAGATGTGATTCGAGCCATATATTGAGACCACACGACTGAGGAAACTCTCGGCTATCTGGTTGAAAAGTGGCTCCGTGGGCTCCACAAAGAAACCGCAGCAAAAGCGATCGGGGAAATGATTCCATCGCTGCACCTCCATGAACGTTGAGTTCGGATGAAGACGCTTCAAGGCACGTGGCACATGACCAGCAAAGGCGGGCAGGGCCACACTCATGCCCAGATTACGCTGGGCAGCGAGTATCTCCTGCTGCAGGAGCACTTGCAGTCGTTGCCACTCCGGTTTCAGGGGTCCTGCCCATCCGCGGATATTGCCCATGCGTTGCCAGGCCTGAAATGCGGGTCCGGCCAAATGGGCATCGATCTCTGCCCGGGTGAGCCCCATTTCCGTGTACACCTCTGTCCAGATGGCCTCCTGAACTGGGGCAATGGTCAGGCTGATGCCCATCAGGGCCATCCAATCCAGATGCCGCCGCCACTGCTCGAAGCCCCACCACGCAAAGCTGTAGCTCCAGGTGCACACGTTCTGGTGATATATGATCGGGCTCGCCGACGTCGACTCGATGGTCACATTGGGCAGCTCCAGGTTGGTGGGCAGTTCGATGCGCATCTTGAACCAATCCACGTCCTTGTTTAGGACGTACTTTAGGTAGTGATGGAATGCTTTGCAAACGGACACGCCATCCCATCCGGCGAGCAGAATCCGACCATCCTTTAGCTTGCTAATCTGCGAGATATAGTGGGTTAGTCGAAAAATAACTAATACGTTAGTTTAAAAAAAAATGTTGTTAAATGGAAAAAAATTTATACATTTAAAAAATAAAACAACTCTATTTTTTTATGGTTTGTATTTAATAATTTTTTAACAGGGCACTACAATATTAAAAAAAAATTTAATATAAATAATTTTTGTTTAAAATTCTGTGTTCAAATATAGAATATAATTGCTTAACAAATATTCTAATTTATTGGTCATTAAACCACAAACCTTTTTCGTTTTTAAATGTATAGTCCTTTTTTTTTTTTGATAAAGAGCTTTCGAGAAAAATGTATAATGTACAATTTATACTGGTATTTGATCGGTATTCTGGTAATCTATGGTCTAATATATGCCAAAATAAGCCGATGTTTCTTGTTTTCAATTTTATTCATCGTGACTTCCAGTCGCAAAATATATGGTAATTGGTTTAAAAATTGTGAATTTAAAATGAAAAAGAAATGTTCTCGGTAAGCAATGGGTTGAAAATGATAGGAACTTGAAAAAAAGATATTTCTAACCTGCCAAAAAATTATTTTTCAAATGTCCACTGGCAAATATTATATAATATAAAAGAGCAATTTTACGTACCTTAAAGCTGCGTAACGCCATTAGCTTATTGACCTGCACCTGAAACATTTGAGAAGAACGTCCGCCGATCACTCTAGTGATTACCGCCAGGGCAGCGGCCTCCTGGATCTTCGGAGGAGTACTTGGCGCCAGGTGGGCAGCCAATTGTTGTCCCATTCCAGGACCAGGAACCCCATTCAAATCCAGTTCCGATGCGTTCCCGCGTCCCAGACAAAGAACCGCCAGCAAGGCCAAGACCAAGATCAGATTGCACTTCAGATGCATTTTTGCCGTCCGCCACTTCCATCTGTCAATGTCAACTTGGACTAAGTGAGTGGCTGGCTGGCTGGCTGACTGACAGCTCCCCCTCTCCCAATTGAAACTCTCTCGAAGAATGCGGGATCAGCGGAAAGAGCGCTAAGTGAACGCGATGAGCGGACAATGGAAGAGAAGAGCAGCTGGATTCGATCACTTTCTTCTTATCGCCAGATTGGACAATGACGCACTCAAGATTAACATCGCAACGGATTTGATACACTTACTCAAAGTTTTATAGCATTGTTAGATAGTGTGTAAACATGGTGATAAAATAATTTTGAAAATTACAGGAATTTACAGATAGCCCTAATTTAGAATAATTAATATTTAAATAAACTTATTTAAACTAAATTATAAATTGCTAAACCAATTTGTACAAATTTAGGTACGCTTGGCGACCTTAGTCAGAAAGCTAATTTATTAATAATTAGTTACTTTTAGTTAAGTAGCCAGTTAAAGATTGTTCTCTTGGCAAATAAATATAATAAATAAATAAGGAATGGCATTAAAAAATATTTCAATATTTCTTATGCAATTTGAAAAAATGTGTATTCTCCTAAAAGTATACAAATGAAAAAACATACATATTATTAAAATCGGATTTAACTAAAGTTTAGGGGACTTTTCAAATATTTTAACACTACTTTTGGCGATTTTTATTGTCTTGAAGCGAGGGTATTCGAGAATCGTCTTTCGAAGCTATCCTTTATATCTTTTGTCTATGTGCTATTCAACTGTCTTCTCTTAATTTAGGGGGAGTAACGGTAAAGCCTAATTTGGTCTGGCAGCTCCGCAGTAATTCTGGCCCAAAACTAAAACATAATTCTATATTTACATATGTGTGTTGTTCAGTTATTAAAAGATGTAATTACAAGGTCATTTGAGCTTTATTGCACATATTTTGTCTTAGACACTAACAATAATAAGGTTTTGCCGCCGACTAAGCCGCGATCGTATGTATGTAAATTTAAGCAACTGCAAAAACCTTTAATTCATCACACATGTTTAAAATGATGAATGCTCCATGTGACAATCAGTGTATACATATAAGTCCTAACAAATTGAATAACAATTTAGCGATATATATAAAAATTATAAACTCACAGCGGACAATGCAACGCGATGTTTTCTACCATGGTTTTCATTTTTTTATCTTTGGCAACAAAATACAATTTCAAAGCCTTGGCCAACAACAAACGTACATCGGTACGTCGGTGATGTATATATTGGTGCTTAGGAGTTACGCTTTAATAACTATCATATACAATTTAAACGTTAAAAGCCTTTCGTGTTGCTCGCTACTATAATATAATTATACACAAAATCAAAAATGACTATATCTAAACAGCCGCTGGCAAATACACAAATCATCTAATCACTAGGTTATTCTATTTCACTATCCTTAAATACAAGTTAAGTACGTATGCAATTCATGTCTATGTGTTTTTGGCTGTGAGAGTTTACTTAACTGACTACTAAAACAACCTGGTTATAATATTGTTATTCGTTTGGCCCACGGGGAAGCAAACAAATCTATGGACAAATCACTCTTCAATTTCCACTTTACCACAATCAAATCTCAATCCTTGTGACTGCAGTAAATTCGTTGTACACCACTTTTTCTTCACCTCTCTAATTTTTCAAAATTCCACAATGCGAGAACCTAGTTAAAATGTGTGCTTTTTAAAATCAGAACTACCAGCTTCACGTAAAGTTTTCTGCGGAACTTCTTTGGCAAAGTTAGTTAACTCAAAAAATTTAAAGGTTATATGACTTATAGTTCTTTGGTGTCAAATATTTTTTCAATAAATTCCATTTATGGCAACTTATTTTTTTTCTTTTTTTCTTCTCAAGAAAATAAGTTTTGATTTGGTTCGAGTTTAGCATTCTCATCTTCACAGCATTTAGCATATTTGGTCAACATTATGCAATTTAAGCCGAACGAAGGTAATATCAGAACCTGTCTGACTTTAATTGAGTTTTTTTCTATATAAGGATTCGCTTTCGGCATTAAAAGTCCTTAAGTGTTTCGGCTATTCACCTACACCTCTCAAAATTTCTTTCTTTCGTTTCATTTTCTTAAAACTCTCATTGCATGTTAAGTCTGAAAAATAGCTAATTCTTGATTTTAAGGACCTATTATACCTCATTACATCAAAGAATACACTTCCTTATGCTTTCTGGTTTCAATGCCTTCTCAAATCGTAAGCCCGTCTCTGTTCCTTTCCGTTTTCCTTAAATTCGTTGTGCACGCGGCTTATAATAATCCTATTTTCACCTTCATTTCACTCACTTATGGAGTAGGCTTTCCGAATGCATTTGCTGTGCCTGGTGATCCTGAGCTCCTCGGCATCGTGCGACGAATGCTGGCGATGAGTTACTGGTTCCAGCAGCTCTGTCGAGGACTTGTTCAAAGCATAGGTCCGAATGAAATCAATTGTGGAATAGCCCTGCGTCCCGGAGCATTCCGTGGTCTTGTTTGCTGTGGCCTCCACCGCCTCAGCGGCGACACTATTCAGGCTTTGGGTTTGAACGGGCTGAGGGGGAACGTCCAGCATGGTACCTGCCTCCGGAGTCACTGGAGCCGTCACGGGTACTGCTGTAGTCAGCGATAATCCGCTGCCGAAACCATTGATCGTTTTGGGTGAGCCCGTCGCACCCACCGGACTTCGTGGCTGATCTAGGTCTAGCACTATGTAGTTTACCCCACTACTGCCCGCCAAGCTGGTGGGCGTGGCCGGCTCCTGGCTGACTACTGGTTCCCTTGGCAGCAGCGGCAACTCCAAGCGATTAACATTTTCATAGCACCGCTCATTGCTCAAATCGAAGATCAAGGCCTCCACATTGGCGTACATGTGCACTGCATCGTTGGGACTTAAAACAGGAGTCGGAGCTGGGGCAGCTTCCAATGGCGGCAGGTCCAAGGTACGCCTTCGCATGCTCAATCTATTGCCAGATGGCGGGGTGGCCAACTGATCCGTGGCATTGCCTTCCAGGCAGCACTCCTGCAGAGCTCGCAAGGGCTGATCCAAATAGGCACTGGGTATCAGGACTGGTGATTGCAAATTGGGCGGAGAGTCATCCACATGCGTGTCGTTGGGCTGCAGCGAATGCATTGCACTACCGCCGGAGGGCTCGCTCTGAAGACTTCCCAGTTGGCGGCTCATAAGAGGAGCCGGTTCCAAATAATTATTGCCCTCCGTTCTGCCACCCATATTTGCGGACACCGAATGGGCGGAGTTCACCCGCTCGCGTTCGCCCTGCGCAAAGGCGTCCGTATTGACCGCATTGATGTAGCGCTGAAACATCGGATACAGCTGCTCGGCGTTGTGCACTCGGAACGTGTAGATACCCGGTCCGGACATGCACCTGCGTCCCGCCTCGAAGGAGAAGAGATCCGCATTGAGCCCATAGCGACGGAGGTGCTGCAGTGCCCACACAATGGGCTCGCAGTCGGGCGTCTGGAAGATCAGCTCACGAGGCGTCAGCTCCAGATAGCCACTGCGAATGATGGGCGTGCCCGGCGTGGGCTGTAGGTGAGCCACTCGCACTCGGAACACATTCTCATGGCCGCGCAGCTCGTTCAGCTTGCTGGTGCTGGTGATACAGCCCATGGTACCAAACTAAAGGGCAAAAAAGTATGTATTTAAGGGTATTCCGATTTAGTTATGTACGATGGTTATGCATACCTGGACGGCCAGATCTGGCTGGCTCTTATCGCAGCGGGCATGGAAGAATTCGCAGACCGATAAGAGCACCACCCACCACCTCCTCTGCCTTGAATCCACCACCCACTACAGGGTCTGTGAGGCACTGTGCCGTCCGTGCGCCAGATGACGAATACTGGGTGTTTCCTGGCTATATCCTCCTGGCCAACTAGTGCTCCTCAGGTCATATGCTGATTGTTGTTATTTCGCCAGGGAAATTCCGTTTGTGTGGTATAAAAATTCTTCTACGACTTTGCAGAACGCAATTGTGAGAAGCGAGAATGGAAGAGATTGCCAACTTGTTTTTGCAAAAAAGGGTCGCAAAAAACCGTTTTAAAATAAAAAAAAAATAAAAAATAGTCGTGAAAACTGTACACAATAAAAAATTAGTTTTTACGAATTTAAGAAAAGCACTAAGTGTTTTCTTTTAAATCATGTTTATTAAACTTGGGGAAAGTGGGTTTTAAATTTTAGTTATGTATGTGATTCGACATAGTTGTAAAATTTGAAACGCTTCGGCGATATCAAATGAAATTTTTAAAATTTCAATGCAAATATACTTTTTTTTTTTTTAATTTTAATTGGGCAACATTTATACAATCAGCAGGGGTATAAGTTCATTAGCTCGTGTGTTAAAACGATGTTGTTGTTTCAAAAGAATAATGAAATGATGAACTCATTTGTTTAGTTAACTTGTTTCAAAATTCAAAAATAATTAAACAAATTTATACTTTTCTTCCTCAACATAATTATCCATCTGAATCTTTTTGAAAAACAACGTAGGGTAATTTATTGAATTTGATTCGAGATTATAGCTGAATATGCAAAGCTTATAAAACAACAACAACGATCGAATTAAAAATGTATAATTTACCTAAAGTACCTATATAAAGTCAATAAACTTCGAAAACATTAGATAAATAGCCAATTTAGCGGGAAAGCAACATAGTGGCCGCACTGATTCGATGAAATTGCACTAACGCCTTTTGTCACCAAAACATCATAACGCCTCAAAAATGCCTGACCCGAGCGGACATTTTTTATTTGTGGAGCGCGCAACAAGAACGAGAAAAGAAACCGAAACGGAAAGCAGGCAAAAAGAGCTGCTGCCAGAGTAGAATCGCAAAGCAAAGAAAGAAGCAAGTGCGTGTGTTTTTAAACCGAAACCGAAAATCGAGCCAGGTAAATTGCACTTTAAGTCATAAGAAACGAAACCGAAAAACAATGCAGGCGTATATTTAAAAATAAAAGAAAATCTAAAGCCAAGCAGGCAGACGGCTTTTGTGTGAGTGTGTGTGTGTGTGCGTGTGAGTGGTGTTACTTTTGAAATTCTCTATACCCGCTCTGTACTTCGCGTCTGTTTTAAAGGAAGAAATTGTGACAAAAAAGGAAAAAAAAGAGTCAAATGAAAAGTTAATAACTGGCTTAAAGAAATGCTAACTGTATTTAAGACACAAGTGTTTGTAAAAGAGACGCCCGCCGACGCACACACATATACAGGCAGGAAAAAAGGACGCCATGCAAGGCAGCTTAGTGTGCGTGAGCGGTGGAAAGAAAATAAGAGAAAGACAGGAAATATCTTTAAATTAAATTTATTAAATTAGTTAGACTTCCTTTGTCTAGAAACCCCGCCCCGTAAATGCCACGATTTGAATTTCGCCACTTCGAAGACTCCTCTTTTACAATTTTTGGGTGTGCCGCCTTCATTGCGTCGGCGTTGCCACCACGTCGGCGTCCGCAGCAGCGCACACTGGGCAAATTGCTTTTAATGTTGGAATAAACATTTTAAGCTAAGATTAAACAAAAATAATGCTGTGTATGGATTGAAATCCTAATTTCTGCCATCATTACCGTTCTTAAAATTTAAATCGACGTTTAAGTTCTTAAAAGGCAAATTAGTTTTTTCAAATGTAATTTTGGCAATTAATTTTATTGACATATTGAAGAAAAACAACAAACAAAAAAATTAAATAAAAATATAACTCATCCGCCATGTTGACAACATGTGGGCGTGGTCCATTCGGCATATAATTTTAGTTATACGTTAGCAATATAATGTATACCATAACAGTTTTAAATCTTCATTGAATGAAGCATAAAGCAAGAAAAAATGCGATCTGTACCAGTGTGCGGCGTCGTTGGCAGCGACGCAGGCAGAGCATGCCGGTGTGGCTTTGTATCCGTTTCGCTCTCTCTAGGTCTCTCCTTTTTGTCTCCGTCTCCTTCCTCCCGCTCTTCGCTTGTCCTTTGTGCCATTGCTTCGCCTTGACTTCTGGTTCATTGTCGTTGTCTCCTCTTTGTTTGCTTTGTACGCCTGATTACACTTGCCAACATGTTTCTCCGCTCGGCCAAACATCCTTGTGCAAGGTGCATTCATAGCGAGTGTTCACTGTGGACAAACGATCTTTGCGTGTGTGTGTTTGTCGTTCCCGTTTTGCGTCTCAGTTTACTCAGATTATCGATACGAGGATCGTCTTTTTGTTTTTTCTACACTTTTGTTGCAAATAATTGCGTCGCACTTTTTGCAGCGTCAGTTGGTCCGTCAGTCAGTTCGTCAGTTGTTCAATCGCAGACGGGCAGACAGCCACCGCCCTAAACTGGCGTCGCCTACATGCCTATGTATGTACATATAAGTGTGTGTGTGTACTTGCTTGCCGGCCATAGTATACCGGTGTGCGTAAAGCGCTGCATGTATGAGTCCTTTACGAATGAAGTGGGTGGGCGCAAGAAGAAGAAGAAGCGCAATCACAAGATATTCGATTGTCAACTGCAATTTAAATTGCTTTGAAGAAATTGTATTAACTATTTGCAACGCGGAATGCTAATGCCTTTATTATACACTTTGCCAGGCAGCAAAAGACCCTTGGAAATACAGTCCAATAAATTATGCGTGTAATTAAACACCATTAAAATACAACAGAATCAATACATGATAGGCTAGTTTACACCAAATGTTTCTTGGTTTAGCTAGTAAACTACCGAAATCAATACGACTTTAAGACTAATTTTACTGTCATCGGATCGAATTGATTTTCAAAAACAAGCTTTGTTTTAAACACAAGAATTATAACAAATTTAATAATGGGGGAAATACAAATACAATAATATGAAATAGCTTATTTATGTCGGATTTTGTTTGCTATTTAACTGTTTCAACTTTCAGAAAATTAATTAGAGTTCAATAACAAATGAATGTTAAAATGACTCGAACGCATGAATGTTTAAACGAATAATCGGCCTTGTTCCTGTGTTTTTAAAATTTGTTTCTTAAAATAACAAATAGTATTTATTAAAACAAGTTAAATGTTTATTTATTTAAAGCAATGTTAAACAGAAATCTGAAATGTTAAACAAAAGAAATAATTTAAACTTAAAATAAGAAGTATTTTCTGATTGGTGGCTTAACAAAATATGTTTCTTTGTCTGTATTGCATTGTCTGCATTCAAAATAATAAAGTTTTTGCTTTATCTTTACTTTAATGGTTTTTATACCCTTGCAGAGGGTATTATAATTTCAGTCAGAAGTTTGCAACGCAGTGAAGGAGACATCTCCGACCCTATAAAGTATATATATTCTTGATCAGCATCACTAGGCGAGTCGATCTAGCCATGTCCGTCTGTCCGTCCGTCTGTCCGTCTGTCCGTCCGTCTGTCCGTCTGTCCGTCCGTTTATATGCAAACTAGTCTCTCAGTTTTAAAGCTATCTGCATGAAACTTTCCCAAAAGTTGTCTTTCTATTGCAGGTAGTATATAAGTCGGAACGAGCCGGATCGGATGACTATAGCATATAGCTCCCATAGGAACAATCGGAAAAATAAAGGAAAAAAAATTATAACTTTGCTGTTTTTTAATTTTTTGTTTAGTTCTTCGACATTTAGTAATGGTTAAATATTTCCGATTTACGGTTTAAATTTCATCAAAATCGGACGACTATAGCATATAGCTCCCATAGGAACAATCGGAAAAATAAATGAAAAAAATTATAACTTTTCTGTTTTTTAATGTTTTGTTTAGTTCTTCGGCATTTAGTAATGGTTAAATATTTTCGATTTACGGTTTAAATTTCATCAAAGTCGGACGACTATATCATATAGGTCCCATAGGAACAATCGGAGAAATAAATGAAAAAAAATTATAACTTTTCTGTTTTTTAATTTTTTGTTTAGTTCTTCGACACATGGCAATGTTTAATTATTTCAGAATTATGGTTTAAATTTTATCAACATCTCCCATAGAACTAATAAAAATATATAAAATAACTATCTAATAATTGAGCTGCAAATCATCATAGCTTCACTGTTTTTCAGTATATACTGAAGTAAATCATAATTTAAATGTTTTCAAAAGTATTTAATTCATGCAATAGCTGCAAGGGTATATGAACTTCGGCTTGCCGAAGTTTGCTTTCTTTCTTGTTAAATACTTTATGTCAGTGACCCAGTTTAGGCTAGGCATCAGGATTTAAATATGCGAAAACGTTTCTTCAGTTCGTTCCGTTTCTTTCAAATTGCAAATGCTTTAAATTTTCGTTTTGATTTGCCTTCGCACCCCAAGTGTAAACAATTTGCTTTATTTTCGAGGAGTTTGCTGCGATTGCAGGTAGTGGCTCCATCTGAATGTATATTTGTAATTCGTTTAACAACTATGATGGGGACCAAAAGAATGCGTGGCGGGTTCCCTTGAAGTCCACTCAGATTACATATTCATATTTGAGGACGAATAACTGCTGCTGCTCATGTCTTTATTGGCAAATTTGTCAACGTTTGCTCAAACGCAAGTAAACACTGCATTGCGATTGAGGAGGAGGGGCTGAGGGCAAATATTCGGTTTCGTCAAGTCCGATTCGCGGTTAACGAGCGAAGCCCGATCCCACAAATGACCTTAAATGGGGCGGTTAGGTTCTTGAGCTACGCATTAGTAGGAAACATAAAGCAATTTGTTCCGCAATTTTGAATATAAGAGTATGTGTTAGAAAGATTTACATTTATTTTTATATGGCTAACAATATTTATCTATTTACTTAGCTTTTATCAAGAACCCGAATATTAAATAAATATATGTTTTATAGATGTTTTCCTTACTTTTTAAATACTTTTAATCAAATTAAGTTACTATTTTATCAATATCAATTCAAAATTTGGTATATCATTGTTTAACACAAAATTAAAAGTAATGGAAACCAACAAAAGTTTGAATACTTCCAGGAATGAAAGCAAACTTATCCGATTAATCTAGTCACAGAACAGAGAAGCGAATTCCAGTCAAAAAAGGAGGTCTGCCAGCCCATTTACGAGAAACACATGCAGCTCAAAGTCCGAAGCTCAGTATGGAGCATGGGCAAAGTAAGGCAAAGTAAGGCAGAGTGTTGAGAGGTCCCTTGTCACCGATGAACGTATTTGTATACACAGAAAGCGAGCGAATTTCTCATTTAATATGCAAACATCTGTGTGAAAGATGTTCGAACGCTGCTCCTCCGAGTGGAAAATGTTCGCAGATTGAGCAGATTTTTATTTTACATTTTCATTTCGAAAAACTGGAGTGATATCTCTCTTATACCCTACAATTCGACCACTCGAAGCCACTAATTCCTCTGGAATTCGGATCAGGCACAAACATAATTGCTGGATCCACATTATTTTTGTTGTTGTTTTACGAGGCATTTGGCGTGCCGAATGGGGATTGTATTAATGCCAAATCAACAAAAATGTGGAAAATAGAAAAATATGTGAAGTCCGCACTAAAAATCAATCGCAGTAGCCCCTGAAAACAAAATAAACAAAAGCAACGGAGGCGAAGATAAGCGACCCTGGACAATCCGATTCGATCCAATCTATACACCCAACCATATCGCCCCTCTCCCGATCGAGAAAAATATTTAAATTCAAGCTCTTAGTGGCGTTCGATTTCGTTGTTGCGGTTTTCTAATTTGCCTTTGTTGCGTTGCTTATCAAAACCGCTTTTTGTTCGCTGTCACCTTAAGGTACAGTGATCGAGTTAATATATTTTCTTTTTTACTTAATAAAACAATTTACGAGAGCAATGATGATTTAAGGCTTTTATAGTTAACTGCCTTTAAACTTAAATGCTATCTAATTTCAATAACAATTTCTTTATGACGTGGAAATATGTTTTTGTTATAATGGATAAATGAAAATTAGGCAATAACCAAAAAATCCCAGTAATTATAAGAAATTGGGGCAAGACGAATATTTCAAGCTCTCATAATCAAGACCAGGACCCGAAAACACTCAAACAAAAAAATTGACTGGAGGTTGGGGCGTTTCGAAAGTTCACCCGTTAAGGAAAAAGGATTAACTATATATAGTTGCTGGAATATTTTGGTTCACAGAAAATAACAAAGAAAGATTTATATTTTTACCATAAGCCACAAACATGGATAAGCTTATGAAGTTATGTTTTCTAATTTATAAACTTTAAACATATTTTGTTTAGTTATGCTTATCTCATAAATTGAATGAAAGAAAACATGTCTATCTAAAACGATTTGGTAGGGAAACCTACCATCAGCGAAATAACTGACTTTGCACCAAAATGCATTAGATTTGAATCTTTTGGATTTTATCTCTATTTTATGGGAACTACGTACAACAGGAGCCAATTCCATTAACCCCGCGACCACAGCAGCGATTTATCTTGAATTGGATTTGGAGTACCCCCATCCGAGGGCGATAATTAAATAACAATACAAGAGTCCCGTTGAATGTTACACCATATATTTCGGTGATTCTTCACGCCTTCTCTTTCTCTGAGTGTGTGTGTGTGCTGCCCCCTCATGTGCATATGTATTGTTTATTCCCGCTGGTTTTTCTTTTGCTTCTGTTTTTGTTGCTTTTGCTGTTGCATGTGGGGTCATTGTGTGAATGGCAGCAAAATAAAGCAATAAAGCATACGCATCGACGCCGCCAAGGCTCATTAGTTTGTTATTGACTAAGGAGTGAGAAGAGGAAGAAGAAGAATTGAGGGGGAGGGGGGTGGCACCAGGAGCACGCCTTTATCTTTATCGGCAGCTGACTGTCTGTATGTTTGAGTATGTGTGCGAGTGAGTGTGCCCGCATTTCTCTGCTTCTTCTGACTCCACTGCTTCCGGCTGGCGTCGCTGCCGCAGTCGCTGCCTCTGTCAACTGCAAGAGAAGTTTCTGCTGCCATTGATCGCGGCTCGCTCTCTCAGTCATCGTTTTTCGCTCGACTTTAACGGTTCTCGTGGGGATTTAATTCCAGCCTTTAAATAAAAAATAAAAGAATAAAAGACGCGGAGTGCAAAACGGTTTAACTCTCACTAGTTAATTACAAAGTTAACACAGTTAATATTTACCCAGTTAAAAGAGACAGCGAGAGAGCGAAAGAGACCACCCGCGCGGCTGGCAGAAATAGTAAGTACCGGAAATCGAATAAAAAGGGTCTAATGAATTATGTATAAAAAAAAGATCCGTTTACAACACACACACTTCGAGTGCCTACTGTGAATTTCTAATTAGAAAAGCTGTGCCGCTCTTTGCAAAAAATGAATGCTAATTGGCCATGCTTCCTAACTTGTTGTTACCACTTTTTAATACACAACTTACAACTGTCGCACGCCTCTCGGAGTTTTAATTAACCGCAACTAGAGAGAAAAGGAGCGAGAGTATAAGCAAAGAGAGTTGGAGTTCCAAAAAGCGAAGAAAAGCGAACCGGTTTAGTGGGCGCTCTGGTTCTTTTTGTTGCTACTTTGCGATTTACTTTGTGTTCGTTTATCCTTTTTCAGCGAAGAAAAGAAAAAGAAGAAGAGGTGATTGTGCGTGGGCAAGCGACAAATTTATTGGCACTTATTCGCTCATTCCCGCTCTTCCGCCCTTTCGTTTCTATCAAAAAGAATAGGAAGCCCCCAAGCATTGAATATTCAAATATTTATTGTAATTATTTTCATCACCGGCCCACAGCGTAGTTGATTTAAGTGCGCGGTCGTTTGATACCCTGTTCTAGTTGAGTGGTTGAAGGTATATTGTGTTTAGTTAAAGGTGTATTATAGGTAGCAAAGAACATAACATAAACTATTTTAAAATTAAAATTATAATATAAATATTCTGGTATGAAGAAGAATTTATAAAAGATTAATTTAACAAAAGGGTCCACAATTAAAAGGATTTACCACGTCTCTTCACCTTTCAATTATCGACACACTTAATTTTTTATTACTTTACTTAATTTATGTTGCTCTTCTAGTTCCATGATTACCACTATTTTATCAAAATTAGATAACTATTGTAGACTTGAACTAGAAGTGTACGTCATACCTGAAAGGTAAAATATCTTTACTAGAGACACTTCAGGCTCTATTTAAAATATATATATATATATATATATATTGGTTGGCCACTTATTTTGTGTATACTGCTTATTCTATAAAAGTTATCATAAATAGATAACCCTGTCAGACAAAAATAGAATGCAAAAAAAAGAAAGGAACAAAAATTTACTTATCATACAATATCTCGAGAGAAATATAAAGTAAGAGTTACCAAAAAGTGTTTACTATGATAACTTGTCCATCGTTGCTACTTGTCTTGCAGATTACACATTGTTGAAATATTTTCAAGTACCATACACTCACAGCCCCGTGGCAACATACAAACATATTTCGTTTGCCATTCGGGTTTTTGCGCCTTGCAAAAAGAAGTTGGCCTACGTAGTCATCTAGCCTAGCCATCATATATGTATGTATGTAAATAGAGAAACGTACGTACAAAGACATATCGGACGTTCTCAACGAGCTCATAAAATTTTACGGTTCTTGCTGATGATTTTATGCGTTTTGGGCCTCGTTATATTTCGTACATATGTGTGTGATTCCGATTGTGTTCTGTCTGTTTTGATAGTTTTTGAATGGCAGGCCAAGAGGAAGAAGATATTTTCAAGTGCGTCTAATTTTACGATCGATGCCCCTTGCCATCGTTTTCTTTCCTTTCCTTTCCTTTCCTTTCCTTGCCTGTTTGTTTGTGTGTGGTAGAGAGTACGAGAATATCTTGAAGATATGATAAAAACCGGCTAGATAAGCCGGTCGTATCTGTATCTGCTGTCAAGTAGTGGAAAACTTGACTAGAGCACGTCTCTCACAATGTGTATATGCTTGCGAGTGCTTATTTTGTGGGGCAGGTAATGTTTGCCAAGATAACCGAGACTTGCCAAACATGCTTAATTTTTGGTGAAATATTTTGCTAAAACACGGGCTGAACATGCATTGGTCACGTTCTTTCATCACCCACTCTTGGGGGCTGAATCAATAAAAGGCCCCGTATTCTGAATCACTCGCTGATATGATTTTCTTTGTTTTCCCATATATACTTGTATATATATTGCATTTATCAATTAAGCAGGCGTGTTTCTGTACACCAAACTCCACTCTGCTTTCCGAAACACGATTTCCTCTAGTGTTATCGTCATTGTTAGTACTGATATAGAAAATAAAATAGGGTTCCTAGTACCGTTAACAATGAATCTCTTTTTTTATTTTTGGCCATGTGAATGTATCCATATCAAAAGTGATTGTAAAGACACACGAAATCAAAAGAAGGAGGAAGGGAGGTTTACTGTTGTCCAGTCAGAACATTTCGAATTGACCGGAAATGATAATTGAAAAAAATATTTTCTCTTTTCTTCGGGTCTTGTCAACTTGTGCGTGTGATATGTGTGCAAGCGAGTGTGTGTACTTGCTACTAATTATGGAATGCATTCAGTTTACGTATCGTATCATTTTCATTTTGCCACAACTCCAGTACAGCACTTACACATCAACAACAATTATATCCGGTGGTTACTTGAGACACTCGGTCGGTTGTTTTTGATATAGTGGCTTTTTCGTATCGTCTTTACTCCCCTTCTTGCACATTTTGGATTTAGCGGTTTGAAAACTTTGCAGGTCAAAAAAGCAAGGACGTAAAATACGAGAGAATTTTGACACGAGTCTTACACATGCAAAATTTGTTTGCCAGACAGCTACTTTGGAATTGATTGACATACAATTATGAAACTGCACATGCGATTAACGTTTGAATACTACAACTATTTATAGATTTTGATAAGCAAAAATAGCGTTCTAACTTGAAGTACGTTGTAGTAGATTGTTTTAATAATCAAATTTAGATTTTAGATTTAGATTTATATTTTAAGACGGCTTTTTATTCGGTTATTTGTTTAACTGCAAGTATTTAGAAAGTATTTTTTTTTACACTAATACATTAGGAACAAGATTTTCAATGCTGAAAATATTCTCCAACAAAATATTTTAGCAAGTGTATTATGTTATTCGGATTTCTTGAGCTTAATAATCTTTTATGTCGTGGGCACTTTTTTCGCACGCTTTTTGGGAATCGTCTTCTTTATCTTTTTTAGCCTGCCAATAAGATTGCATCCGCATTGTTAGTGTGCATGGGAGTGTGCATACTTTTGCGTGGGGGGCCCACAACAAGAATATTTCTTGATGACAATTAAAGTGGACTGCGACAAGCACACATGCGCTCAATAAAGTCTGATTGCGGCTTAGGCGTGGCTTATCAGCGGCAGCAAAGGCAACAATGCAATGAAAGTGCACTCTGCTTTCTTCTGCTGCTCCTTCTTCGCAGTCTTATTGTTCTCCCACTCAAACATGGGTCTACTTGAGCCTGATTGAGGGAAACTTTCCACTCAATTGAGGGGAGGATGGCTGGACAGACGGATGGATGGATGGATGGATGGTTGGTTGAATGTTTGATGTGTGTGAGCGGTGCCATTAACGATCTCTCTTGATTAGTTTATAAAAGTTCAATTGCGCTGGTGCGCATGCACTCTCTTCTCAGCCATTGTCCCTACCACAAATTGTGAAACTTTTCAATTTTAATTGCACAACAATGTACATTTCATGATGCCACTGCCACTGATCTTGGAGGGAGTGAAAATGGGTCTACTGAAATGGGAATGAGAATGATGGCTCTGCGCCTGCGCTTTAACCAGCAAATCAACAGCGGCCAGCATCTCTTGCACACCACACAAATTAATGTTTGACCGGCCGGCCGGCTAGACATTCAGACGGTCATCCAGCCGGCACATTCCAGCACAATCAATTTAATTTACGTATCAAAACGTCTCATCTCCAACGCGGGCTTGCGCGAATGAGATGGCCAGATGCGTAGATAGGGAGCTAGAGTTGGAGGGAGGAATCTGAGCTGTCAGCTTGGCTATTTTCAGCTGTTTTAATGTTTTTGTAATAGACAATTTATTCAAATTCACAAGATACAATCATTTTTAAATATGTATTTTAGGTACAATTTATTATTTTCTTTATTTCATTAAATATATTTTAAGCATAGTTTAAAATTACTGCATTTCTTTTGGGGAAGTCTTTTTAAGGCTTCCTTGTATTCTGCAAATTTATGAAATTTAAGTTTTATTTGGAAAGACAATTTAAGGGATTTTTTAGGCAATCTATCTCAAATTTAAGCTATCCACAAAGTAATTGTTTTTGTTGAACATTGTAATTGTGACTTTTTTTTATAACTGTTATAGTACTAATACTTTTAAATATATCACAAAACTTCCAGGGGCCCATCAGATCTAGAATTTTCTTAAAACGTTATATGCATGTAGTATACTTTCCTAATTTAGCTGTATTCTTTGTCAGCACTGGTCGCCAAAGAATGCAGGAGCAGCAAAGTGATACACAACAGCTTGAAGTGTCAAAATTGATAGGCGGCCTGCGTCCGAAAGGGAAGGGAAACTGAAATGAATTGAAGCTCGCACTCACGCCCATGCAGGCAGCGCCTCTTTCTGCTGTTGTTGCTTCTTTTTTTTTAACACACTCCATTGTTGATAAATGCGCTTTTATTTATAGAATGCGGCTGCTGTTTTGTGAGCTGTGAGCTGTGAGCTCTGCTCTGCGTTTTTCTTTGTCGTCCATCAGCTTGCAAATGGAAAAGAAGAAGGAGGGGTTGGGTGAACGAGGGGAGGGCGTGTGAAAGCGGGCGCACATGTCAAAAGCCATGTCTAAATTGAATTAAACTAATAAAAAACCAAGACACAAAGGCCCCGAAAACTGTCGCTGTTGCTGTCGTCCATTAAGTGATTCTCATAGATTACAAATTTAGATGGCCCATCCACTCTTGAGCCTCTCCCCAATTTTCAATCCCCCCCTTCTGGTACTTCACCAATTTGAATTTTATTTACTTCTTTTATTTAACTTACTTGAAAGCAACATTAAAATTGGGTTTTAAAATAAATGTTTTTTAATTATTCCCAAAATGTTGGATAAAAGTTTGATTAACAAACCATTTTCAAAATGATTAAATATCAAGCTTAGCATTAGACCTTCAAATACTGTATATTATATTATAATTCCTGAGTAAAAAGTTAAAGCTTTAACCCATTCGACCCCGAAGTTGCCTGTGAGCAATTTCAAAAGTTTAACGGCTATCGGTAGTCGGTGCTTTTGTTTTTGTCTGCTTATTCTTCGAGATAACGGTGCTTTGATGTGTATACTTAGAATGTAAGCAAAAAAATTCTAGTTTGCGCATCATTTGACGAAATTATTTGGAATGTGCTGGACGTGCCTCGCGTAAAAAGTGATTGTTGTATTGTGAGGTATATTGAAAAGAAAGTGATTTACTTTTTAATTACGCATTAAAAGTTGAAGAATGTGAGTGAAATTTGTTAATAAATGAATTCTTTAATGCATGTTGTAGTTCAATCTAATTGATTTCTATTAAAAAACAGCTGAGGAATTTTCAAAGTAATAAAGTTGCTTGTGAGCAACCTTGGGCCATTGCACCACCAAAATATGAGACCAAAAGAAAAAGGTTTATCAAATGATGATATTGAGAGAATTGTCAACTTCGATTGGGATGTCTCCAGTGACGAAGAAAGTGGTGATGAAATGGAAGACATCTCTGGAATGTTGGAGAATAATTTAAAAAGTATATTGGAAAGGGGAGAATCAATAGAATTTGAGCATATTGAAAATTTGATTGATGAAAAAAGCATTCAAGAAAATAGTGTTGTGGCTGATAATTGCTTTGAAAAAGTTGATCCCAAAACACTTAAGTGGAGAAATAGGCCATTTCAAGCTCCAGGGTGTATTTGGGAAGAAGATAGTAATCGCCAAATCGATGAAGTGAAGACCCCTGTAGAGTATTTCTGCAGCTTTTTTGACAATAATGTTATTGATTTAATTACAAATCAAACTAATTTGTATGGGTTGCAAGAGCACGGCATAGAGCTGCAATGTACTGGAGATCAAATAAAAAGGTATATCGGAATTTTATTGTACTTGGGTGTCATAAAAGTACCTCAATTTAAAATGGCTTGGTCAAAAGAATACAAGCTTTCTGCTATATCGGATGCAATGCCACGAGGAAAGTTTGAAAAAATCAAACAATGTTTACATTTCAACGATAATACAAAACAACTAAAAAAAGGTGATTTGAACTATGATAAACTGTACAAAATACGCCCTTTACTTGACATTCTCAAAAAAAGTTTTGGTAAACTACCCCAAGAAGAACATCAAAGCGTTGATGAGCAAATCATTGCGTACAAAGGTATTCAGATTTAAATTTTATTAAAATTTAATTTTAATTGTGTGTCTTCCAATCAATCCAAAAAATACAAGTTTCAGCCAAATCCTACAAATTCTATGCGTTACGATTGCATGGAACATTGGGTGGTATTTACTGAAAAAGGGCGTTGCAGACTGTGTAAGACAGGAACCCCAATGTCAAAATGTATTAAATGTAAAGTACACCTATGCTGTAACAACAATAAAAACTGTTTTATGTCTTACCATACTTAAAAATTGAAAATAAACAAAAATAACCATCAACTAAAAATGTATTCTTTAATATACACTATGGCCCAACGTTGCCCACAAGCAACATCCGGTAGCGCCCAAACTAGTGGGGGTGGGGAGTTCAAACTTTACTCAAATACTGCTTGGCCCAATACAAACAGAATACAAAAAAAAAAATATTTTTTTTTCGACAGGGAAAAAGTTGGGGTCGAAAGGGTTAAAAAACAGTAGTTAAGGTGAGTTAGAAACCTAGTTTTCCAGAAGCTTTTTTGCACTGATCTGGCTACATTGTTTTTTCTAAAGGCATCCAATCAATTTCAGACCGCACTCAATTATTCTCACACCTCTCAGCTCAGAGGGTTTTTGGGCAGAGGAGAGAAGGAAGTGGATGTGGACGAGGGAGGAACAACAGTTGGCATGGCAACGTGCAATGACCAGACCCGTTAATGCTATTATTGTTGTAGTTCCTTGAAAAGTGCCGGCAACCCTCTGCCTCAGCTCTCGCTCTCTTAAGTTGTCCTGCTCTCTCCCAATGTCCTTTTTCCTAGATGCGTCATGCGCACCACTTTACTTGCGCTTTTATATGTTACTACCTTTTCAGCTGAGTGCTGGGGAAATTTCGGCCATTACTCATCCAGTTTGGATAGACATAGGCCAGGAATTAATAGCCTCTTTGCTTTCCCGCCGACGGCCAAAAACACCGACATCGAATGTGTTCCTCTGTTTCTCGCTCCGTTATCACTCCGATCGAAATACATAACCGAGGAGCTTCAGTTGGTCCGGTATTGTATGGTATATACGGTATACGGTATACGGTATTGTGTTGTCTCGTATTAATTGCTGTCGTTGGGTTCATTGAACCCTCTAGAGTCTTGAAACTTGAGGTCTTGTCTTATTACGTATTTAAATTGATATGATGTATTTGTGCCGAGTGCATGAGTGTGTGTGTGAGTGTGTGATTTTGGCGCAAATTTAAAACTTTTATTAATAATTTGAAGTCATATCTTTTAAGGGGGGTCTTCATACACTGTTACTAGTATTATTAAGTAGTTTATTGGAATGGATTATTAGTCGGCTGAGTATATCAAACAGACTGTTTTCAAATTGAAATCTCGGAAACTATAAATGCCCTCCTAAGTAAGATAAAACATAATAATCAATCACAGTTTTGATGGGGGAGTATACTTTTGTAGTTTCGTTATCAAACTTTTTTCTTTTGAAATTTGCAAATCGGGCGTTTTAATTGTAGTTATCTATTAATATAATTATTTACAAATAGAAAAATATGTATTTCTGATTCCTTATGTAAGAAATAAAATATATAATATAATTGCTATGAGTAATAAATTCTTATTTTTAAGTGAATGTCATGTTAACAATTACAAATTTGTCACACCTTTAGGTATTTAATAACCTCTTAGACATCTTAGGTGATTCAACCGTCTTCTGGGAAACTCCAATATCAGAACGTTTTATTTTCCGGACTATCAGATGGGGACAATTCATTGCTTCAATGTTTTGCTTCCTGTCCAAGCATTGACTCATGTCCACTAACTAAGCAATAATAAAGTGAAACTAATGAGTCACTGATGGATTCCCGGAGAATTCTTAATTTGCATATGGCGCACCACGTGCCGGTGGTGGTGCGTGTGTTTGTGTTTGTGTTAAAAGTGGGAGTGTGTGTGGGAGGCAGATGGGTCGGATGTGGGAGGCTGTTGATTCACCGGGTCTAGATAAAGCGGTCGAAACAGCTGCTCTTTTAGCCTTTGTTGTCTGTGTGCCCGTGTGTGTTGCCGCCATTTTTTAGCTGCACACGTACACACCTTCCCCCCTTTTTTTTTTTTTTTTTCAACTTACAACCCCTAAAAAATGCAAACTTCTTGTTGTCCTGTCCGTTGCACCTCACCGCCGAAAAATTTGGTTCTTTGCTACGGTTTCTGTTTCATTCACTCTGGCAAAAATTTGTGTGTGTAATTCGATTTTGCTTCAAAATGACGCATTGCATGCTAAAAACCAGCCCAGCTACCAGCCCTCCTACCCCCCATCCACCTATCCACCTTTTCTCTTTACTTTTCTGTGGTGTCTGTTTCGTTGTTTCATATATAAACTTCACAGTAAAAAGGAAAAACATTCAAGTGTCGATGAATCATGGGAGGCGCACGTTGTTTACGATTACTGCCGTCTGGGTTGGCGGTTACAGTGCTGCCTCGGTAATTGTAGACGCCAGTTAGTATTTTCTAGAAATTATAAGACATATGTCATTGCATAATAGTTCCAATGAGCTGATAGTTTAGCGCAAACTTGTGTGATTCTAAAGAACCATAGGTAACAAAATAATTACATTCTCATTATGATATCTAATATTTATTGAATTATAAATTTTCTTTATGTATCTTGACTTTTGTTCCTTTTACTTAAATGAAAATATATTGTGGAAATACCACAAACAATTCTTAAGTAGAGAGACTACACATTTCTTCATGGGCTCGGCAATTTGATAAGCTCTCTGAAGTTGATGCGAACGACAGACCTTAATGAGGTTATCGAATTGCATTGGAAGATCTCGAGTGCGACTCAGTGAAAATGTCAATCGCAAAAATAGGAAAAACACAAGCTAAAAATAAAAAGTGCCGGCGTTCTTGTGCCATTTCCCCACCACTCAACAATGTTTCACATTTAAACTAATTACTCTCTTCATTTTCTTTCAGTTTACACTAGAGACTAAAAGGATCAACAGGAAAAAATGGGTAAAGCTCAGAGCAAGCGTTCAATCGACATCACCACCGATCCCAAGAAGGTCGGCGAGGGCGATGAGGTGGCCGGCAAGGTGGAGAAGATTGATGTGGACCAGAAGACGGACGCACCGGCGGTGAACGGTGATGCTGCCACGCCCAAAGAAGGAGGCGATGAAGCAGCGGCGACGGGAGAGGTAAGCAAAAGGAATAAAATAATTTAAGGGGCTCTTAAAAAAAACCAAATTGATCTAGGCATAAACATAAATATTTCTTATTACGTACCATTCTAAACACATTTTATTTCGCCTCCCAGAAAAAGGAATCGGAGGAACATTCTGAGAACGACAAAGATCTGACCACCGAAAAGAATGCCGCAGCTGCTGAAGGTGGAGATGCGGCTGCTGAAACGGCGAAGGGCGAGGAGGGTTCTCCCAAAGAGGGAGCTGCTGCCGCTGGCGAGGATATCACCCCGCTGGCCGATGAAAGCATCAAGTCCAAGTCCAAGAAGGATAAGGTCAAAAAGAAGTGGTCCTTCCGCAGCATCTCCTTTGGCAAGAAGGACAAACAGAAGCCTGCCAAGTCGGAGGAGGCTGTGTCCCCCACCTCTGGCACAACGTCGCCCACGACGGCCGAAGCAAAAGCTGCTCCAGCTGCGGATGCAGCTCCAACGGCGGCCACAAACGGCGAGGCCGAAAAGACAGCCGAGGTAAGTGGTCTCTGCTGCGATGCGGCAATATTTCCCCTGACTCGGTAAATAATATTATTGTATCATTTTTATCAGACTGCCGCTGCTGAGCCCACCAACGAGACTGCGTCCAAGGATGAGGCGAAGCCCGCCGAGAATGGATCGGCGAGCGAGCAGGAGAAACAGGCCAACGGGGAAGCCGAGAAGGCGTCGCCAGCACCAGCAACAGTTGAGGAAGCGGCACAGCCCAAGCCCGCCGAGGAACCAGCCACTACCACTGCCACCGAGTCGAACATTGCTGCCACCACCACCACTGCCACCGAAGAAGTTCCCGTGAAAGAGAGCCAGCCAGAGCCGGAAGTGGTTACCAATGGACATGGAGCCGGGGATGGAGAGGCGCTGACCAATGGATCAAGCAATGGACTGGCCGAATCTCCAGTGGCCGAGACAGCACCGGTAGCTGACAACATTCCAAGCAACGTTGATGACGAGCAGCCGCATCAGAATGGCACCAATGGCACTACCACGCCCCCGCCCACTCCCGTGGCCGTCGAGACCGAGAAGGGACAGCAAATTGAGGTAAACAACCACACAAGAACAGACAGCACTACACACAACAACAACAACAGCAAAAACTTCACTGTAAATACAAGTACAACAACAACAACAACACCAACAAACACAAAAACAACAACCGAAATCACAGAAAACACTGCACTAAAAACAATAAGTACAGAAACCGAAAGAACTTGCACAAGCACTGTGACCGAGACCGTTGTATCAGCCGCAGAGTTAGTTCAGACCCAAACAATCCTAACCAAAACAACCAACACGATCCTTCCCACCTCCCACACGCAGGCCAGCATTGAAGCAGTTACCACGACCACTACCACTAGCCAAGCGGAGGAGGAAGTTGTGGCGGCGATCATCAAGGCGGTTAGCAGCGAGCTTGAAGCCGAAACGGAGACTGAGACGGAGGCTGAGGGATTCGTGGTTGTTGCTCCTGTGTCCCCCGTTGAAGTTGAAGTACCCGTTTCCATTTCCCCTGTTGCATTCGTGGCAGAAGTTCCCGAAGTTGAAACTGAATCCGTGGCCGAGGTTGCCAAAGTTGAAACTGAATCCGTGGCCGAGGTTGCCAAAGTCGAAACTGAATCCGTGACTGAGGTTCCCAAAGTCGAAACTGAATCCGTGACTGAGGTTCCCAAAGTGGAAACGGAGGCCGCTGCTGAAGTTCCCGAAGTTGAATCGCAATCCTCTATCGTGGAGACCAGGAGCAGCAGTCCGCCACCTCCGTTGCCCAAATCCCCGCCTCCATCCCGAGTCTCTGCCTTTGTCCTTTCCGACGAGGTTATCGAGGAGCAGGTAACCCCCAACAACACCCCCGAAGTAAACCGTGATGAGATCGAGCAGCAGGCCATGAGCATTGTGGCTGAGATCACCGAACAGGCGGCAGTAATTCTCACTGAAAAGGAGAAACAAGAGGAGGATGCCGAACTAGAGGAGTCTGTTCCTGTAGCTGTTGAAGAGATCGCCGCCGTCACCGCCGACGTCGCCGCCGTCACCGCCGACGTCGCCGCCGTCACCGCCGACGTCGCCGCCATCAGTGTTGAAGTTGAGGAGGAAGTTTCTTCAGTTAAAAACGAGGAAGAAACAGCTCCCTCCCAAACGGCTGAGATCATTTCTTCTACGCAACCGGATGTTGTCGAGGAAACTAATGTAGAACAACAAACATCCGATGAAGAAGAATCTGTCCCAGTTCCAGCTTTCATTGATCCTGCGGATCTGAAGGAAACGGTTGCTGTCACACAAGAGACCCTTGCTGATGAAGAGGAGACTGTTGAGGAGGCGGCAATTAAGGATCAAGTTGAAACCCACCAAGAAGAAACCTCCGAACAAGAAACATCAGACCAAGAAGCCATATCTGAGGATGCGCATAGCGATAACGATAACGATAAGGAGAACGAAAACGGAAACGAAAACGAAAACGACCTGGTCGGAAACATAATTAGCGATCTGGATGCCCCGATCACCAAAGCAGTTGGCGAACTCCTCCTGGCAGAATTGGATGTGAGACCCACGGAACAGGAGGGCGAGAGCAACAACAAGGTGAATGTGAATAGCAACTGGCAGTGACTATAAAAACTGCAACTTCAACTCTTACAAAAATAATAATAATAAAAAAAAAAAAACAAAACACCTCGACTTCAACACACCATAACCATTATTGCATCTGCCGCTCCATTTGGTGGGCATGGATTTATGTCCTGGGCGTGTGCCTCTCCTGCTTTCTCCACTCTGTGTGTGTCTCACTCGAATGGCATCAGTTAATCTGCTGCTGGTAGCGCGCTTGTTGCCGTAGTTAATACGTAGTTCGTTAGTGTTTGGTACATTGATTGATCTCTTTATTGATTTGCTCGGGGGGAATGCATGAATTTGTTGGTGATGTAAAGCGAATGAAGTACGTACTACTAAACCGAGGATAAGCGACTGCATTTCGGTGTATTTAACCACACATTCAACCAACCAACCAACCAACCAAGCCCATAAACACAACTTTCAACTGCATTCATTCTAATCCACACATACACACAATACGTACATATTTAGAAAACAGAAAATTGCTCCCAATTCCCATCTATACCGCTCTGTCCTAACCGAAAAAATCTGTTTGGCTGTCGTAACTCTTGCGCTCTCACTAAAACCAAAGACCATTAAAATACACAACTGTACCTAAATGTTGAACACACAAACACAAATCGCTTATTATATTGAATACATTATTTTTGTATACCATTTTGTTTTGTTTTTTTTTTGCGCTGGCGATTGCCTTTTGTCATTGTCGCGTCCATTTCCTCTTTTTTTTTTCTAATTGTTGTTGTTGTGCTTTAAGTTTTTAATCTTTTTTGCATACGAACCGATAGTGTTTATTTAAACCATATATATCATATCTAATAACATTTCATTCCTTTCGTCTTTCACAGGTGGATCTCGCCAAGGATCTGAAGGAGAAGAATGCCGCGGCAGACGTTACAACACAGGAACAACTGCCCGTTACATGCGAATAATCCTATTCATAATTATTATATATAATATTACATATTATTAAAAACAAAACAACAAACGATACAAGCAACAACAAAAGAACGCAACGTAAAACAACAAACAATTACAAGATAAACGAGATAAAAACAAAACAAAACAAAAACAAAAAACAAGTAAAAATACATTTTTTAACATTTACATATTTTAAATAATTTTTGTACGAACTTCATATCCCTAAACCAAGATATACGCAAGCAAAAGTCAGAGTTAAACGTGACACCACCATCAACGCCACGCCACGCCACCACTGTAAACACTGCAACCACTGCAACCACACAACCACCCCACTCAAACACCCACGCGCAGGCATCAATAGTTTTGTATTGGTGCCTCTGAATTCCAGATCGGGGGAGTCCCCCTAAACAAACAACACACAACCATCACCCATCAAGCACACACATCCACCACACATGCGCATACATACCATTCTCATATTGATGATCTTGATAGATAAAAAGAATCAACAAATCATATACGATGATGAAAAGATGAAAGTGAGGAGAATTTTTTGAATAATTTCTACTATACATTTAACTGTAAGTTCGAAGAAATTTGTAAAGAATTTTTGGACGAAATATTGGATAAAATATATATTATAAAATATAAAACCCAAAAGCGTGCTTCACTCATATTTGACCGGCTGAGAAAAAAGACAGATACACAGAACCGCAGAAAGGAAACACAAATTTTGTTTTAAGTTTTAGTTCTGTTTTTTTTTGAGTCCGATTCCTCTTTAATATAACTACAAAAAAATAGTTTTTCTTTTCAATATACATGATGTAACCAAGTGTTACAAAAATAACCATTTGTCCTGGTAAACTGGAGTAAGCGCTAAGATTATGTTCTAAGTACATTCTTAATATTTCGTAATGGTTAATTTAACGTAACAAAATGTTACTACAAACAAACTACAAAAGCTCCAACGAAAGCTTCAAAAGCGAAACAAACGAAACTAAGAAATGATAAAGAAAAGCAAATACTAATTGTGCGTCTTTTGCAACTAAATAGAAAATCCTACTAAGTACACTAAATGTATTCAATAAATTAAAGCGTTAACTTTTACGCTGCGCAACGTAAAGAAATATGGTCAAAAAGAATTTGCCATCCAACAATGAGGCGAACATTATAGATTATAGGCGAAACCAAAATTGTTTCCAAATCGAATCAAATCGAATAATGGCCAGAGGAGGACCTCTCCAGTTCGGTGGAGGCCACTCAGCATCTGACAAAAAAGCGCTGCTTGTGCAGGTGTAGTTGCTGCTGCTTCCGGCGATAATCCGGCACATTCCGGAGTATGAATACGGCTGCGAAGAGCATGTACAGCGACGACAGCATGATGAGCACGGGAAAGGAGAAGACGATGTGCGCCATCCGGACCTTCCGTTGAGCTATTGGCGAGTAGAGGTAGTCACCTGCAAGGATCAACGAGAATATATAGTTTAAACTGGCTATTTGGGGTGGATCAATTAGCATAGAAGAAAACAGTAAAACATTTGATTAACTTGAGTTATACGTTTAGGAAAAAAAATTATTAGATCTGATCAACGATTGCGATAAAAGATACAATGTATCAAAGAAGTAGCTCTTTTTCGGGTTTTCGATTAGATTTTCGCTTCTGAAGGTCAGTCTATAGAAAAAAACTTAAAAATTAAATAAAGGAAAAGAATTTCAAGTCGATCGGAAGTTATATATTAAGAAACAAGATAATATTTTGGCATCAGCAATGACTGCTATTAAAATTTGAATATATTGAAGAAGTAGTCTTTTAGCTATATTTTCAAATCGATTCGTTGTTTTATTTGCACAGTTTTTAATTGATAAAATTGTAATTTACTGACTTTAAGGACGGTTTTATAGGCATCTTTACAGGCTTTAATACATTTCAAAATATGTCGTAAGCGCCTGATACTAGTTCTTTTAAAGTCTCCAGAAACCCACTACTATGGTTGTTTTATAAGATTTAAGAATTTAAAATTGCTAAATTTAGATGACTTAATTAACTAAAAAAAACAATTAAGACAACTTTCCGGTTGTGACAACAAGATTTTATTTCGTTCTCAATGTCAATGGAAGAGTTTTTAAAATTGCGTATGATCTTTTCATTTTTGATCAAGGAAGGAGGAGACCACTCACCATTCCAGTTCTTGTAGGCGCATCTTTCTCCATCGTAGTCGTTCACGCAGAGGCAGGAGTGGAAGACTGTGTTGTTGACCATCGGATGCTGGAAGCAGGTGCCCCCATTGAGGCAGAAGCTAGTGTTGTAGGCCCCGCTGCAGGGCAGCATCTGAATCTCGGTCTCCTTGCTCTGGATCGATTCCCTGTCTGTTGCTGGCGCGGATGTGCTCGACTCGGGCGGACTGGACGAGCTCTGGTCGTCGGGTGGCGGTTCTCCTGTGTGTGTTACGGTTGCGGGTGTTGTTACTGTCTTGGGGGCGGTGGTTGGAGTGCTGCTATCGCTGGTCAACCAGGTTGCAGTACTGGCATCGAGGATATCCGCTGCCTGTGCAGGTTCCACTTCCACAGAGGTCTCCTCACCGGGTTGTTCATACAGTTGGCTGTCCATGTCCGGCTTAAGATCCGTCCCGGGATGCAGCTGCTCGGCTGCCTCTTGGGCCGAGGCCTCAAGCTGTTTGCTCTGGAGCTCAAGACGATTGAACAACTCAACCGCTGTTTCCTGGATCTGCTGCTGCAACTCGTGCGCATGCTCGTGCATATGACTGTGCTGATGCTGCACAATTTTAAGCGTATGCTCTCGGAGCAGTAAGATCCGGCTCGAACAACAATCTACAGGACACAAAGTTGAAAATACATGATTGAGGGGGAGTAAAATCTATATTGTGGAATTTGAGCCTGGTCTTTATCTGCCTATTCCCATTATATGCAGTAAGCTCACTTAATTTTCATATTTCTCAGTTTATTAAATTAAATATATGTGTAAGATTTGAAGATATTTATTTTAATTTTCATCCAAATGTAAGTATGTATCTAGGTTTTAAAAATGTTCGTTTTGATAACACAGACCAAGTAGCGAATTTTTTTAATTTCAAGATTAAACTAATTTTATAAAATGTGGATTTAAGCCTTCTTATAATATGTTGGTGTATTGAGTATTTGTTTTAGTAAAAATCACTAAAAATAAGAATATGGGCCACATAATTCAAATTGTCGTTAAACCTGGGAGTTTCATATTCTAAGCTATACCGTTAACCCTAAAATATTCAAAATAAGTTTGCTAGAAACTTTTGCAGAGAAGCATAGAAATTGTTTAAAGAAACATTTTATATTGTTTGTTTGGTACTGTGTGTACATAAAATTAATATTTTAAATGTTGAAAAATATTTTTTTAAATACATCACTTACTCAGCTACAAGGGATATCTTTGATTTAATGATAAGTGATACTATGCAAGTAATAACACAGTTATTAGAAAAAAATGGATTCCAAAATTAGTTGTTTGACAAAATTTTGAAAAACTTTCTCGCCAGAAATAGCTATTTTCATTTGAGAACCTGGCAATACTGTCATGGGATTTGGGGATCTGGATTCAGGTGTGGACGTCTGGGAATTGGCTTACCTGTGACGGCGACAATTGTTGAGAGCACGAAAATTACTTTAAATATCCGAGTAAATGGGAATCGCATCATTGGAAAACGCTGGCGGGCGTTCCGAAAACAAACTTGTGTAGGTGGACCGATTGTCCACCACTAGGAAAAGTGAGTCAATGGATCTAGGGATCGAGCGGCGTGTTGGCCGCAAATGCAATTTGGCGTCGCAACGGAGGCAAAAACATACTACACACTTGCATCTCCTTGTGGATTTTACTGCAAAATAAAAATAGAACATTTTAGCGCCTCCACATTTTATGTCACACGAGCACGACACACACACAAAGAAAAATAACACTAAAAACTGATGATCCAAGAGCTTATTTTAGACCCACGTACTGGAGCAGAAATGTCGCCTGGAAAAGGCTGTGACATTTTATTTATTTATTACAATGGATTGTGAATCATTTTATGTATTGGCAAAATTAAATAGTTAAACTTAGGAGCAGCAAGCGCGGGAAGCGGGCTCTTTTCTGCTCTGCCTTGATTTTAGGTCTTGTTGCGCGCACTTCGGAAAAGAGAGTAAAGACTAAGGAAAACAGAGCCAGAGAATCAGATGGATCCCATCGGCATGCGCCATGAATGAAATCGCACGGTGAGAGGAAAGAGCGATGAGAACGCCCCCCCAAAGAGATGCAATCGTCCAAGAAATTAGATTAAGAGATTAAAATTACAGTTATTCAATTTAACTCCTCTTCACTTTATGCTGCATACTTCTAGGAAAGGTTAATAGTACCACGTTAAAAGGCTTAAAAATTAATATGCGTTTGGACAATATTTCAAAAGTCATGGGAAGATCAATTTATGAGTTCAAATCGTAAAGAAATAAAATTTAAGACCGCAAAAATCTCTTTGAAATAATAATGGGGTAAAATGTGACTTTTGGAATAATGAAAAATAGAAGATACATCAAACAAAATTGCATGGTTTTTAAATAATGACAACAAATGACACTTATAAAAAAACACTTAAAAAAAAATGTGTCACATTATAAAAAACATGAAAAAGAAGATAACTTTGTCTACAAGAAGTCTGTTTCCATTTTTTTCAATTCAACGAAGTTTTTATTTTTAATTCATTCTGTTACTTTTTTATATAATTTTTTTAAAATTTATTTCTTTTAATCTACAACGTGTCATTGTAAATTTCAAGTTCAGCGGTTGAAGTGACTCGACCAACGAATTTTTACTTTTGATTTTCTCCCGAATGGCATTTCTGAAGTCAGGGGACATCTTAGAGCCAAAACTACCAAAAACTCTACATCTTAGAGCCAAAACTACTACCGAAGAATTTTTTTTTTAGTATCGTTAAATAAAATTTAAAATAAATAGGGTCTTATTGTTTACCAGGGGAATTCTAATACCTTTTAAACGCAGTATTATCTATATTTATACCCTTGCAGAGGGTATTATAATTTCAGTCAGAAGTTTGCAACGCAGTGAAGGAGACATCTCCGACCCTATAAAGTATATATATTCTTGATCAGCATCACTAGGCGAGTCGATCTAGCCATGTCCGTCTGTCCGTCCGTTTCTACGCAAACTAGTCTCTCAGTTTTGAAGCTATCTGCATGAAACTTTCCCAAAAGTTGTCTTTCTATTGCAGGTAGTATATAAGTCGGAACGAGCCCGATCGGACGACTATAGCATATAGCTCCCATAGGAACAATCGGAAAAATAAATGAAAAAAAATTATAACTTTGCTGTTTTTTAATTTTTTGTTTAGTTCTTCGACATATAGCAATGGTTAAATATTTCAGAATTATGGTTTAAATTTCATCAAAATCGGACGACTATAGCATATAGCCCCCATAGGAACAATCGGAAAAATAATTGAAAAAAAATTATAACTTTGCTGTTTTTTAATTTTTTGTTTTGTTCTTCGACATTTAGTAATGGTTAAATATTTCCAATTTACGGTTTAAGTTTCATCAAAGTCGGACGACTATATCATATAGCTCCCATAGGAACAATCGGAGAAATAAATGAAAAAAAATTATAACGTTTCTGTTTTTTAATTTTTTGTTTAGTTCTTCGACATTTAGTAATGGTTAAATATTTCAAATTTACGGTTTAAGTTTCATCAAAGTCGGACGACAATATCATATAGCTCCCATAGGAACAATAAAAATATATAAAATAACTATCAAATAATTGAGCTGCAAATCATCATAGCTTCAATGTTTTTAAACTTATACGCAAGTAAATTATAATTTTAATGTTTTCAAAAATGTTTAATTCTTGCAATAGCTGCAAGGGTATATGAACTTCGGCTTGCCGAAGTTTGCTTTCTTTCTTGTTTTTAGATGTTCCTGTGATGCCATATGATCTTGACCGAAACCCACATTTTTTCGAAGGACCGCTGACACGCCCCTATGTGTCAATACCTTTGGATGCAGTTTTTTCCAGGATACTAAAAATGACGTGTATAAAATATAAATTGCACATTTTCCAAAATTTAAGAACAAAATAACGAAAGTATTCCTTTTTTTGCTTTGAAAGCCTAACACCCTTAAGGTTTATTTTCGTTTTATGTTTGCCGCCGAGATTTATACACACCAAGTTTTAAAGTATAAATTTAGTTAATTTATTGCCTAGCTTTATGCTTAATAAAGAGTACAAAAGACTTATTAGATATCGACTAATAAATATCCCAGCAGAATTTGAACTATTACGCGCACTTGATAAAAATAAATTCAAAAAAACTATGGCAACTACCCATTAGGATTGGGGGTCCAGAGGAGAAACTCCCAAGTGAGTGTTTCCCAGGAAGTCCAGCTCGGAGCTCTGGACAATGACGCGTCCGATGTCCTGGGGTTGCAGGTAGACAGGAGCATTGGTCGCCGTCGTAGCCAGCTGATCCAAGGACTCCTGCTGCAGCTTAGCGGCCAACGAGCGGCGCAGCAATCTTTCCACAAATGTGCGAAGCACATGCCCCAGCACAGTGAGGGCCACTGGCTGTGAGACACCAGGCGGAGATTCCTCCGGCTCCAGCGTGATGTTGATGTCCTTGCACATTTCCTGGACCAGCTGTAAGGCCGATTCCAAATGCTTCGGTGGGGGTAAATAGAGCAGATGGCGATTGTTCACCACTTGGAGGGATTTACTTGTTAACTGAGTTTCCCCGGTGACTTGCGAATGGGGCTTGTCCACGCCCAAGACATCGATAAACTCTTTATCCCGCATCTTCTGGTCGTGACCACGTAGCCTTTGCGTTTGCTTGACTATCCAAGCATCCAGTCTATTGCCAGAGCTGAGACTACTGTAGGCCGAGATTGGCTGGTGTGGTTCGCCCTTCAGCTGCTCCTGCACCCGCTGAGCCAGTTGCTGCTCTGCCCCCAGTTTATGCTTTCGTTTCCTATCCTCGCTGGGCAAAACCATTTTGAGTGGCGGCGTGTAGCCATGGACCCTGGCGAATACCACTATTTCCCGCAGGCTCCAGTAGTGCTCCTTCCCGCTGCCATCCAGTTGCTGCAGCTTGTGGTGTTGCACTAAACAGCGGCGCAGAAGTCGTGCCCGCATGTACTCAAAGCATCGTTGCTTTAGAGCAGTTTGCTTGTGAAATTCGTCGAGCGTTGTACACGTGAAAGGATACTCCTTCTTCTGATCGGTCGCTGCTAGCGGCAGTCGTCGCAACAGGAACTCAACGGCACTACGCATGTTTTGGAAGTGCGAACTTGCAAATATCTGCTCTAGCTTACGGGGTCGCGTCTGTAGAGGAGTTTCAACCAGCGGAGTAGGACTGTGGGACATCAGTGGCCTTTCCTCCACCTCCCCGCTCATGTTCGCATACCCGTGATCGTGCTGTATGCACTGCAGCAAATGCCAGCGCTTCATCGTCGGCGGTTTGAGGAGACTTAGTTGTGGCTTCAGTAGCGATTGTTGCTTTGCAGCCTGCTTAAGTTTCCGCTGCAGGGGATCAATGATATACAGCTTGCCTGCTCGCTGGATCACAACGTTCTTCTTGCCCTGGTGATGGCCATTGCGCACAGGCTTAATGGATGGCCGATCGGGCGATGATTCCTGAGCAATCTGCGACGAAGCCTCTGACCTCGGATTCACTGGCAAAGATTCTTGCCTCGGACTCCTGCCATTCACTGGTAGATAGACCACCGAAGGTCGAGATGCACTGACGGGAGTTGCATTCAATCGCAGCTGAGGCCTGGGCGGGGTGGCTGGACAGGGTGGCTGCTTTCTGGGACTGTAGCTTAACTTTAGAGGCTCCGAGACGAGCACCGTGGGTTCAATTTGCTCAATGTCGTCGCTCATTTCAATTTTGTTAATGCCCGCAAACAGGTTGTCATCCAATTCCTCCTTGTTTTGGGTAATGGAAATGGTGCGTGGCTTGCAGGACTCCACCGGAGATGCAGGCAGTGGATGCTCGAAAAGAGGAATAGCCGGCGCAGGAGGAGCAGGTTTTGCAGGTGAAAGCTTTGGAGTAGCCACGGGCTTAACACTTTTCCTTTTCGTCATTGCCTTTTCTGCTCTCAGCCAGATTTCCACAGTAGTCTCGGCACCCATCGTGTGCAAGCCACACATAGTTTTGTCCAGCACCACCGTGTGCATGAGCTGTACGGGCTTCTGTTTTAAGTGCTCTTGGAAGAACAACTGAATGCGCATGGGAAACTCGCCCCAGCCTCGACGCGTTATCTGAAACGGAGGACTATGCACGTCCACAATGTCGTTGGGGCGGTAGGAATGATGCAGATGAAAGCGCACCTAAAAAGGCAAGGCGAAAAAATATTATAGGAATTATTTAAATTTTTTTTAGAGATATACTTGCCTTTTTAATGTAATAACCAAGGGGTTGGGGTAGCCCTTTGCCCTGCACATAGACCAACCACTTGTAGATCAAAGCTTGTTCGCCATTGGATTTCTCTCGGGAACCTTCACCAATGTACTTGGAAGTGTTTCCCACCACAAAATTGAACTTATTCTTGTTGTTTAGCCGTGAGGCATTCAGCTCCAGTTGCTTTTCGTAGGCCTGTCGACTGGTGCAAGGCTGCTCATCCTCGAGCTTTATCGAGATGGGAGGCGGCGGCTCCTGCTCTTGCCGATCCTTGGAGTGATCGGTCACGATGCCCTGATCCTTGATCTTCCGCTGACGCCTTCTTTCCGCACGTCGATGAGCCGGATTCCTTAGCCTAATGGTTTGCTTGGCCAAGGTGGCTGCCGTGCGCTCTGGCAGATGATTCTGGATGGGAACTGGTCGTTTGCCAACGATTTTCTTGATGGCCGGATGCAGAGGCAACTGAGGGGCGGAAAGGTCGTCCCCAAAGAGACTGTCACCACGCACCTTGGCCACGTCGGCTGCGGTGAGGGGAACCTGTTGCTTCTGGTAGTACTCTCTGACCACCTGGTAACGCAGCCTGTCCAGCAGCTGGCGTCCCTGCATCAGCCGTCGATCGATCTCGGCCAGCTGCTCAACTTTCTGGTTGATTTCGCGCTGGAACTCCAGACGCAGGAGTTGGCGGATGCGCCAAAATTTGTCACTGGGCGGTGGCGGCACCTGTTGCTCCACTTTGGGTCGCTTTCCTTGGGCAGAGGTGAACACCTCTCCGTCACTGGGATCATCCTGATCCTGGTTGGGAACCTCCGTTTGGTGATAGTCCGGATCATGGTACTCGCTGTGTCGGCGCTTCCTTGGCAAAGTTGCCTGTTGCTGCTGAGCTTTGAGCCGATTGGAGCCCTCGAAAGAGGCCTTGTGATCATCCTGATCCCGGCCCGGAATTTCCGTTTGCTGATAATCCGGATCGTGGTACTCGCTGTGACTGCGCTTCTTTGGCGGAGTCGCCTGTTGCTGCTCCTCCATGTGCGTGGTAGCGGCACACGCACAGGGCTCGGATCACGTGAGTGCGGCGGGGAACAGCTTCAAGTTATGCCCGAAACGCTCCTCGCACATTTAAGCCGGGGTTATTGGCTGTTATTTATCAAAAATGTGTAAACAATTGTGATGCGAACGAGGCGGCGCAAACGGAATTATATGGGAGGCGTTGCCACATCGTGGGAGTAGATGCGTGCTGACGATCGCTAGCCAACACTGGTCGTCCAGCTGTTTTCATTACGCGGGAATCAACGACGCCGCCACCACGGTAAATAAGCAATACTTATTAATCAAACGCAGTAAAATGGTCGAGCGCATTGAGGATCTCAACCTACCGAATTCCGTGATCGCACGGCTCATCAAGGAGTCCCTGCCGGAGTCGGCCAGCGTCAGCAAGGAGGCGCGAGCAGCGATTGCACGGGCAGCATCCGTGTTTGCCATTTTCGTGACCTCCTCATCAACGGCTTTGGCACACAAACAAAACCACAAGACCATTACCGCCAAGGATATTCTGCAGACCCTCGGCGAGCTGGACTTTGAGAGCTTTGTGCCCTCGTTAACGGAGGACCTGGAGATCTATCGCAAAATGGTGAAGGACAAAAAGGAGAGCAAGGCCAGCAAGAAGGATACGAGTACTACCGCCGAAAATGCCAATGCCAGCACCACTGCAGCTACCGAGGATGCCACCGAGTGATCCTGTCTATCCGAAACAATTATCTACTATTATTAACTAACTATTACTATCCTCTTTAGTCCTTAAGCATAATGTTAGTATTATCATAAATGGCACACAATAAACACTGCATTTTTGAGTACTTCACACAGTGTTTAAGAACTGAATGGTCGCCTCATTTTATTTCCAGTTGCAATATTCATTTCCCAAATGGTAAACGCAATAAAAACATTCAGCTCATTTTATGGGGACTTTTGTTAAAGTAGGTGCTGTGGAGCATGATCATTTTACATATCATTTCACTGATGCAAAATATTTAAATAGGTTGCTGGTATACATTATATGAATACAAAGCTATATTCAACAAAGCTTTGTAAGTAATTCTTGAAAGGACTGAATTGTGGAATATTTAATACAAATTTTGAATGACCAAAAATTGTTCCGGTCATATATTACCCGCTTAATTTAATTTGTTTTAATTTACATTAAAACTTGATAAATTTAATTTTTTGTTTTTCTTCATATGTAACTATCTAAAAACTATTGATGAGATATGAACAAATGAATTTTTATGCTGTAATTTTGCTATATAGTAAAAACGAATTCCGTGTGCGTTATAGATTTTCCATGATGTTATTATTACAATTTTTGTAATGAAAACAAATGAGCAACTTTGATTTTTACGATTTAACAACCTATGTTGCTACAATTTTTAAAATTTGAATTTGTATTAAACAACTGACCAAAATTCAATCATTCAGCAATTCTTTTTATTCACAAAATCACTTCTTTCAAAAGTCACTTCTTTGTTCATCACTGATATTTTGTCACATTCGTTTTCCAACACTGCAAACAGCTGTCTGAATTGGAAACCGCGTCCCAAGCTCGTTGCTTCCGTTTGATAATTTATTATATTGCATGTTTTATATTAATAATCTAAATTCAAGCAATGGGAGTTACGGGCCTGTGGAAGCTAATCGAGCCGTGCGGCAAGCCAGTTCCCGTAGAAACCCTGGAGGGTAAAATCCTGGCAGTGGGTAAGTGTTGATTTCGCCTCCCAATGAAATACTTTCTAATTGGAGTTGTATCCTGCAGATATTTCCATTTGGTTGCATCAGGTGGTGAAGGGCTTTCAGGACAACAAGGGCTCGGCCCTGAGTAATGCCCATTTACTGGGACTGTTCCACCGCCTCTGCAAGTTGCTGTATTACCGCGTACGACCGGTGTTCATTTTTGATGGATGTGTGCCGCAGCTCAAAAGGGAAACCATTGTGCGTTACTTACTTCTACCATGAACCTAGTTTTATTAATCCTTTTTCGGGTGTCCTTTTCAGGCCCGTCGCCAGCAGCAACGGAATAAGCTTAGCAATGAAGCCGATCGCATTCAGGCCTTGCTCCTGCAGTCCCTGGCCAAGGAGAAGGTAGTGCAGCAGGCACTGGGCAAAAATGCGGAGCTGCTGCTCAAGTCACCGGTTAAGAGACCGCCTCCAGCGAAGAAGAACGATGAGGATGACATGTTCAAGCTGCCGGAACTGCCGGCGTCGTCGTCTGTGGGGCAGGATGATCAGAATGCAAGTGAACAGGATACCAGTGCCTCGGATAGCTCCTTTGATGAGTCCACCGCTCGTCATTGCTACAACTCTAGTCTGCAGGCCATCGATGTGAAGAGCCAGCACTTTCGCAATCTGCCCGCCGATGTGCGGCACGAGATCCTCACCGACATCAAGGAGACGCGAAAGCAATCTTCCTGGGGGCGCCTGCACGAGCTACCCGCCCGCAGCGATGATTTCTGCTCCTTCCAGATGAAGCGTCTGCTCAAGCGTCGCGCTGTTCAGGAAAGCCTGGAGCAGGCCGAACAAGAGATGGGCGGTGTCGCACTCACCTATTCGCAATTATGCGATTTCTTCAACGAGGAGGGCATCGTCACGCCCACGGCCATTGAGCAGAGCACGCGACAGATCAGTTCCGATGAGCACACTCGATTCCTGCTGGTCAGGGATCTCAAGAAGAAGGCCCTGGAGAGCATCAAGCAGGAGGTAAAGATGGAGACGATTGAGGAGGTGCCCGCAGAGGACGATGAGAAGCCAAGCACTTCGGCGAAGCAAGAGGATGAAAAGCCAAGCACTTCCACCAAAAAGGAGCCCGAAGAAAGCACTGATTTGGGTACGGAGTTCGATGAGGATTTGGCCAAGGCATTGTCCATGTCTATGGAGGAGACCAAAGTGTACGACGAGAAGGACTATGATTACGATTCGGACCAAGAGCTGCGTCTTAACCGGGCACAAAGCAAGCAATTGCGACATGCGGCCAAGGGACCTGCTAGGGCATATATGATCGAGTACGGCGGAATGAACGTTGAGGAGGTGGGCAACATCATGGAGGCCACTCAGCTCAATGACACCCAAAGTCTGGAGAAGTTGCTTGAGATCACCACAGTCCAGAGTGATATGGCTAACGATTCGATCGAGGAGGCCAAACTAATATCCCAAGCTATTGAAGAAAGCAAACAATTATCGCAAGCGATTGAGGAAAGCAAAAAGACTTTGAGCGAGGACAAGGTGGAGATTGTGGATACAGATACTGACTCGGATTTGGAGGAAGTTGTGGAAGACCGAGAGCCAAGTAAGGGTAAAGAGAGTCTTGAGATTTGTGTCGACATCACCGAGGACCTAAAGGACTCCAACGATTTATTCGCGGATATATTTATGAAGGATGATGATGCCAAGAAAAAAACTGAAAGCGATGATGATGATGATGACGACTTCATTGAGGTTAAAGATAGTGAGGAAATGGTGTTGGATTCCCAAAATGAAGCTAAGGCAGTTATTAATAAAAGCATTCAAGAAAATCCTCAAAAAAATAAAAGTTTTGATGAAATTATTGAATTAAAAGACAGCCAAGAACAGATTACTGAAGAAGTTAAAAATAAACCTGATCTAGACTCCATATTGAGTGATCTTAAGAAGGAAACTGCCGCTGTTAAAAACATTCAACTGAATTTAAGTGGGGAAACAGATCCAAAACCAAAGGTTGAACTCAGTTCAATATTAGACGATCTAAAAGTAAAGATGGCCGAAGTGAAAAACATCAGTCTGGATCAAGTGAAACTAAGCAACAGTGCGTCCATTGTGTTATCCTCCGACGATGAAGGGGCAATCAAAATTACAAAAACAGTTTCAAAGGATGAGGTAATTGAGTTGTGCGACAGTGACGATAACAAAAAGAATCGCATATCACCAAACAAAACGCCCAGCAAGAACAAGTCCATCAAGGACTTCTTCGACACCAGTTACGTGGTTAAGCGAACGCCCGACAAATCTCCAGTGGCGGATGAAACTCCGCCGGGAACACCCAAAACTCCGAAACCCTTCTTCAGGAAGCGAACACCAAAGTCCGGACGGAAAAGGGCCAACGATGGGGCGGAGGATAGTGATGACGGAGTTTCACCCACCAAAAGGTCCAGTAAGGCTTCAAAATCACTCTTCGAGCCAAAGGAGACGGAAACGGAAAAGACTATAGATCCTCAGGTAAGTCGGAGAAAAATGATACACAGTTGTGGTCAGAATACCAATTGAAAGTAGCTTGAAAGCAGCTTAACAATTAACCATATTTAATTTAACACTAATTGAGAAAAGTAATGTTTTTAATTTTTAATAAAAAAAATATACTTATTATTACTAAACCTTTTCTGTTGCAATTTTTTGCCCTAATTTTTATTTACCCTAAGTAACTAAAAATATATATGGTGTTGATCTTATCTTACTTTGTAATTTGGGAATTATTATAAATAAATTATGAAAAAAGCTTTAAATTTCACCTCTTCTATTAATTTGGCCAAAATTATATATAGTACTGTAATTATATTATATTCAACTTTTAAAAGTCCTTTATTATGTTGAATAATCCGCTTAAAAATCATATTAAGTTTATTCTTAACTTTTACAGGATATTCTTAAAGATGCAGCCGAGGCTTTAAAGTCGCAGAAGACCTCCGAGGAGCTGCAGGAGATGGCCAGCAACCTGGCCCAGGAACGGAAGGAGCTGGAGATGGAGCGCAATCGGCAGGACCGCATGGGCATGTCCATTAGCCAACGCATGAGCATCGATTGCCAAGAGCTGCTGCGTCTCTTTGGCATTCCCTACATTGTTGCACCCATGGAGGCGGAGGCGCAGTGTGCCTTCCTCAATGCCACGGATCTCACCCATGGCACCATCACCGATGACAGTGATATTTGGCTGTTCGGCGGTCGAACCGTCTACAAAAACTTCTTTGCCCAGAACAAACATGTGTTGGAATTCCGTTCGGAGCAAATTGAGCAAACGTTCAACTGCAACCGGGGCAAACTTATCCAGTTGGCTTGTTTGGTGGGCAGTGACTACACCACCGGTATCCATGGCATTGGTGCTGTGACGGCCCTGGAAATACTGGCCTCCTTTTCCGGACAGGACAATGGTGCCCCGGATGTGTGCAACCAATCGGTGTTGCAGACATTGATTAAGTTTCGTGACTGGTGGCAGGCACACAAGAGTAGCAATCTACCTCCGGGCAGCTCAGCTCGTCTTTCTCTTCGCAAAAAGCTGAAAAACATCGAACTGCACGAGGGATTCCCAAACGGAGCCGTGGTGGAGGCTTACCTGGCGCCCACAATTGATGACAATCGGGATGCCTTTAGTTGGGGCACACCGGATGTGGAATCAATCAGGGAATTCACACGAAAGTCTTTCGGCTGGACCACTTCGAAGACAGATGACATTCTCATGCCCGTTATGAAGAAGATCAATGAGAAGAAAATACAGAACTCCATACGAAACTACTTTACGGCCAAGAGTGCACTGCGAGTTCAGCAACCGCTGGTCAGCAAACGAGTGCAACTGGCCATTGACCGGATGTCGGGAAAGATCGAAGAGGCGACTCCCGAGAAGCCAAAGAAGGTGACACGCGCTAAACGGGCAAAGGCAGCGTCGGCGGCAGATGATGATGTATCCAATGCGGAGGACGAGACTTCCAAGACTTCCCGTCCCAAGCGGTGCAAACGCAAGGCTGCAGCCACAATTGGTTCAGAAGTGGCGGATGCGGAACAACCTTCCTCCTCCACTTCCACTTTGCAGTCAGTCTCAAGGCCAGAAAAATGTCCTCGGATACCCAATACCGTAGAAGTTATCCCGCAGCGAGAAAAGGACCTGGAGCAGATGCGTTTGTACAAGGCCAAAGCGGCGGAGATTCTCAAAAAGTCAGCCAAGGCCAACAACAAAAAATAAAGCTAGCAAAAATCTATTAAATCGAACTTTAAGCATTCATCAAGTGAAGTTTTAACAAGGTGGGTTGATTTCATAACTTTCAGATTTCCGTGTTTCGCAGCAACCCAGAGAATAACATCTGTTTTGTTTTGATTTTGATTTTGTTAACTAATAAGGACATAAGACATCATGATCACGAAACGAAATTTTGGTTCACCCTTTTCATACCACACCTATTTCAATTCACGCAACATGAAAGGTTTCAAAAGGCGAAAGACGAAAGACCGTCAATTGCAACAAATTCTACACAAACTTTTGAAACGTGAAAGCAGTTCAATGAAGAGGCTACCGAAAATGTCGCTGCATCAGAGCCGATTTATGCTTGCTGAATGCATTAAATTGTTGCAGCAACAGAATCGAGAGCTTCATGAAAATTACCTGCAAGAAGAACGCAACAACAGAAGACTAAGTATAATATCTCGGAAATTAAGACGACATAGAGCTCACAGTATATTACTCAAAAACGCTTTTAACAATTTAAAGAGTTCACTCAATGAGCATGGGTGCAACGAAAATCCAACAATAAAATCTCAACTCAAAGAAGTAAGAATGTTGACCAAAGGCAATATAAAAGAGGTTGAGGATTGTATTCGAGTGACAAAGGGCATTATTGTAAATAAGATGGGCATTCTGAAGAGGAAAACTAGAAGGTCGAAAAAAAATTATTTTGATAGGACGATTGATCAGTTTTATAACAAACTTAAAATCCAAAGGAAAATTAAATCGAAAATAAATATCAACGATGTTACGAAAAAGCCAAAAGGACCATATGAAGTGCCCTCTGTTCAAGCACAAAATCGTGGATTGGAGACTGAAAAATTCAATGAAAAGTCAGGTGAACGACAAGTTATTGGTGGCATTGTGAGCGCATGGTCGAACGATTCGAAGAATTTTAAAGGTTCCAGCAGCGGTTATATCGTGTTTCAGACCACAAGTATCTCCAAAGAATTTAAAGACATCCTTGAAAAAAATACTGAAAGAAAACTGAGCCTCCACGAAGAAGAAAGTTTTGAAAGGAAAATAAAAGGAATTCCTCACAACGATCCAAAAAAACCTGAGCTTAATGAGTATAACGAAATTGAAACAGGTACAAAATTGAAAAATAAAAGAAAAAATCCCGAAAGTGTTATGTCACTCAAAAGAGAACAAAAACTGCACGGAAATGTACAAGAAAATCTTTCCATTGAGCCCCAAGAACTTACAAATACTGAAATAAAGACTGACAAAAGTGGAACAGCCAGGAAAATAGAAAAACCTACCGATCCTATTGCGAGGTCGAAAAGAAAAGTTTCGAAGGTGAAAATGTGGCTAGGAAGTTACAAAGGGCCCAAAAGGAGATCAAAATCGAGTAAAGATGCGGTCTTAAGAAACGTACACTTTAAAAATCGTTCGGCTAGTTACCCCAACAGCTTCAATAGATCAACATTTAGTAACTCTTTGACTGGGCTAAAACCTCATCCAATTATTGAAAACAAAGCAAAATCCGATAAAAACATAACCCAGTCTAATATGATGCTTCAACCAAAACCCTTTAAAATCGCTTCAAATTTTAATCCTGTTAAGACCAAATTTTGGGATTCTCAAAGAAATCGGCCACCGCTTTCAAAATTTAATAACACTTCGTCGATTTATAGAAACCCCTCCATAAAATCCATGGAAAATGTGGCAAGGAATTTTAATCAGTCAACCATGTCGCAAGTGGCCAGTGCAATTGTCGATCGTTTGCACGATGCAAAGCAAATAACTTTGGATGAGACAAGATTTCACAAACAAATCCACATAAGAAGAATGTCTTTGAACAGTTTTCTGGGAAAGATTTCCAAAATCAAGCCCGGTGATCAGATGAATGCAGTGTGGCATGATTTGCAGGAGAAGCACAAAGTGTGGTCGGCCAATGCCAAAACCCCCGAGGATGTCCAGAAAATTAAGAAAATTCTCAAGTTGCGCTATATTCATAATGTGCAAAAACTTTTGCACAATCATATCAAGCAATTGAAGAACGATTTGGACGGCGGAAGATTTAGTAGAGGAGCTCGCACTAGTTACATGCCTACACATAGCTATGATTCCTTGGGGCTTCATAAAAAGACATCTAAAACGGATACTATTCCAAATAAGAATGTGCACGAGAACTTTATCCGATTGCAAATGGAGATCCTGAGATCAAGGATTTTTGACCGCGACGTGATACGAATGGAACGCATGCTTATGGCCAGGGAGGTGCCCTTAACGGAGACAGATTTCGAGATTTTCGAGAGATATAAATATGATCCTGACCACTACAACATCCTTATTTTGTCCATTGGCAGACCCATCTCGGATGAAAAGTACGAGGAAAAGTTGCCAATTCTGGAGCGAAATTTTGAATTCATTTGCAATCAATTGGAGATCATTTCCAGGCAAAGAAGGCTAGAGAACATGCAAACAAAGCATGGTTTGCAAAAGGCAGAAGAGGAAATAGTATCGAAATTTTCAGGCGAGAGCTTCATTGTCGATCGTATAGACTTTAATGAAACCTTCCTGGCGAAAAGACGCGAGGTGTGGGCAGCCTACATTGCCAAGCAGGCTAAGACGCCCACAGAGATTCTTTTGGAAGCGATCCGGAAACAGAAACGAAAGGCTCAACTTGCCAAGAAAGCCGAAGAACGCGAGAAGCGGCACAAGCAAGTGCAGCAGATGCCCAAAAGGAAACGTTCACTCAGTGCCATGTACAGAGCTCCCAGGAAAACGCATCGTGAGCGACTGGCCACCCAGAATATCCAGATGGAGATGGAGGAGGCGGAGGAGTTGGCGGGCAGGCAATCCAAGTCGAGGTGCCCGGCAACGTCGTTGTGTTGCCGGCGATGCAGCAGGTGCGGATTGATCTGGACTCGGAGGTGCTCCGAAGTTTCCACCGAGGAATCGGTGGAACACATTTGCCCAGTTAATCCTTAAGCATTGTACGAATCTCATTGGAAAATCATATTGCAGCTCTCAATATGATTTTGCCATGAGATTCTTATACACTTAAATAAACACTAAAAAATTATTTAACAAACATAGTAAGACATTGCATTGCCCATAAACTAGCTTCACGATTTTGTGCAAAACTTAATTACAGAAAGAATAAATGTACATTTTTTAACATCATTTTTATATGAATTTCCTAATTCAATTTAAATCGATTTTAAAAACGAGAATAAATTTTCAAAATGGTACAAAAATATTTCAGTTCATGTGAAGCAAATTTTTTAACATCAATTTAATGAATAACATATCTTTAATTTGCATTTTGTATATTCTTATATACATGTGTAGAAAATTATTAACATCAATTTGAGGTCATTTATCAATTTAATTTTACATAGAAAACTGAATGTTATATTTTAAAGAATATTTTGTACATATTAAGGCACGTTTTCAATCTTCACGTTAAACTATAAACAGCTTGTAAATGGAATTGTATGGAATTTTTGCATACTTATATCTAAATGCCGAGGCAGTAGAGGAAGTTATCTCGACATCCCACGTACACTCGTCGCAGGCTCTCAATATAGCAGGCACTTGAGAACACTTCGCCGGGCAGTTTATCCGACCACTGAATCTCTCCGTTTCTGAAGTTCATCAGGACGACGCGACCATCGGTGGCACCGCACCAAACCAGTAGTCCGTTCGGATGCACTGTGAGCAGACTGGGCGTGGCATAGATGGGTGCTCCCAGGTTGATCTTCCAGTGCAGTTCAAAGTCAACCGATACCGTCGAGCCCGATCCTGTTTTGCATCGCAAGCAATAAACATGCTGGTCGATGCAACCGAAAACCACAAAAGAGTGTCCCATGAACGTCGGTGGAGTCTTGACCGCCAGCGAGGAGAAGATGTTTCCCTCTGTGCTAAAAGTGGCCAACTGAAAACGTAAATTGCTTAAGACAGATTTTTAAAATTGGAAACGGGGGATAACTCACAATTTTTCCATTGCCCACATGACAGGCGTGAATTCGTCCAGCCACTTCGGCGCTCAGAAAGATATTGGATTTGGATTCCAAAAGGACGGGTGTGGAAAAGATGGGTTCTTTCAACTTTTGCGTCCACTCCACCGAACCATCGGTGATGGCCACACGCGAATAGCTGCCGTCCAACGTGCACATGATCAGCGACTGTTCGTTTGGCAGCTCCAGAGGGCCGGCGAAAATGGGCTTCTCGCCAATCCTTAAGCACCAGAGCACCTCCTGCCGCTCGGCGGACAAGCAATAGACATTGTAGTCCTCCGCATAGCTGCACACTATGATCCGACGGCCGTCGGCGGTTAGCAAGGGCTGAGACTTAATCATGCCCCCAATTCCCACGTTAAACACAATGTCACCGGTTTGCGGATTGAAGCCGTAAAGGCAACCATCGTAGCAGCCCACAATGGCCAGTTGCTCGCTAAGAAACGTCACCTTACACTCGATGCGGTTGGGTAGCCTGACTTTGCTCAGCTCGCTGCCCGTCAGGGGATCCAGAGTACGCAGAATTTTGGAATGAGCACCCACGCAGACGTAGCGACCCTCGTACTCGGCGACTGGCGAGTCTACGCACTTTTCAAAGTTCACCTTCCAGTGAAACTGAAGCTTGAGTACTGGCTGCTCAATGCGTTTGATGATCAGGCCACCATGGTGGCAGTTGGTAACTGCCGCCGGCTCAACGGGCTTCAGTTTAATATTGTTGGCCACCAACTTGGCCGTGTCCAAAAACCGCAACACTGTGCGCAACGGAATGTTCTCGTCCAGCAGCATTTCGAATAAGTGGCGTTGCTCATCATCGATGCACATTTGCAGGCCAATCTCTCGACATATGGTGATGGCATGGAAGGATGTGCCACCCGCCTGACGGAAGCTCAGGTCATAGCCACAGGGATTGCTGTCCTCCAGTCGCTGCCTCTTCGCCCACTTCTCATCAGTCTCCTCCACACATTCCAGTCTATCGTGCAGATAACTCTTCAATATTTGCTGAGCAGGCTGAGCAAGGGGAATGCATTCCTTGAGTAGCAGTTGCTTGTCCAGTTTGCCATGAACGTTGCAGGGAAAGTGTTGCAGATAGACAAATCTATCTGGCTGTTCGGCAATCGACACCTTGGACAGAATGTCAAAGGTCTGGGCCCGCTGTTGAACTCTGCTCTTTGGCTCCTGGCTGCGAATGCAGCAGATAAGCTTTTGCAAATCCTCAAGCCAAAGGCAAGTGGCCAGTTCGCTGCTGAGCAGACATTTTTGTATTTTGCGAGTGATTAAACCTGCATGATCGTTAAGCAATCTTAGTTTGGATTATACAGTTGTTAATAACTAATTAAACCATTGCTTCTTGTTTAAACCATTACAGAGGCAAAGCCTTTTCAAGTAGTTAAATGTGCTTGGAATGTGTGTTTAAAAATGTATTTTTCTTGATATACACATCGCTCTTATTGCTAACCAGAGAATATTAAAAAAAGAGTATTTTCATTAGGTTACACCTAGCCTTTGTAATGATTTAAACATAAACCGCCATTCTATTGCCGCTCATTTGTCGTACACAAAAGTATACAAATAGATTTTATTAATAGTAAAAACACTCACCCAAGCTTATGCGATTACCGGCTCGCTTTACCACATCGTTAGCCCGCTCTCCATACAATATGGTTCCGTCCTTCAGTCGGGTGACTAGATCTCCGGTGGCTCTGAAACAAATGGAGGAATCGCCTTTCTGAGTGTCCAACTTGTCATCTATTTCGGGTATATAGCAACGTCGCGTGGCACTGCCCAGCAGGAGCTCTCCTTGCTGCGAATCTCCATCGTTCTGGCCTTTAATCTGTAGAATCGTGTCTTCGTCAATGGGAGTGCCCAAGCTTATTTGACTTTGTAGTGACTGAATGATGTGCAGGAGGCTCCAGCAGGAAATCTCTGTAATTCCATAGATATTGCATATGTGTTTCTGCAACAGGACACTCGGATCCATCCAAGTAACGAGCTCTGCATTGGAGGGGAACGGCTCGCCACCAAGGAGCAGCACTCTGAAAGCCATTTAAATATGTTGCAAGTAATTTTTAGATATTTAAATGCATTTAATTAGGTTGCACCTCAGTGAACTGGAGCTGCTTAGTATACGCTCTCGAATAGAAGTGGCTCCGAATTGCCGGAACAGGGATGGCGTCATTTGTAAGATGGTGATTCCCGGCTTGACCAGGTTGTCGGGAAACAGGGCACTTAACACCCGACTGGGCGAATCCTTCATCGTGTGATGGCTGGTCAGTAGAGTAGCCCCGTTTTGCAGGGCCAGAAAGAACTCCACCACGAAGGGATCGAAGGTGCAGGGTGTGCCCAGGTAAATGATGTCAGCCATGGAGACGTTCAGCTTCTGGCTTGGAGAATATTATTACGAGATTGGGAGTGATATATTGTGTGGTTCCCCTACCTGAGTGCCACTATATTGGGGGCGATGCATTCGTAGGGCACATGGATCAGTTTGGGGCCTCCCGTACTGCCCGTTGTGGAAATGGTGTAGCACATATTGGCGGGCAGGGGCTTTTTAGCCTGCACATCAGGATCGTTGGGTTTGTGCTTCACCTTGTACAGCTTGCAGTCCTCGTTGAACAAAAGGATGCTGCTCAGACGCGTAAAGTTCAAATGGCCAACGGCCAAATGTTTGTTGACCAGCAGATACTCCACTCCGGCCATGCTCATCCGTTCGTAGAGCGCCTGGGAGAGCAGCATCTTGTCCGTGGGATAGAAATGGCACTTATGGTTAAGAATTCTGCATGATAACAACCATTAGATCATATAATAATAAATTATAAGAAGATTTAGAAGTGCCTACGCTAGAATCAGAAGACAGGAGGCCGGCGTGTGATCGGTGATGCGTAGGGCAATTCCTGCTCCGGCTGGAACCTTATTGCTTTCCAGGAATTCCAGCAGTAGCAGCACTTTGTCCACCGCTTCGCCATAAGTCAATGTCATGTCCTGGGGCTCCGTGCGCTTTATCAGAAAGGGAACATTTTCAAATGCGCGGATTCTGCTCATGTCGTACAGTTTCTCCTTCTCCTCGTGGCCAGCGGTTGATTCCTTTGAATTCTCATCTGGTGGAAGCTTGGGTACCGAATTCTGACTGGAATTATCATCTTCTGCCGGTTTATTTTCCACCTTTTCATCAACAGTTGCCATTTTACATTTGTTTACAAATTGAGCCGTCGTCTCTTCTGTTTAGTGTTACCAGATGGTGAAATTCTATTTCCCCTAAATGCTACAAATGCCACTATAAAAATTCCTTTTCACCTAAATTCAAATGTGAAATAGAAAAAATGAGAAAAAACTTTAGCCCAAAATAATCAATGAGTATCTATTTTCTTTTAGTATGATAAACAGTTTACAAAGAACCAAAAAATGCCGAAAAAAACCATTATACTTCACCTCTTAAAATTATTCTTCCATAAAATTTCCCTTAAGCTAGAGAAAAATGTTTAAATCTAGTGAGAAAAGCCCCAACCAGGAAACAGTGATTCTATTTCTGCCAAAAATAAAGTAATCTTAGCAATTGATATTTAAAATATGATTGAATTATCAATTTCCCTAGTTTTATTTATTATTATTTTAAAAACGGATCAACGTTGTATTTGACTCCCTTAAACGATAATGTTGGCAATTTACAAACCTCCTAAGCAAGATTTACGAAAGCATATAGTGTTTCGAGTCATTTTGTAGTTTTTTTTTATGTAACCAAGAAGCCATTTCCCATTAAGCCAGTAATTTTCAGTGCAAAACGTTTTATTAAATATTTCATTCTTCACATATAAGTCAGTATATTAACCACATAAAGCTAAAAACGTTTGTAAAAGTGTCTTCTGTTGGTTCTTGTTGTCAAAAAAAGCTCGGTGTATACATATGCATGTACTGGAGGTAAAACATGAATGAATTTTGTGTAGCTTAATACTAGGCAAATGGTTTTTTGTCCGTTAAATATCCGCGTTTCATTGGTTTTGATTCTTCTCAATCACGCTCTTGCATGTCTTGTAGATCGGACATAAATTAAATCCTCAAGCAGGAACTGGTGTGTATATCTGGGTGTTATTTTCATGTAACCTAGGTTAAATCGTAGCCTATCGACTCTATGCCTGCTTCTTGGAGCTCAAGGCTAGGCCTTCTTTGCTCAGCTTCGTGTACTCCGTCTGCATGATGGACTGGCATTCGTCGATTAGCTCCTGAATGCTTTCTTTTTTGTACTTCTCGGTGGACACCTCCGGAAGGATGTGGATTAGGGCATGGCCCGGACGGAAAGTCTTTTTCTCATCGTCCATAAATGAGTACTTCGATATGACCACTGGCTGGATGGGGCTATTGCCCTGGAGAGCGATGTGGAACGAGCCCTTCTTGAAGGGCAGCAGCGAGTCCTTGGAGTTGCGTGTGCCCTCCGGGAAGAGTAGGAGCTTGCAGTTGCGCTCCTGTATCGCCTTGGCCTCCTTCTGCAGCGAGTTGATCGAGTCGGTCTTCCGGGACCGATTGATATAGAGAGTTCCCCAGAGCCAAGCTCCAATGCCAAAGAACGGGATGTATAGAACCTCCTTCTTGGACACCACAGTGGCCCTTCCGATCACCGGCCAGAGGTAGGCCAGCACGCACAGATCGATCGCACTCTGGTGATTCATGATCACAACAGCGCCGTGGTCCTTACGGACGTTTTCCAGACCCCGAACTTCCATGGTTATACCCATTAGACGGCACAGCTGCCGGAAGCACCATGACGGGAAGCTGCAAAATAACAAAGTTCAATAAACTTTTTAAGCAAAAACAGGGAAAGGTTTTCTTTTCACCACTTGGGGTAATTGTTATAAAAAGTGTGCAAATAAATAAAAAATAAATTGGTACTTAAGAAATCATTGATTATTCGTTTGTATTGAACCATTTTTACTCAAGTATTATTAAAAGGTATCACGTAGATATTAACAAAATATTAGCACAAAAAATTTGCAAATACTTTCCATTACTTTTTTTTATTTAAGCTAATTCTAGACAATTGACAACATACATTAAAGGCGTGAAACTAGGCTGTTAAAATTATAATATAAGAACTGAGAGTTTAAAAAAAAAAACTAGTTTTATTGATGATTTTCTTAAAAATCCTACTTACAAAGCATTTCGGTAGTCCCTCGGTCGCAGGATCATAAAAGGCACACAAATCAAGACTATAACACCCGCTCCAAAGAATATAAACATCATGCGCATCTGATAAGGAGCTTTGGCCGAAGCACTCAGGATCAAGGCCACCACGCAGGCAAGGCCAATTACTTCGCATGTGCAAGCCATTTTGAGACGCTACTTAATCCCGAAAGACTGTTGTTCTGAAAGAAGTGGTAAGAATTTAATTGAAGTTTATGAGTACCCGTAAGTATTTTGTATAAACTAGTGAAATAAATCTTTAATTGGCTATATTTTATTTTATTTGAGACAACTCACTTCTAAATAATATATATTCTGGTTAATTACTCGACATTTAATGCTTGGCTTTCTAATTTTTAGATCACTCAGATCCCTTTAAACTCAAAAAATGTTGAAAAATCTTTAATATATGGCCACGACTTGGACCAGTAAGTTAGAACTCCAATAACAATTTCTGATGATGAGCATTTCTGATATTATAACGTACAACTCACTATAGCATCAGAAAAAATCAATATTTAGTCTGATTGCAATTATCTTCATTATTGAATTTGACTCTACCAATTGTGCATATACACCGACATGGGAATATTTCGAGATTGTTTGATGTACAGGGGCAATTATTTTCAATTTTGTCTAATTTGCATACTGACTTGATTGGTCTATAAATTGTGCTGCGTTTCTAAGCCCTTTACTTTACAGCCCACTCAACGTAAACACTTCAAATAAACAATAATTGGCAGTTCTCACAGATTACTCGAGATCGCTTATAAGTTCATGAGCGATATCTCCCTGGTAACCAACCTTTAGAAGACCTTAACAAGGTCGACACACGTCCGATGCGGCCGCTCTGACAAATAAAACTGAAAAATCCCGTCAATTGTGGACTTTTAAACTGGGAGTTGCGAAAGGCTTATCAAAAAATGTTCAAATTGTTTTTGTTTTAGATTAAGGCACTGAACTTTGGTATCACGTTGATACATATTGTTAGTAGTTAGCCGTTAGAGTAAGTAAAAGTAAGAGTCGAAAGGTGTAATTCTCTAGTTTAGTGTTCTCACCTCCAAAGTGCGCAATAATTTGTCTATATGATTTTAAAGTTTCAAATATGTATTTTTTTAATAAGGAAACATGTACAAATTTCTAAAATTCAGGAAAAAAAAAGGATCTTAGCTAGTATATCCCGCGAAAACAATATGATTTTATGGAGGACCAAAATGTATTCTTATGCAGGACATCTTAGGAAATCGAGGACCCCCAAGGAACATTCGTTTTCATTTAAATACCGCCAATTCTCAGCCATGAAGTGTGGGGGTCGTATTAGAGAGTATTACCTCGAAAAGTTCTTAATCAGCTCTTGGAAAACCCATGACGATTTTGAGAGATCAGAATAGTAAGCAGGTGTTTGCGATAAGCCTCAATTGGCGAACAAAAGGGGCATGTATTTTTTTTAAAAGATTACTGTTGGTTAAGGTAATCTTTTAAAAGCTACAACACCTAACACACACATTGACAGCTTTTATTCTATATTTATGAAAACGCACTATCGACTTGATCAAAAGATAACCATTAATAATAAGGTACTTATGCTAGACTAATCTTAACCATATAACAATAAAAAAACAAGGTACGCGAGTACGCGCTTACTAACAAAACTAAAGCAATCTTTTTATTTACAGTACAGAGTTTAACTCTCGAGTGCTACTTTCTCAACTTTTGGATGAACAATTAGCAGGTGAACTCATTGTAACTCACGGCCCAGACTTTGACACGGGTCGAAGCTCATCCATAGGGACATATTTACTCCACACGCTAAAACTCGGGTAATTAACCAAAAAAGTTTCAACGGTTGACTCAAATACCTGTTGTCAACTTCGAAAATTAGAAGAGTATTCGAGATTAGAACACATTCATCACATGATTCTTTTATGTTTATGACCACTTCATCTCATTATTAAATTCAGTGACAAACCCTAGGGACTTCTTATCAGAATCTTTGACTATTATCAATTGTTTTGACAAACTAGTAGTTTTTCTTTATTATCTAAGCTTGTAAATTATTTACGAAACAACTTATAATGTTTGCACTAGCAATTATAGTAATTATAATTATCATTACAGATAATACTTTAGCTGTTGGAGCTCTGAATTGATGTCAAACTGTTGATACTGGTGTGACCTTTTGGGGTGTAATTACATGTTGAATAGCCACTTAGATTTAATCAAACGCCAAAATCAGATGGTAATGGCATTGCTGACTTGGATTTTCATTAACTTTTGCCTGAACTTGTGTCGAAATCTTAATGATGAAATATATTTTATTTACGATATTATATTTTAACGGCTGAATTTGTACTTAATTTGCCATGTGATAAAAGATTCTCGATATTGCGCTTTTGTAATGGGTCTTAAATGGCTTATGTTATTAATTCTGCAGAAAACAAACGTTTCGCAATAGCGCTTCCAGGAATTTATCGTTACTTATACCTTTGCGTATGCATACTTTTGTCGAGGGGACTGGTGGCTTGATAAGTTTCAAGAAAACGAAAGTTAGTAAATATAAATATTTTGTTTAAGAATTAGTCACAAATCTTTTCATAATAAAGTACTAACCAGTTGTTGCTACGCTCGAAGAAATATATCATCTTTAATTCTTGAGAATTGAATATGAAATATTTTTGATTTTAATTTGTAATGTTTGAGGTAAATAAACAACTAAGTTCTAAAAAATTAAATAAAAGAATATACTATAAACTGACTGTATATTACAACTGTGTGTTACATATGGAATTGTAATTTAAAACTTATTTGGTTTTATAGCCTGAAAGTGAATAGAATGTCAATGAAGAAATTTCAGAAAAACCAATATGCACACCCCCTCATTTTATTTATGCATGGGAAGAGTTTACAAATAAAATTTCTGACAGTGTGCTAAATCAATTTGTCAACTGCAAATGTTTGAGTTTTTGTTTACAATTTTTACCAGTACCGCCAGAATGGGGTGTAAGCGGTTAGGCTTTCATTATCTTTTTCGACAATCGCCGCAAAGCTTTTGGTGTGTGACAGCGGAACATCGATTCATATAACTAGCATAGGCTCAGGCTACTGATAAGATTGTGGCATGATTCCACGCTGGGGAATGATACGTATTATTTTATTACAGCATGAAACAACGAACCCGGGTCTGGATCGACCTGCACCCTTAATTTGCCAGTCAATTTAACGTCTGCTTTTCGTTTCAAGTTCAAAGTCAACGAGTGCACAGTGTAATGCAAGCGAAGAGGAAATCTTTAACAAGACTCAACTTGAGTCACAGTAACGACCTGGCGATCGGACTTTCCTCATCGAATGATCATTGTATCACCCGTAATTGCCGATTGGAATGTTTAGAACCGTAATCTCCAGTTGTTTTTAAGTATTATAATATACGAAACTTGTTTCTATGTGGCTGGTGAACGGCATATCACTATGTTTAAAGTAATTGTATACAAGTGTAAGCAAGTGTAAGTAACTGGAGACTCAGAACCCACAATCTATGTAGAATAGGATTGCATGTGATTTTATTTATTGATTTTGTACGGTGATATCACCCCTTAAGGGGGCCCCAACCGAACCAATAAAATAATCAAAAAGTTGAAAAATCTCTATACAGACTAAAACCATTCGGACCAATAATCAATACGATACAAATCATTAAAGAGATCAAAGCCAGCTGAAATAAATTTATTTAATTTAAAACATAGGTCATTAAGAATTTCTGCTTAACTAATTTTATTTAATTTTAATTAATAATCTGTTAAATAGTTTCCAATATGTATATATCATTAAGCCAATTTCTTGGGCAAACAAATGATAAACAATAGTTCTAGATTAATAAAAGTTATTTTCTAAAAATCTATGTGACCAAAAATACTTTGACTTTACGAACTTTGATACGTTTTCTAAAAGTTTTTAAATCGAAATTTAATGAGGTTAATCGAAGTTTTCTTTTTCCTACAAGTTATTGTTATTTCTTAATTTTATATGTTTTTTTTCCTCTTTAGGCTTCTAAATTATTAAAGCACATATTTCACACGCCATAGTAACAGTGGAAAGTGAGGAATCCCAATAACCTGAAATCAACAGGGACCAAACAAGTAAAACTCAGGGGAGGAAAGAGCGTGGGCCGGAGCTCAGGACCACGACGCAGTGGCAGCAACAGGATGACGGGCAGGACACAGAAAAAAAGGAAATTAGAGAGATACATATAAAAGACTTTTCCATTTTTAAAGTTAAAGAAGTTTCAAGATGTTAAAAACATCGACTATTGTTAACTTTGAAAAAAAATGGTTAAATTAAACACAAAATATGTATCAGTTGATGATTTTTGATGTGTTTTAAAGATAAACAAATTAATTTATTGCAGTTTTTTTCATAATAAACAGTTTTAAACATTAAAATTTGAAATGAATTTTATAAGCTGGTTGATAAACATACGCAAGATCACTAAACTGATCAACATAGCACATTCAAATTTTTTTCTGTGCAATGAGAAAGAGAGTAATATATGTACACGGGGTTGCTGTTGTTTTTATTCCTGCTGGAATAGTTCACGCACCGCATGGCAGAGGAAAGGACAGCAGGACAAGAAACGGGAGCATAATAAAGACAAAAAGTACGTGGGGGTCAACAACAACTTTAATAGTATAAACTCACGAAACAGTTATTTTCCCTCCCCTCCAGAAACTGGGTGGAAAATTGTTGCTGCTCTGGCTTCTAATTCTCTCTCTCTATGTTATTGTTGTTGCTGCTGCGTAGGCGTAACAGTTGTTTTTCCCATGTGTAAGTGTGTGTTTGAGTGTAATTTGCAGCATCTGCGGTACAATAAACTCCACTACGCGGATCTTGGCCAATTGCCAAGAAAGTAGATTTCGCCACTAAAATTAAACGTTAATCGACCGACATTCAATCCAGGATCAGCTAAGCCAAAGGAATATTCCCGCGTTTGCACAGACTTCCGAGTGCCGCCACTCAACGAAAAAGAGAGACGACGACCGTTTCAATCAAGAGTCCGCGGGCAATTGATTTGAAAAAGCTTTTGCTTTCTCATGTTTACCGCGCTTCCGTTTAACCTGTATGTAGTGCCGACAGGTTAGTTAGGTACTTCGCCATACTACACTTTACCTGTAGGTACAATGCGTCCGTTAAACTTTAATTTGAGCCGAGAATTTTTAAATGAAAATAACACAAATTTTTCTGTACCCCTTTGCAATATTTAATGAATTTAATTGAAATTAGTTTAATTCAACTATTAAGTAAAAAACAAAAATAATAATGAAACCAAATTTAAATTGACAAGCTATGTAATTGCGTATTACTTGAACAAATTTCAACGCCTATAAAAACATGTCACTTATTTGCTCATTAGTGATTACTCATACAAATTTTTGATGATTCATGTGTCTACCATATTTCTGAATTGTTTTTACAAAAAATTATAACTCAATTATTTATTTTTTAGAAAACCATTTTTATTTACAAACACTACAACTCAAAATACTCTCCTACATAAGACCATGCTAAATAAGTAAAGCTTAAGAGAACAGTATTAAATTTTAATTTGTTAATTTACTTATTTAACCTACCCGAAAGTGCAATGAAATGTGGTGGTTCTGTCAAAATAAAATATTAAAATTACAATTTCCCGTTACTTTTCAACATAAAATGAAAGCCACTGTTCGTAAATTGATTATCCCTTAAAATCGATTGCCACATCTCGTGAAATACTGATATATCGATACTGTCGTGAGTATGATTACCATCTCTAAACAAAACGCATTTTTTTCTGCCGGCGCGGATTTGTTTCGGAAATTTGTCAAAACAGATAAATTGCGGCAATTCTGGATTATCTAAGGGCCGCGAAATGTATATTATGGAGCCCGACGTCAACACCCAGGATCAGGATGTGAGCACCTGCCGCCTGTGCCATCGTCAGACGGATCCTAATTCGCCCAACATTTTTGAGAGTTCCGTTGAGTGCTGCAAGGATGTCTCCATTTCGGATATTTCCCAAGTTCTATGGGGCGTCCAGGTGAGTGGCCCCTAAAAATCCATTGAAATGTTCCCCCCCGTAACTCTCCCTGTTCCAGTACGACCGTCACGAGTTTCTGTCGGAACTCATTTGCACCATGTGCCTGGAGATTCTGGAGGATGCATTCGAACAGCGCAAGGGAATGCAAGAGCGGGAGCAGGCGCTGCAAGAGCAGCTTAAGGACTTGATCAGGGATGATGCCAAGTACCGGCCCGGCTTGAATGGCAATCCTGGCGAATTTATACCCGAGGAGGGCTGCGTCATTGTGGACGTCGACCCGGAAAAACTGGCGGAGTCCAGTGAAGATGAGTTCTGCTCCGACGGGGAATACGAAAACTTTGAAGATGACGACGAGGAGGAGGAGGAGGACTATGACGAAGAGGACGAGGAAGATGGCCAGAATGGCGATGATGTGGACATGCCTCTGGGCATGGATGCAGCCCAGATGGCGGCTCAGAAGTCCATTGAAGTCGATGCCCATTCCGCGGTGGCACAACCCAAGCGGGCATTCCTGTGTCAGTACTGCGATCTCGGCTTCACCCTGCCCTCCGACTGCCAGGAACACGAACGTGTTGCCCACGACCCCAGTGCGCCCTACTGCTGCACCTACTGCAACTTGAGGCTGGTCACCCGGCCCGCTTTGATTTCGCACATCAGGACATTGCACGATCCAGAACGCCCGTATGTGTGCGCCCATTGCCGGAAGGGATTTGTGCGCCGCTCCGATCTCAAGAAGCACACAATTGTACACACGGGCGTGCGACCCTTCACCTGCAACGTGTGCTCCAAGAGCTTCTCGAGGAACACCAATCTGACCAAGCACATGCGCATTCACAGCGGCGTCAAGCCGTTCGTCTGCCAGCAGTGCCCGCGATCCTTCCAGACGGCTGTGGAAATGATGAGGCATACACGCTCCCACGGCGAGGTGAAGCCTTTTCAATGTGGCCGCTGCCCGTATTCGTTCTCCCGCAAGGATAAGTTGATGGCCCACCAACAGGTCCATACCAGGCGGGACGTGGAGCAGCAGCAGCTGCAAATGGGTCTACTTCCCGCAGTGGAGGGAGATCTAGCGCAACCGCAGCAGCAGACGTTCCAGGCGAAGCAAAGGGTTCCGGCACAATCCAAAACCTCGCGCAATTACCGATGCGATGTCTGTGATCGTGGCTTTCAGCGAGAGCGGGACTTGCAACGCCATCGAGCACTCCACATGGATTCGCTGTTGGCGTGCAAGATCTGCAATCAGGGATTCAACCGACGCGAGCAACTGCAGCGCCATGAACTGGAGGCCCATGGGCCCAGCTTTACGTGCGCGATCTGCTGCATCAGCTTCCTGCATCAGATTGAGCTGGAGAATCACCTGAAAGTCCACCAGCTGCAGCACAAGATGGCGCAGCGGGCCCAGGAGGCTTCAATTTTGCCCCTCAAAATGGCCGAACAGGCGCCCGCGGCTATAATGCCTCCGATGGTCCAGGAACCTCCTCCGTTGCGTCCCTCGGCCGCTGAACTCTCGTTCTACAGCAACATGATTCCCACTATGAATCTGGGTTTCTACAGTGAGACTCGGCCTGAGGAGTAGAATAACATACACTAAACTTAGTTAATAGTTTTAAAAGTTCGTAAATTTATGGCTGGGCGTTTGGACGTTCTGGTTAATTAAGATAACTCAGATACTAAAGGCTCCACAGCCCAACTTATGCCAAATCGTTTATAAGTGGTTTCTTGATAAATGGCCAAACCAGAAAAGTGAAATTGTAATTTAAATATTAATGAAAAAATAAATATTGTATTGTTAAAAGTCATTGCAAATCACATTAAGTTACAAAAATGTCTTTCAATACATTGACTGATTTAATAATAATAAAATACGATTGGCTTTAATTCGTCGCAGTATAAAATATATATAAAATACTTATATTTTTTTAATTAGTTGATAATTTGGCATTTGTAAAATATTATTTCCATCACTCTTTATACTTAATACTTAATATTTTCCCATTTAATATTTTAATTGATTTAAAAATAATTTTTTTATTTTTTAAAGGGACAAATTTTTAAGTGAAATTATTATTTTTGGTACCATGTATATTCATATAAGTATATATTGTAGTGTATATCGAGGGTTTTCAGAAAAATGTTTATTTGTTTTAACAAGATGACTGAGTTGTAGTCGAACATGTTGCATGCAACAAGCTGCAAGTAAATCGAAGACGATCTTCTCCAAAGCTTGAAAGTTGCATCGCCACTGCAGATTGTTTCTCGAGGTCGCCTCGTACGGTAGTCCCTCGGCCTATTCTCGCAACTCGATCGTCGTCTGGAGTTGTCGTAATCTCCGCGAAGTGCGCGCAGTGAATTTTGTGCTGGTGCTGACAGTGTAACGCTTGATAGAATAATAAATAATAAGAATAAGAGGGGGGAGATCCACAAAGAAATGTTGCCTGAGCTGCCATAAATAAAGTGTGGATTTCAAACGAGACGATAAATCTATTCCCGAAACGGGCACGCAATCGAGGGAATTCGAATTCACCTTACCACCGAACTGGAGGTTCTTGGATAGATTCGGTTCCGCTGAGAGCGGTAAGTACGCAATTACCTTGGCACCGGCAAGGGTCACTTCGCAGCCGATTTATGTGTATGTCAGAGCAGAGTCAGTCCTAGCTTGGGGTCTTCGGATGTTCGGATCTTTGGGTGTCTAGGTGTTGGCGTTCCCGCTGGGCGCCCTCGGTTTCCCAGATCCCCACACTGCCATCTTCTTTTAGATTCTTTCCCATGGCATGACAAATGAACATGTTGCTGGGGCATGATCCGCGGTCAAGCACACAGCTTACCTTTGATTGAATTGAAATATCCACAAGTACAAGTTTGGGATGGCCAAAGGATGGGGTAACCTTTGCAGCTTGCATGATTTGAGTAGTAGCTTTTGCCATTCCCAAAAAGATAAGGAGCACGAGACGTACTCCTCGCACATAAAAGGCAGCTACCAGTTGCCAGACATCGATTCGATTCCTTCGTGTCGTCGCTGTTTGTCCTTTTAAAACTCGAGAATTGTGGGGATGGGAAGTTCACGTATCTGAAGGTTTTACTCTGTTGGCTAAGGTTCTTGTTTAATACAAGAAATACAAAAAATTGTTAAAAGAAAAGATTTGTAAAACCATATATAAATAATCTCTATTTAAGAATTTATTGTTTATAAATATTTGGGATATATTTGGTACCAACCAAATAAGTGCATTTTAAACACGGTCAGTATACTAAAAAATTATTCAAATTATACTTTAATAGAGCATAATAAAAGTGAAGGGTTTTTTCTTGCTTCTTATTAAAGCCTAGAAAATAAATAAATAAGTACATTTTTAACACTCTCAATATATTTTACTAAAAACGGGTCCAATTATATTTTAAAAGAGTATTATAAAAGTATCCCATAGATGCCTCAAGATTTCCAAGGTAAATATTTATAAGACGTTTTTCTTTAATGTCTTTATTCTTGCGTTTTATTTAAGATCTAAAAAAAAAATTAGCCACCTATAAACCAATAAACCAGTAAAACCGCTCAATCCTTGACAGCTTTTATTAGAATCTCTGGGGCCCTCGATAAATAAGCTACCGCAGTGAAATTTACTCGTTAATTTCCTTTAGTGGATTGCGTGTCTGGATTGAACGAGATTCAGTGGAACCACCTGTGGTGCGAAAGTGCCGGGATTGTGGACTCGCGAACAGTTGCGAAAACAATTTAATTTCTGAGGCTATGAAGGGTTAAGTTTAACCCATTCCAATAAGCTGGAGGGCGTTAAGTACCTCTTTCTGGGAAGATTAATGAGCTCTTGTTTGATGGAAACCTTTCTCTGGCACGCACCTAAAACGGAATTAGCACACTGCACAGCAATAGTGTAATATAAGCCTTTTGGCTTGAATTCTTTAGTCGCCCTGTAATTGTGCAGCTGCCCACGCAACAACTTAATTACGGCTACTTAGACGCATAGAGTTTATACCCTAAAAGAAAGAACTTTTAAACTATGGAAAATGCTTATATCAAAAGGCAACTTGGAGAAATGAATCACAATCAAGTACATCATAATTATACCTCTGTCAATTATACTTCCGTTGGAATCCGAAAATTGTGTGCTCTTATTATATCAATGTAAATTAAATGTAAAATATGTAAATATTAATTAATTTATTGTTCATTAAAAATAATTAACAAAATATAAAATACATTTTTGTAAATAAAACTATACCTATGTACTCTCATCATAAATTTTGTATCAGTTAAAAAAAAAAGAAGTTCTCTAATTTTTGTAACATAATTGGCAACTTTACTTGATTTTTTAGATATTTTGCAGAAATAGAAACTTGAACGTATACTTAATATTTGAAAACAGCAAAAATCAACCTATTCCCAGATACTTCAATTTGAAGATAATTGTATGTGGGGTTACGCATAAATTATAAATTACTAATTGTTTAATGTTATTTTTTGTATATATTTAAAAAGAATACGTTTTTTAAGAACAGTTTTACCAAACAACAATATTATTTAGGGAACATAGTTACATTTAAATTGATATGCTAGATCATTTGGTATAATATTCAGTACCTTTCCTGCCTGTCTGTACCATTCTCAGGCTGTCAGGCACTCAAGTCGGACCCTTCGGCTGCCTCCCAGAAAAGACTTTATCGCGAATATTGTGGTGGGGCAACACATTTAACCCATGCCATCGTTTGAGCATCGTGTATTGCAAATCGTCGTCTGCCGATGTCCGATGGACTGACGGACTGATGGGAATACGAATGCATCAATGTCAGCCAGACAGACGACACTTTTACATCTGTCACTCGAGCGGAATGGCTCCTTCTCCTCCTCCTCCTCGTCTTCCCATCCGCCCCTTGCTCCACAGCTAATCTCTCATAAGTATTTTATACAGTTTCTCCCAAAAGTATTTCGCTGGCGAGAGACACACGTTTTCGCTTCACATCCGTTTCGCTTGATTTTGATCAGATGCAATTCAATTTACAATTCACTTTCTTCGCAGACAATGCCAACAGGCAGTGGCATCCAGCAATCCAGCAAGAAATGCATGTACGAGTATAACGTTCCACTTGGCTGACAGGCGGTATTAGACGCCCGGTTTTTCATCATCTTCAACCGTTTCGTTGTCGTCATCCGCTTGCTGTATCATAAACATTTATGCCAATTTTTTCTTCACATCTCCTCAAGAGGGGTGGCTTAACGCGTTGCATCGTTTCCTTTTTAATGATTTACATAAAACTTATGTCAAGTTTAATATCTCTATTTATAAGTAACTATCCCGTCATTAGCAAATTTTAATCAATTGAAAATGTCTAAATTGGCAAATGATTGGTTTTTAATAATTATATGAGCCGGAATTAATAGAAACACAGGGATTGTTAAACTATTTTAAAATATGTTCTCAGTCTGAATCCAAAACACGTATTCCGATATTGGTCATAAAGGGAATGTATCTTTTATCTAGGTGAAAGTTTTTGATCAATTTATGCGACTAGCTTAGAAGAAATCAATGTGTATTTTATTTAAAGGTTGTTGTTAATAGTTCAAATTATTTTTTTTATTAAGTAAGAGTTTGTTACAAAACTAGGAGTAACATGAAAACTTATACTATTTTGCTATGAGGATTAAACCAAATTATGGAGTTTTTATAGAAACACAAGGATTGTTAAACTAACAAAACACGTATTCCAAGTATTGGTCATAAAGGGAAGTATATGTTTTAACATATGTAATTAGCCTTTATCAGCAGCATTTAGGTGAGAGTTTTTAATCAATTTATGCGACTAGTTTAGAAGGAATCTCTATTTTATTTAAAAATTGTTGTTTATACGATAGTTAAAATTTTTTTTTTTAATAAAATGTCTTGTTATGAGGATTAAACGTTATAAATTATTGTAGTTTTTATATAGAAATGCTGTTTAAGTTAAGTACTGTGGTATATTCTGATTCTTAAAGGAAATCTGTTAATTTAAAAAAAAAATCGTATACAAATTGTCTTTTACAGGGAACAGTACCCATTAAAGCCCTTATATTCAGCGTTCCAAGGTGTTCCCAGCTTCGACCCGAATCCTTGGGACTTCCTTTCTCGTTTTCGCTGGCTAATGCGCTGCGGTTGCCGCCAAAAACCAGTTCCTGCGCTCCCTGTCCTCGGCGATCTCTTAAGGTATTTGTTTGGCACGACATTTGCTTCTTGGCTGGCCTGACGTTGTGCTGTTGCCCTGTCTGAATGGCAGCCGCCCGCCTCCGACTTTTCCATGGTGGCGACGCTGGTGACGATGGCTATGACGTCGTCTTTACTGTCCCATCCCATTTCAACCCATCCCGATCCAACCCATCCCAATCCATACCCCCTTTGTCGTGGAGTCGCTTCATGTCGTCACGCAAACTTTAATTCGTTCATTAATTCAGCCGGCAAACGGTTAGCCGGTTCGGTGGGCGTGGAAGTAGCTGGAAGTGTTAATTAGTTGTTAGTGTCTCCGCCTGGCCCATCGAGGATATATTTAATGAGCGCCAATGTCAATCGTGAGTGCTTCTGCCTAGTGGCCAGCCAACGGCTTATTAATCTATCCAGATAACATCAATATTTCTTACACAGTAGCAAATTGATTTGGCATCTAGAAAGTTATGATCAGGGGGTGAGCAAATTAATACAAGCTCTTAGAAATTGTTTTTATTTATATTTTTATTTATTTTTATTTAAAAAGGTAATACGATGGTTTTTGCAGATATATTTTGAAATTTTTTATTTGTATTTGAAGTGGGACGATGTTAAAAATTATCACATAAAGTGAAAACAATAAAAATAAAACCGTTTAGGTTTCTTTGCTAAGTACTTTAAGTTATCCATTAG